GAAAGTCGTGCGAGTGGACATACCATATTTTTTTATTTACTATTAGTGTTTTTTCAATGGTTAAACAGTTACATTTTCATTATCTAGACAAATTAAACTATCAAAATATTCGTTTTCTTAGAAAAAGAAATATTTATTATATCTAAACTAAGTCATAAATTGTCTATTTATCTTTTTTGATAGGTTATAATTACAATGAAGTTTATAATGGAATTACTACTACCTGCATTATATTAATGTAATAATTAAAAATTAAATAGCCAATTTAAATTCCAGGATGAACCAATTCAAGAAAAATGTTAGCAGTCATATATATTAAACAATTTAAAGAAATACTTTCAAGATAACTGGTTCTATTTAGTAATATAAAAAGGCAAACTTTAAAGTCAGACTCTAGCATAAATTATTTAGTGTTAAAGTATAGTACATTGACATAATTAAATAAGTAATTTTAAAATTTTGTTAGATCCATAATTTATTAAGTACATATAATACCTGCTTATTTACATAAATTGCGAGTGGACAAGTAAACGTTTTATTCAATAACAGTACGGTTACTATACCATGGGGCAAAGCTTGGCAAGATATATATATATATATATATATGTATACATATTATTCATTATTTTTTTTTCCACAAACCATATCCTTCCGAAACCTCAACTCCCTCACCTATGAAGCCCTGTCGCAGGATCTCGATGCTTCCCAGTGGGACCCCATTTATTCCTGTAAATCCATTGATGCCATGGTAGAAATCCTTACCAACCATCTTCATACCATCCTCGACTGCCATGCTCCTCTCCTAACTAAAACTATCCGACATTCCCCTGCTCCTTGGCTGACACCTGCTTTAAGAGAGTGCATGAGAAGAAGAGATACGGCAAGACGAAGGTTTAAACATACCCAACTCTCGGAAGACTATATCGCCTTCAAGCAAATACGAAACAGCACTCAGTCTGCTATACGCCGAGCCAAATCCCGTTACTTCCATCATTCCTTATCCAACATCCCAAACTCCAAGGCCAAGTGGGCTATTCTAAAAAAACTGACCAATTGCAACACACCTCAAACCCAGCTCATCTCCTTTTCTGCTGATGACCTTAACGCTCACTTTGTCTCCTGTCCCTTCTCATCCTCATCTCCCACGGCTCACTCCTGTGTGTTTCCCTATAAATTTTAATCCTGATCAATTCTTTTTTTCCCATATTACACCTGATGACCTCCTCAACTCCATTCAAAAGTCGCAAACCAATGATTATGGACGTAATAATATCCCAGTCAGACTGATCAAACCCTCACTACCATCCATCCTTCCAATCCTCTACCATATCTACAATTAATCACTACAAAGCGCTACCTTTCCTACATCCTGGAAAACCGCACTAGTTCGCCCTATGAAAAAGACTTCCAACCCATCAACTCTCAATGATTTCCGTCCAATTTCTCTCCTCTCAAATCTTTCTAAACCTTTAGAGCGACTAGTTCAAACCCAGGTATCAGATTTTTTAGAACAGAATAACCCCCTAAATCCCAACCAGTCCGGTTTCCGGCCTGGCTACTCCACTCAGTCTGCCCTCATCAAAATTTCCCAAGACCTTCATACAGCCATGGACCAGCAGAAACTCACCATCCTTATTCTCCTTGACTTCTCCAAAGCCTTTGACTAGACCACAAAATTCTCCTAACCAAGCTTAAAAATATTTCCTTCTCAACTAGTACCCTTAATTGGTTCCAATCCTTCCTTTCCGACCGCTCCCAGTATGTTGTAGTCCCCAATAACCCCCATCAGAACCTTTACCTTTGTCCAGGGGTGTCCCACAAGGCTCCTCTTTATCTCCCACCCTTTTTTCCATCTACATCAATGACCTTTCATCCTCTATCCTTCACTGTCAATACCATCTGTACGCTGACGAAGTCCAGATTTACCTCTCCTTCAATCCAACCGAATCCTCTGGCGCTATCCAAAAATTACAGGAAGATATAAATGAAATATGTGCCTGGGCAAATCACATTATGATTACTCTAAACGCCAATAAGACAAAAGCCATTCTGATCGGATCTCCCTCACTCCTCAAATCCATACAGATACTCCCCAATCTTTTCCTGAACAACTCGCCTATCTCATTCCATACTTCCGTAAAAAACCTTGGTGTTACATTTGATCAAACCCTCTCCTGGAAACCACACTTCTCCCAAATTTCCCGTCGTACTATCTCTACCCTGAAACAGTTTAACCGTCTCCGCTATCTTCTTCCATATAAATCCCGTCAACTCCTGGTTTCCTCCCTTGTGTTCCCCTACTTTGACTATGGCTGTCTGGTGTACGGCGGACACTCGGGAGAATTCGAGGCCAAACTTAAACGCCTAATGAACTGTGCAATACGTTCTGTTTTCGGAATCTCAAGAGATACGCATATAACCCAGTATTACACCAAGTTGAAGTGGCTCTATCCATCCAACCGCCATTTGTACTTCCTTGCCACTTTTCTATACCAAGTCATCAGAACTCAGCGGCCTTCCTATATTTACACAACCTACAATTCAAATATTCCATTCAATCCCGTCTCACTAGATCTCGTACCTCCGACCTCTATCCACCTCCCCACCAAACTGCAGCGTTTGACAAATCCTTTATAATTCAAGCCGTCTCGTTCTGGAATACCATCCCTCCCGATATCCGACATGTACAATCAGTTTCCTCATTTAAATCTCTCCTTTTTAACCACCTACTCCTTTCCCAACCCGATTGATCATGAAATGTAGATAAGAGAACTTTTAAAGTTCCCCCAGAAATGACTTTCTTTACTTATGCTATTTTATTTTATTATATAGTTTGTATTATACATATCAGAATGTTTTTAGTGTAATAGTTATAGTTTTTGTTTTCTTATTTTTTCAAAATCTTAATCTTAAAAATATATGTAAATAATTAATTTTATGTATGGCCACACATGGTATCTGTATCTGTAATTTGTCCTAAAGGGACAACAGTCCCAGGATAATAAAAAAAATATTTTCATTTCATTATTTAAATACACTGACATTTTATATTGTCAGCTTTGTCTTTCCTTTGTTAGCAGAAACACACCTCATTTTAAAAAAGAACTCAATGTATTTTTTATTATTTTACTTTTCAAAAGAGTATAATTATAATTTTGTCTACTGTACATAGTTTCAAGTGTTTTATCATAGTTTTAAGTGTTTTGTATATAGATTTTTTTTTTTTTTTTTTTTGTATACAGCTTATCTAACTAATATTTTCTTTACCTTCTCTTTTTTTATTATTGTTTTATTTTGGCCAGATGTAGTCTTTTAATTATGAGCTATTTTGTTATTCTAAAGGAACTTTATCCCAGAATAAAGTTATTTTCTATTTCTATTTCTATTTCCATGTATATTATATTGTTTGTACTATTGTGTTATATATATAATAGTTATGGAGGATCAAAAACTAGATAAATAAATAAGTACCGTTACCACAAATGTCATAAAATAAATTTTATTCAAGATGTTAGAAGATTTAAAATTGTAAAATTTTATTTTAATGTAATGATTTGTAAAAATTAAAACAATAATTACAAAAGAATTTCATTAATGATAGGTTTCATACTTATTTCATAAAAAAGAAATTCATTTCCAATTAAGGAAAGCTCATTAGCATGAAATAGATACTAAAGTAATGAGAAGTACATATTAAAACACTATTTGGGGGATATGATCATTAAACTTTTAAATATAATTAATTTTTCCTTTAAAAAATCTAGTGATGAATTTTTACTCCCAAATATTTGTCTATGCTTAGTATATTATTGGTTATTCCAAAACAAAAAGTGGGTCAGTAAATAACAAACCAATCACTAATGATTACATGGGATAATAATTTACTTTAATTTGAGTAACTTTAGTATTACTTTTGAGTATTCCAATAATATACTACAAGAAATTTTTATTTCTGCTTTCCAATATTTCTCTCTATTAATAACTGTAAGGATTCATGCTTGGGCCAGTGAGGAACAACAGTTTTCGAAAGAAACAGTTTTCAATTAAAACTGCAAACATTATTGTACCTACTTAGAAAGAAATATCACTAAAAAACATGATTTTTTCAGCATTAAATATGTGTGTGTGTATTTTATATTTTATTTTATATATATTTTTACAAAATTTTAACAGTAGCTTAAATATGTGTGCTGGTGGACGATGCTGAGACTGTCGGTATGTCCCTAGCCTGAGGTATCGAGGCTCAATTTTAAAACTTTGAAGAGGAATCTATTGTAAACTTATTAACAGTTGCTCCAACTCGGTAAAGCTTAGATTAAGTGTTATCTAAGATTAAACCAAGTTTTTTAAGGTCGACCGATCAAGATTAAACATGGTTTAATCTTAGATAGCGCTTAATCTAAGCTTTACTGAGTTGGAGCAACTGGCCCTAAGTCAAAACTTTTCACACTTAAATATATTCAGAACCCAACGGTAATTTTGAACTGTAGTCCCCAACCCAGTGCTACCTGTAACATATATCACCATGGCAGTCGGTAACCAAATTAGGCAGTCTTGCTCTTCAACATTTTTTTTTCGAATATTTAATAAACAATGAATTGGAAACATAATTGTATTTCAAGAGAAGAAACCTTATTGTGTAGAATAAGAATTGGTCACTGCCTGTTTACCCACAGGTACCTTCTCAAAGGACTAGAAGCACCCACATGCGAAAAGTAGAGGCGATTACAAATAAAAAAATTGTATTTCATTGCAAATAATCATTTATTGATAGCATTTTAACTTTCATTTTCTTACAAGAATAAAAACTTAATTACAATGTTGGTAATTTTGCATTCAACATATCTAATACACTAGTTATGTTTATATTATCACATTACAATCATATTCTCTGAAAAAAAAAAAAGGTAGGAGCTTTAAGATATATGTATAATTACTATGATAAAACAAATAAATTTACATCAGTTCAGCTAAAAGCCCAAAAATAAGTTACTAGGAATTTAACGAAAATAAAAAAAAATGAGAATTATAGCAAAACATATAGAAAAAAATATTAACATCTTTTTCATAAGAATTGCTCCAGTGCCTTCTATAGTGTTGATTATCTCATTGTTCAACAAAAACACATTTTTGCTCTCTTCTAATATCTTATCTTTTGTTTTCTCATCCAAATGCTCAGCGATTTCGTTTACATTGCTAACAATGTTACATTTCATGTTATAAATATTGTGGTCACCAAAGTTTGTCACATTTTCACCTTCTTCAGAAGATTTACTGAACTTGAATTTCTTCATCACCATTCTTTTACGTTTTAATATCTGCCCTCCAGAGAGCAGGCCCATGTAAAGGTGGTAGACATAAGCAATCAAATAGTCTGGATTTTCTCTTTCGAGAGATTGTAAATGAGATAAATATTTTGCAACAGCAGGACGAATATTATAGGTTTTCTTCCAATCACTACCGAGGTAATGAATTAAATCTTTCTCGAAAGCTTCTGTTCTCAGTATACCTTCAACTGACATTTTCCCCAAATTTTCTTCTTTATGCCGATCCATAGCTTCTTCCAAGTATCGAAAAATTTCATAAAATACAAGAAGACCCTCAGCCCAAACATCATTAGCAGATAATGCTAAAAGAAGATAGAAATTTATAATTTTTGCTAGTTGTAGGATGCTTAATATATCAATAATTAAATTTTTCACAGAAAAATAAAAATGAATCATGCGTTTCCAAAACGTAAATGCCAAAATTTGGAAATAATACTTTTCATACTAAAACACGTTGTAAATGCCATATTCACGCTGTAAATACATGAATAACCATTTTCTTTCTACTTTTAAGATAATTTGATCAGAAATTTCAAGATAAAGGTGGCCTACAAAAACATTGGGGAGTTTTGTCTATATAATATATATTTTCAAATTTTGTCATTTACAACGTCTAGGAAATGCACGATTCAAATGTTGTTACCCATCAAAACAATAATTTTGAAGAGCTACGAATAAAAAAATAATATCTAAAACAATTAGGATCATACCAAAACAATATCTGTAATCCAATGTAAGAGAGCCTCAAATTTAAGACATGTCTGTTTATCTATTGGCGTTGTAATGAAATTTGATGAAAATAATAGTGATGGAGTACTAAAATTTAGGAACATTGAAAATAGAGAATTTTTTAAAGGTATTCAAAGCAATAAAAAAATCAACAAAAGGTTACATAATAAAAAAATGAATTTATTTACAAAATAACAAAAGATATTTAAATAAAAATAAGTTATCCTTTTATATATACTTTAATTATTCTATTTCGCAACTGGTTCCGGTCATTATGATAGCATAAATAAGCATGACGAATGTTTAATACCTGAAATCAGCTGGAAAAAAAAAAATTCTAAGTATACACAGGGAAACATCTTTTTATTTAAAATCATCTCACTCATGTAATATTGAGCCTCAATTCAACAATTATAGTAGATGGGTGGTTCATGTATTTGATTGTTCTTAAAAACATATTTTATTAAAGGTCAAATTTAAACCTTATTGTGGAAATAGGACTATAGTTCGTCTTTGATAAGTTGGCAGCCATCATCACATTTATTTTTCCTTAGCTCTCCAATATTACTTATAAAATATTTGCAAATATATACATATTGGAAAATGATATAATTTTCTAATTCATGTATACGTTTGTAAATACTTTGTAAGTAATTTCAGAGAGTTAAGGAAAACATGTATTACAATTTTGTGCTGCTCTAGCTTGCTTTCGGATTACCAACTAATCTTGGGCGAAGTATAATATTACTATAAAAATCCTTATAAACTGTTTAAATTGAATTGTAAAACTTCAAAATTTACAATACATCTTTTTTTTTTAATTAAAAATTCATTTGGGTGTGAGAGTAATTTGATACAAAATGGTAACAGATCTCCCTCTCACCTCATGATTTTTATTTAAGCAGCCCAATACTATAAGGCTTTGCCATACAAGTACATATCGAACATACGGTTGTTAATTATTCGACAAAATACATTATGATTACTTGAAAATTTTAATTTATTGGTCCGTTTTAATGATTAGATCTAAAACTTACTTATTAAATGAATATAAGCTTTAACTTTATCCATATAGCAAAAAAATTACATCACCTTGGTCAATGTCTTTCAAAACTAACACATATTTCGGTCAGCACTTTAAAATTATTATTTTGACAATTGAACACTTTCAAACAATGTAATGTAGTTTTATTTTAAAGAGACAAATTTATTTATTCAAAAAATTTAACTGAAGCTTATCAGCAATGCATAACACGTATGAAGAAATGAACTTCAATACCTAAAGAAAATTATAACACTTTTGAATTATAAAATTAAACTACACAAAATTGGTATAGTAAAAATTTTGATTATTAGGAACTATGCAATCATTGTTCATAATTTTTATATAACTTTCTCACTTAGCTATAAAAAAAATTACTAACCAAAAGCTAATTTCCCATTGACTAACATATCACTAACAGAATGTATTTCTCTAGTAACAAGCCTAAGTTGTTTATTAAAAGGAATTTTTTCTTCAGTCATTTTCAGTGTTGTTTACAATCACAATCACAAACAGCACAATAACCTACAAGTTTTTATAACCTGAACAAAGACACTAGCACATTCTGTCATGTAAAGCCAATCTATAACAAGTAAAAATCTTTATTTTTATTGAACACATTCAACTTTGATGAAATATTATGGCTTTAATTGATCGGAGTCTTTTTTATTTTTTTGTTATGAGTTTCAAGTACTTCATCAAGCGCAGCTTTCATAATTGAATATCTACTCTTTGCCAAATCTGTACAACCTTTTAACTGTTCAAATGAAATTTGGTAGCCTCCTTGTTTTTGAATTACTTTTACATTATTATTATCAATTAAAATATTAAATAATGATCTGCAATAGCGCTCCTCTTTAAGTGACGGATCAGCAAGTATTATCTCTTCAAACACCCCAAAAGTAGTGGAAATCGGGCAATCCTTGATATTCAAAGGTTCCTTCAAGTTTTCATTAATAGTAAAATTGTGTTTTTCCATACAAAACTCAAGTTTTGGCAACAGTATTGTTTTGAGAGCCATATATATAGCAATTACAGCAGCATCCCACAACCCTCCATCATAATTTAAACACAGTACATCAATATGGAATACCCAAACTAATTCACCCTTGAATACGCAAAGTTCTTTTGGGTCGATAATTTTCATTCCTATGAACAACCTGTTGAGGAAACTTGTACATAACTTCATACTTTGGCCAAGATTTCTTTGGTTTGCATCAGGGCAACTGATGTCAGGAATTTTTGTGTTGATTTGAATAAAACCTGTATCCTGAGACTTCCGCTGGGGTTTTCGGAATTCACCTCTTATACCACATAGAACAGTTGTATTTCCTATCTTCACCAATGAAGAACTAAGGCACTTAGATAACACATCAACAGAAACAACACATGGTCGATATTCCAAAAATCCTCTATCGTTTTGTGGCCTGATTCCTTTTGATAAGTAATCTTTTAGGTATTTTTTGGGATTTATGTTTTTATATACTTGTTCATTAGTATGAAAATCACAAGCAGCCATGGCTGCAAAAGCAATCAGAACTTAAAAACAGTTCAAATAAGTGACACACGACCAAATTGGAGAAGGTAACACAAACAAATGGTTATCCAGCCGAAAATCGATTTCAACTATGGCTAAAAGATGTATAGATGGTTGACCGTAGATATGATATGAGAAGGAGTTGATCGGGGGGTGCGGTCAAATTAATACTAAATTAAACAATTAGAATTATTTAATTTTTGCCGACGTTTCGACCTACTTTGCAGGTCTTCATCAGGGCGTAGGATGTAGCACTGCGGGAGGCAGTTGAAACACTGGAATCAAGATTCAAGAACTTTTTTTAAAATGATTATTTAACTTCTTACCATAGAATTCATCTTTCTTTGAATGACTTCATTAATATTACCGTATCTAATTATCAAATACATCATATACAGAAAAAAAGAGGCAGAATTCAAAAATGTTTTTTTGTTGTAACGAATATTAGACATAGGCCAGGTTCTACATTTAAGTTCCCAAGATATTTCCTCTATACAGCAAGTTTTCAGAATTGCAATATTTCATCATCGTCCAATGGCGCTATGGTTCTTGCGGAAACTTGGCCTCCTCAACTATCTTCCTCCAAATCGACCGGTCTTCGGCTGTCCTACATCTGCCTACACCCATGGTCCTTAAATCATTTTCGACGTCTTCCAGCTAACGATATCTAGGACTGTCTCTTTTTCTTATTCTACCTCCATGTCCATGGATGTCCCTCCATCACCATTTTAGGGAGCCTGCTATGTTCATAGCCTCCGTTTTTTGCACATGACCCAAACATCTTATCCTTCTCCTCTTTATGGTGGATATAATGTGTGGGGCATTATATAACTTCTTCAGCTCATCATTTGTCTTACGCCAAAGATTTCCTTCTTTGGTTGGGTCATAAATTCTAAGAAGTATTTTTCTTTTCCATCTGTTCAATCGGCTCTCTTCGTTGAGTGATAGTATTCAGCACTCGCTTCCACATGTAACAACTGGTTGCAGGACCATCTTCTATACTCTTATTTTGAGAGCTCTTGGTATATCACGATTTCGAAAAATTTTTGTTAGGGACCAGTAACACTTATTACCAGCTGTGATCCTTGCGTTTATTTCTTCTCTTATATTGTTATTCTCAGTGATAACAGTGCCTAGATACCTAAATTGTGGTAGGGGTAGGGTGGCCGAGCGGGCTAACGTGTGTGCACAGCACAGCGCGTTGCTCCACAACCTGATAACCAAAGTTGGAAAAGATAAGAATTACAAGTTCGTGTCCTGGTACCCAGGGGGTCTTTTAACTTTGGCATTAATGCTACATCCTCATCCCCTGGCTCGGGAAAACCACCGTATAGCCTACAAGATGAGGAATGGGTGAAAAAATAAAAAAAAACCTAAATTGTGCTACTCTTTCGAAATTATGTCCAGCTCCTTCGATATATCTAGTGTCTTTCATCTCCCTCGTTGTTAACATTTATTTATTTTTATCTTTATTTATGACCAGTCCTGCTTTTTTTATACACTCCTCGAAGACGCCTAAGAGTGTATTGGATGTGCTCCCTGTAATGACTTCGTAATCCGCGAATGGCGTTGAGTCATTCTGTCAAATATACATCCTCCTGACCTTGTGCCGATCGATCTCATGACTACTTCTAACACCAAATTGAACATGACTGGGAAATTGCATATTTAGCGTGACAAAATAGGAATTTTGATATCCTCATTAAAATTTGAGATTAGTATATATTTGAATGACGATTGATCCAAATAAATCAGTTGATTTTTCGCTTCAAAAAATAATATGTTAAAGTTTGAATTTGTGTTTCTTTATTTTATATTTTTATATATATCTCATGACATATAGAAATGAACAGTGAAGATAAAGAAAACAATTTTTGTATTCGACTTAGCACCCAAAGCGGTGAGATTGGTAATTTGAATGGATACACCAGGTATTTGAATTTACAAACTACACAATGTAATTCATAAAAGAGTAATTTATTTTATGACAAAGATTAATCTATTAATTACACCAAGTGAAGGTAATCTATTTGTTATCTTTGATAACACCTACAGAGAAGGTAATCTATTTGTTATCTTTGATAACACCTACAGAGAAGGTAATCTATTTGTTATCTTTGAGAACACCTACATAGTTGCGGAATGTTTGCTTCCACGTACCTATTCCTGTTCCAACAAAAGATTGTGAGCTTTGTTCGATATCAAAGGGGCTTCTATTTTAGATAATCACTCATTTTCAACAGAGATGAAATAAGGAGTAGTACTGTTGACCAAGGAGTGATCACCTAATTCCAAACATAATTAGGTTTTAATCCGAGTAACTAAGACAAGCAGGAGTTTTGTAGTGTAAAATGTTTGTATTTTGGAACAATGGCTAACAGACAATGGAATTTAATAAACATGTGATAGTAACTATAACCTTATATATTTTTCTTAAGGGGCAAGTGTTTTGATTAGGAATCGATGGAGTTCTCATCATGGAAGACTATCAATTTGCTTTACCCTTCTTTCGAGTTCATTCATAGTAAAATTGAAGAAGCTATTGATTTAGATTCACTAAACACAAACTTAAAAAGTTTAGTAATCATTGGAGAGCCATTGTATGCTGCACCGGACATTAGTAGATTTAAACTTCTCGAAGATTTGTGGCTTGTCGAATGTTCTCTTCATGTAAGTACTAACAACACTAAACTTGCACTAATTGAAACGGATTAATTTATATTAAATCTATCATAAATATCGTTAATTTATTTTCTCAGTAGATAGCAGATCAAGTGCAATATGGCAAATACCTACGATACTTACATTTGTCTTCCAACGCTCTGACGAAGATACCAAACCTTGTAAATCTACGTCACTTGAAAAAACTATGGCTGCCTGGAAACTCGATAGAAAGGATATATGTAAATTAAACTTCAGTCCTTTACTTTGATAATTTCGATGGTGAAAAGAGGAAAACAAAAATATATTTCTAATTTTGCAGGAAAATGAACTTCCTCCTTCATTGGAAGATTTGAATGTCGCCGAAAATAGAATATCAACGATTCAATATTCTTTTCAAAATTGCTGTAACTTGGAAACGTTAAATATTTCCGCTAATCCAATCCAGTCCATTTTCGTAGGTGACTTTAACTTTCATCTTTTATTTTATTTACTAATTACTTTTTTAGTATATTTTATTAGTACTTCATTGTAACAGGAATTATGCCATTTAACGAAGTTGAAACGCTTGAAAAACTTGTGGTTATGCGATCCACTTTTCGAATTGACAGCTCTAACGAAATTGGTCAACTACAGAGCGTTCGTCATCAATTGCCTTCCGAACCTCAAGAGGTTGGACTTCCACTCTATCGATGAAAAAGAAACTGAACTATCCAAAGTAGTACAATTTTAATTGTGTTCTTCTTTTAAATATGTCGATTTTAATGTTAAAAATAAACCTTTATTTACAACAGGCCTAGAACCTCTCTGGATTGGGGCTTGTATACTTACAACAAGCGATAATTACTTATATACTCGATCTAACCTTGACTGTTAGACTTTACAATTACATTTACTTAGGATACAGCTTTAGCTTCGTCCCTACGCTCACAGGGTATCGACTATATATATATATTACATATACACATACGAATCGTCTTACCTCAGAGCAAGGTCCCCAATTTTCAAAGTATTCTATTTCTATCAATATAGCAACATACGATAATGGTTTAAGTTTTCCGCCTAACTATTCATCACCACCAAAACAAAATCAAGTTTGAGATCAATTCAGATCAAGACACAACATAAAAGTGTATTAGATTCACCAACTGGCTAGAATGGAAGAGGAAGCTCTTCAAATATACTTTTAATTAGGTTTAAAGGTGGGAAAAAAGAGACGTAGTCTTCAAGGAGATCGAGAAGGGTGCATTTTGCATGACGGCATTGTTGTATTAAGGGCTTGGCGTAGTTAGGCAAAGGACAGAAACGAATGGACGTGACCACTTTATGCGACCAAGATCCATAATGGGTTATATAGCTTACGATGATAAAGTAGTATCGTTACTCACACTTTGTTTGACTCACTTATGACTTCACTCTCTACTTTTGATTCTGTATTGAAAGTATCTAGTTTGCGTATTATGTATTCTTTAGTTATGCAGATTAGGTTTATAAGATTCCCAACCATCACAGCTCAAATTTATAAATAACAATAATTCAAATGATATGTTATTAAATAAAAGAATGTTGGCATTCGATTTTTTTTTCTTTTGGTATTACATATCTAAATCAGGTGTGTTCTGTGAAGTTACCATTTCTTTCCGTACTCTAAGCGCAGTGTCCGGGCGTCGTGTTCCAACTCGCTACTGTTCTCAGGTCTCAAGTAGTATTTTTAAGTGTTGGTCCATGATTTCATAAAAAAAACGTGTTGGGAATAAAATTCAGTCCACCTTAACCTCTCGAGTGGAATGAATCCTATATCGGTTTATTTATTAAAGGTTAAAAGATATACAATTCTAGATTAGTACTGAGACACCTTAGATTGATCATAAGAGTTTCATTTTATGAATTATTATAGCTATGCTCACCCTACTTTGCATGTGTCCATGTCTTCAGGACCGAAAAGGACTGAGCGGAATAACGTTAAATATAACATTACTTTTGTTACTCTCGGAAGAAGGTTACTAAGGAAACGATTTAGTAAACCATAAGTGTTTCCTTGACTTGCTAAAATGCAACCTAATTTCTATGGAGTGGTCGTTTTCCATGTCTACTTGACCAAGTTCTTTGTTTTTTGAATTTGTAATCCCTAATTCAGACTTACTTGCCGTATATTCTCGTAAAACCATATCCAGTGTTGTTTTTTTCTCGTTTATTATCAAATCCATTCTTCTAGCGAATTCAGTAACTTGACTCCTTTTACCAACGTGGATGATAAACACTCCTTACATAAGGATAAGATCCTGCATTCAACATCGTAACTTGAAACATCCTCGAGAGTTTTTCTTCTCAATGTAGAGTTCTTTACGATCGATAATATCGTAGGCAGTTTTAAAGTCTATGAATAAATAATATATTGGAATGTTGAATTCTCGCGCTTATCCAGCACTAGTAGGAGAGTAAAGTCCTCTTCTACTGTTGATTTGCCTTTACGAAAACCATCGTATACACATTTCTTTCATCCAAGGGAAATATTGAATCAAAAAGTCCAAGAGAAAGAATATCTTCATGTAATTTCTCCGGTGACATCCATGTTCTATTATAAATAGGAGATGAGTCTAGACGGATGAAGCTATGTTACATGTTTAATATGTCCATTATCTAATTTAGCTACGCATTGAAAATTTGTCTGTATACAGATAAATGTAGTGTTTAAAATAATTGTATTTGTAGATATATAGTCCGTGTTACAGACCTATTTTTATCAAATTATTAACATCCGCCTGAAACTTCGTAAATAGCTTCATCTCATCGTAACCTACAACTATTTTATTTAAGAATATTTTCGTAATTGGGGAGTTTTCAATCTAAAGATGCAAACTTTGTCTATTTCATAAGGTACTGAAAACTCGTAAAAGCACAATTTCTTTTCCACTTGAATCGTAAAATTATTTGATCACTCGAGAAAAAGACGGCCTACAGAAATATTTGGCCTATATAACCTAGTTATTTTGAAATGTTAGAGGTGTAGATCACGGCAAACGGCATTTTTTCTCAATATTGTGATCAAATTATCGTACGGTTTCAATTGAAAAGCAAATGTGTATTTACGATTTTTTTTAGTACCTAATTAAATAGAAAAAGTTTATTGATCTCCAGATTAAAAACGCCCCAATTTCAAGAGTTTTCGCGAATGAAATAATTGTAGAAGCTTCAGAAGGATGTGATTAATTTGATAAAAAAGGGTCTGTGTCACGGACTATTATATAATTATGCTCTGATTTGCTGATCAGCTGTTGAAATACTGAACAAAATTAAAACTTTCGAATTATTAATTTCTTAAAGTCAAAAAAATAACTCTTATTTAAACCTCAAACATTTAAACACTATCCAATTAAAATTCTTATAAAAAGTATATGCACTATCGTAAAATATTATAACAAATAACGTACTACACAATGACTTGAACACCCTGATGGGTTTAAATATTTCCTGCGAATGTTTACAAAAGGATCATTTTAACACAAAAACTTACGCTCATAAATAAACATTCCCATAAACACCTCACTGAGATGATGTGATCAAGATGTTTCTCAATTCATTGCTTGTACTAAGTCCAATTATATCAAATTTATCCAAATTATATATAAATATAATTGCTTCTGCTAAGTAGTTTGCATATTGTATGTATAATTTGAATGACATATTTCATTGGTAATTAATAATAGATGATGTTTGTGAGTCAATATTTATTAATATAAGTGCTCGCCAATACTTGCTGCAACTGATTATTAATTTTTCAGTTATTTTTTGTTAACAAGCACAATCATTACAAAATGCTTTCGGTGGACGCAACTTACAATCATTACTTAAACCAAGAAGAAGAATACAAAAACTCATCGCAGGAGCTTCAGAAACTGAAAAGAAATTTGTACATTCTAAGCCTCAATGAAGAAAAGGTATGTTTCATTCTCCTATCATTACCATGTATATTTTTCCTTTATATTGTAATTTATTATTTAACAATTTCACCTATTTTCTCTACACTACCTGTTCTTTTTGAACAGTTATTTTTTTTTCTCTTGTTTTATCTATAATTTTTGAAGTTGAGTTTATTGATATTTTGTTATTAAGAGTTAATTTGTTTTTATTTTCTCTGGATATTGTATTTATGTTTTATTTTTTCTCGTAACTTTTCATCCTTGTTTATTTAAACCTTTGTATAAATTTATAGCTTTTTCCACCATAATAAATATTGTAAACATTTAGAAGAGGTTTTTTGTTTTCCATTTTACTGACTGAATATTTTTATTTTAATATTTTGATGTTCCTTTTTTTTTTCACTTTTACAGGTCTCATTTTTATTCACTATTTTTTCCCCCTTCATTTTTAATTTCACTCGAACTTTCTCCACCTTTGAGGAAACGCACCGGGGAAAGATTTGTATTTCGATTTTGAAGTACTCCTGGCCCCAACATCTTTTGGTCCTCCGGGCCGGATCGTATACACAAACGCGATAACACATCGCAAACGAATCCAAAAATACAAATAATATGCACCAAAACACATTTTAGGGAAAATATCCCGCGGCCTATTAAAAAAAAAAAATAATAATAATCATTTATTCCATTATTAACATTTAAAAGGGGCTAATGGTGAGAAAAAACAATAATAACAAAAATAAAGATATGAGCGTATGCGGCGTTAACACTGCCAATATATTAGTTAAATTGTCCGGATACTCTTAGAAGAAAAAAAAATGTAGGAAAATATTGAATAAAAGAAAATTAAAAGTTTATATAGTATAAAATAACTTAAGAAATAAATTTAATTTGTTTAGGAGAGGGACAGATGACGTCATTGCCCGGAGACGCCAAATGTCTAAGGCCGGCACTGCGAACAAATACATAGGCAAAAACGAGTAAGCCCCGGACCTTTTACCGCCTCGCTATTAAGATTCGAGCATTTTGGGTTCAAGTCTTATAGCCTTCTTAACGAGCTCCTTAAAACATTAAGCTCGTCGGTCTAAGTGGTCACAATGTGGCCCACGGGCCAAAAAGTTGGAGATCTCTGGTCCTCATCAAACAGTTAATCGCCTACAAGACAGGATGCAAAAAACTGAAAGACATTTTTAAGAGAATTACGCAGCACCTCCTTATATTTCGATATTAACGTTTCTTTGTTACTTAAGGTCTCTCTTCAAACTTTTTTTGACCGTCTATTGTTAGTCGGCATTAGTGAGGCTTTTGACGTTAAGCATTGGAAGTTAACTTGTACTCATAGTTCTCGCTTGTAGTAGTACAGTCAAATGTTAGGCGTAGATAATTTATTTTCAGATGGGAGAGTGTGTCAGTATTCGAGAAAGATCAGGTCTCGTGTCAAAGAGAACTTAAAAACAAAAAATAATTATTTCTTAAAAAAATTAATAATTTGTTAATTTACTACTTCTATTTTTTTCTAATTGGATCATTTAATCTTTGGTAGGCTAAGGGGAAAGAAGACGAAAACACTCTCATGTTGATACAGAAGCTTCGAAAATATTTGAATAGTCAAATAAAGATTTGGCAAAACAGAAGATTACGAGCTGAAGCTGAATTGGAAGAACACAGAAAAGTAACTAATAACCTAATATTTTAACAGTTCACAACATATTTAAACTGAATATTTTTAACCGTACCATAGAGTAACGTATTCGAACTTTTAAGTATGTAAGTATTAATTTTTATAGAGGGACAGTTCAATTATCATTTACGTTCCCGACCTATCCAAAAAAGCTAAGTTAGACATACCCTGAATTCCGTAAATTTCTTCAAAACAAAATTATAGAATTAAAACTCGATTTACATTCTATATGATATGTATATTCCATAAACGTATAAACTAAAATATTAAATTTATATGATAGCAACTTCTTACTCATTACAGCTGCATATACGTCAAATTGAAGTCGAATTGGCAAATTTTGGAAATATTAAATTTAAGATGCACAACAAAAACTCATGTGTAGCGAGAACTTGTGAGAGGATTTTGAACAGCTTCATATGTAACCATTTGAAGTAATTATTTCGTATTGGTTTATTTTTATAGTGATAGTTGATTTAATTAAGCAAATTTAATTTAAATAAACATATTTTTTAAGTTAAGATTGAGTTTAGTGAATTTTTTCCGAAAATAACGGACTATGACAGTGGATTGAAAGTCATTGGTAGGAAGTGGGGATCCATATTAGATCCGTTTCAGAACACGTATAACACATTTATGATGGTTTTGTGGATGTCTGATATAAATCTCGCTCTCTCTTTCTCTCTCTCTCTCTCTCTCTCTCTCTCTCTCTCTCTCTCTATATATATATATATATATATATATATATATATATATATATATATAAAGAGCATCTAAACATCTTTATATATATATATATAAAGAGCATCTAAACATCTTTATATATATATATAGAGAGAGAGAGAGAGAGATAGTTTATATATACAACGAAAAAGTTTATATTAACATATATCTCAAGATCTATTATTTACCACATTAAGACTGACTGTTCAAAGTTTAACGTGTTTAATACTAAATAACAGGTTTTAATCACCTGATAAACAAATTAACGATAAGCAATGACAGTAGTTGCTCATCTGTATATATATATATATATATATATATATATATATATATATATAGAGAGAGAGAGAGAGAGAATAGAAGAGAATAGAAAATAATTTTATTCTGGGACAAAGTCCCTTCAGAATAACAAAAAATTACAAAATTAAAATGTTATATCTGGCCAAATAAAAAGAAGCAAAAAAAGTAAAGGTAAAGATAAATCAGTAAAGAAAATATTAGTTATACATACTATATACAAAATAAAATAAAAACATCTATATACAAAACTCTTGAAACCTTGCCAAGGCACTTAAAATTATGTACAATGGTAAAATATAAACATATACTTTTAGAAAAAATAAAAAATACATTACAATCTTCTTAGCAGTAAACTCTGTGTTTCTGTTGAAAAAAAAAAAAGAAAAAGAAAGTCGAATCTGCTAATAAGTATTTCAGTTATGAGCTATATGTAAATACATTATTGTGAATAATATGTAATTTTACATAAAAGGTTAGCGGGTATCTGACTGTTTTTGGGACAGGAATTGGAATAGGATGGTTTTGAATGTAGACAGGGATGAAGAATGCCGAATTTTGATAGGAAGGGAATTCCAAAAATTAACAGAGCGAGCTATAAAGGAGTTTTGGAACGAGACAGATATGTGAGAAGGAATGTAAAGGTCGGAATGTCGAGATCTTGTGGAAAGGGAGTGGACTGAGGACTTGAATTGGAGAAGGTTGTAGGCGTAAGAAGGACGATGATTGTTGATGATATGATAGAGGAGTGTACCTAGGAAATATTGTCTTCGAATGGAGGGGAAGAGCCACTCTAACTCAGTGTAGTGGTGAGAGACATGGTAGTATCTCGGGACACCAATTACAAATCTCACGCAACTGTTCATTAATCTTTTATGCATACATATATATATATATATATATATATATATATATATATATATATATATATATATATATATATATATATATAGAGAGAGAGAGAGAGAGAGAGAGAGAGAGAGAGAGAGTGAGAGAGAGATTCTCACTAAATTCCGGGACTTCCCGTGGTCTCTTTTAGATCTAAGTATCAATCCAGGAGTCATGTAGATTTTTCATTTTTTTGTTTTACAAATATTTAGTTGTTTTTTTTTTCTGTTTATTCCAGATATATTATCGATTCAATTGAAGTCTTAGCCGTGACCCAAGTTCTGAGGGCAGGGCAATGCTCATTGAAATTCACATCACAAAATAACGATTGGACCCCAGAGCAAAGCTTGGAATCTCTTTATATACTGTGTGAGCCATTGTATGTTCAAGATTCCTACGAACCGTTTTTTAATTATGTTCAGCAGTCACTTTATTTTCAGGTGCTATTTTAAATATATAACTTTACCTACCTATATTGATAAAAAAAGTGTTTCAAAGGACAAAAAAAAATCTAGTGGGGTCCGCTCATCACGCAACTTTCACTTACCACCCTCTTCTTAGCAGAAATAATTATTTTCAGATAAAGAGGAAATGAAAGTAAAAATATAAACGCTAAATTTATGTATAATTCATTGTGGGTATTTTTATTTGTATAAGTACCCTTATATGTACAAAATTTAATTTTTATATCGTTGTAATCTATGCAATTAAATATTAAATAATATCAACAGTAGCATCTATGAAAACCGCATATATTTTCATAATAATTGTTATGTCCTTATTATATTAAGCTCTTTTTACGTACCTGGCATGCTCAGGTGTGCTCGTATTCCTTTGGTTGCTCAATTACAACTATTCTCCGTTATGATCTCTTATTTCTCCTTTAGTTAATTATCAAATTCAACCATATTTTATATTTAACTATCTTTTATATTAGAGATTAATGTGAAATGGTCAATTGTTTTAAATAAAAAAAATTAAATGTACTTTAGGGTAAGCTAATATTGAAAATTAACCATTTAAACCCCGTTAATAAGCTATTAGAGAACATCAATCAGAATAAAACCTACATTTTATTTTAAACTGCTTAATTTTACATTGATATAATCAATTTAATCAAAATCGTGTTAGAGCCGTTTTCAAGAGAATCGTAAAAAATGTGTTTAGTCCATGATATAAAGTGCCACTTCCGGTTACTCGATTTTAACAAAAAAAGTTGCTATAACATCCCAAGCATATAAAAACCTTAAATATGCAATTTCACTTTCGTACATTTCGTTTTTGAGCTAGACACACGCACACAGACTATTTTACAGGACGTCGTTATTTGGACTCAGGAGACTTCAAAACATGTATTTTCGTTGCAAACTCAAGATTCGAGGGGGTTTTCCCGATCGCTATACTTGTCCTGGCTATAGGAGTGTAGTGGGTTTGGGGTGTGGTTTTGTTGTGGGATGGTTTAGGGGTTGAGATGGGGTTGTGGTTTATAAGGGGTTAGAAGGGGGGTAGGGGGTATTGGTTTTGTGTAGGAAGTGGGGTGGGTGGTTGTATGTTGATGTGTTTGGGGGGTGGAAGTGGAGGGGGGTGCTGGTGATGGGGGGGGGGTTATTTGTGTGGTGTTGAATGTATGTATTGTGAGTGAATTAATTAGAGAGTTTTTGGGAGTTGGAAGTAAGAGTGTATGTAAGATGAATGTGGGGAGAGGAAGGGGGGGCGTTGATTGGAGTGTGGGAGGGGGGGGGGTATGGGGGAGGAGATGAGGTAAGGATATAATTAGTTGGAATGATGGTGGGATGGGAAAGAAGAGTAAGATGAAGGGAGTGTTGATTAGAGTGAAGGTATGGTGATGGATAGGGATTAGATGTGGATGCAAATGGAGTGCTGGAAGATGAGGAAAGTAGAGGGATAGGACCAAGAGGGGGTTTATTACGGATGGTGTGGGGAATGAGAGTTTGTTATGATTATGTGTGTAAAGTGGTAGTGTGAGAGGAGGGATGTGACAGAGAAAGCTTGAGGTAGTGGAGGGATTTGTATGATGAATGATGGAAGGGAATAGAGGTTGTGATGGGTGAGGTTGGGAGAGGGGAGGGGAGTGGGGGGGGGGGAAAATGGAGGGGTTGGAATATGGGGTGATAAAATTGGAGGTTTGGGGGGTGGTAGGGGTGTGGTATTGGTGGGTGGGGTGGGTATTGTTGGAGATAGGGTTATTGTAGGGGCATTGGTAGGGGGGGGGTTGATGTAGTAGGGGATGATGGGTGGAGGATGGAGGTATGAAGGTGTATGATGAGGGAGGGTGGGTATTTGATGAGGAGGAGTTAAATGTTGTAGGATGTTGGGGGAATGTATAGAGAGTGTTAGTGGTGGGTATTTGGGAATTGTTGGAGGTTGGGGAGATAAAATAATAGGAAGATAGTTGTTGGGTGGCGTGTGGGGAGGATTGTTAGGGGTGGCAGTTGTTGAAAGGGATGGTGGAGATTTAGGGTATTTGTTGGGGGGGGGGATGGAAGAGAGAAGTGTATTGTTGATTGGGGTTTGAATGGGATATATAGGGTTTTTGAATTAGAGTTGACGTGATGGTTTGTGTTGGTTTTAAGAGAATGGTATGGTAGAAAGAGTAATGGTGATGTTTAAAGTGGTGGTTGGGGAGTAGTTTTGTAGGGTTAAATATAGCGTGATCTAACATTTTGAATTTCTCATAGTCATCTTTACTAGTCGTATGAGTTTACTTGAGACATCAAGCTCTTCCTGAGTCTTGTACAGTTCCTCTCTCCAGACTTAAAATCGACGAAGAGATGATGATTGGCCAGCTTGTATTCCATGATTCAGCCATAATAATTCGATCCCACACATTAAATATTTAAAACTATACTATATACATAAGCAAGTGGATACGCTATGAAATATTAGGTACTTAAATAAAACAGTTGTGACAGTTGGACACAAGTTCACATTATAGAAAAAAATAAGAACATTTCCGACTGTACATAAGCGTAATTATGAGAAGTTTTATGACAAAATTACTCGTAACTGCCCTTTATCGATCGTTATAGATCCACCAATGAAATCAACTATCTTGTTAATGCTTATCTCAATCGATTTTAAACGTTCGGGATATGAAATAGTCAAGCAATCTGTAACATTTTTTCCAAATTCTGTGGTCATCCTGATTTTGTTAACTCCAAAAACTATCTCTAGATTCGCCTCTGTCTCAAAAGAGATCTTTTCGGTTGAGGATTTATTTAAAAAAAAAAAAATGTGTTAATTTCCATCAGACTATTACGATATTCGGCATTTCATATAATTATTACTTAATTAATTAAATCAGTTTATTTGGAAGGTTAGATCGTCAACATTTGTATTCGGATGCCCTTGGCTACAGTCGAAAATATTTGAAATTCCATTTATTGTAAGATCACAGGAGCTTGTGTCCAGCCGCCATATTGCCGGCTATGTTCTTCGTAAATACCTGTATGGAAACAAAACTTTAGGCCAGTTGTAGTTGTTCATGCTAGGCGTTACGGCTACACTTCTACTTTGAACGCACTTTAAAAAATTGAAAATATGGAAATATATTTATAAATAAATAAAAAAATTTAAATGAGAAAATTAAAGAGAGTAAAATTTATCTTTAAATAAATAGAAATATATTTATTTTTAACATCTATTTATCTACTTTTTATATGATATTTTCTCTGAAACAGGTTGATGAAATAAAGTACACGATTTCTCAATGCATCGGTAAAGCTGATTCTTCATCTTTCGATCAAATATGCAATCTCAATAAAGATCATGATATATTTCAGAAAAGAATTCTTTCTCTCGTCTACATGGACATGGAAAACACAAAAGAGTAATCAACTATTTTTATTTTAGAATTTATGGTAAGTAGTAATCTGTTATATATAAGCCCCGGACTACAAAGAACGTTAAATACACTTTGAAATATACCATGTAATATGCCTTCAAAAGTACTGTAATGTGCAATCAAATAATGGAAAAAAGTAAAATATTTAATCGCTAGCTGATGTACCCGTCCTTGACCGGGTGTATAGTTAAAATTTGAGAATCTTTTTTTGAGATATCCATCTCAATGGATTATTTTACATCATGGGGAGGGGAGGGTCCAAATTCAATTTCATAAAATTGGTTCGTGAGGGAGGAGGAGGGTTGTTTTGAAATTTTTTTTGGCGGGGCTTATGGAAGTCAAGGATTGCAATAGCCATAACAAAAACTGTTATTCAGCTATTTGTTTAGGTACCACACAACTAAACCGACCACCACCCAACTATTAAAATTATTGTTAAGTGTTTAATTTTTATTTATGATGATTATAAATTAATCAAAAAGAATTGTAGTCTCCCACTTCTGTAAAGTCTGCTGAGTTTATCGCTGGCAAAATAACCAAAATAACATTGGACATTGAGTCACCTGCATCTGTGTAAAATTAAAAACTTGATCTGAATATTGTGGCGGGTGGAGTGAGATTTTTCCCTTTGAGTTGTGATCGTTTTTTTTTCTCATCATTTGAGTAGTGCAACTTTTAAATGTGGTTCACGGTAGAGTAGGTTGGGATGAGAATCGAAGTAACTGCCTAACCGGGATCTGTAAACAAATTACTCAAGAATTCATAACTTTGTTTCTACTCAATATTTTGTATTCCTTTTAAGTCTATATTTTAAGTCAACCAAGGCTAAATATAATGTCAAAATTTCAAGAGTTTACCATTAGCCATTGCCGAGCTTACCCCTGACAAAATTTCGTTGGACAATGCGGACATTCAGACAGAAAAATGTTTTTTTTAAAGTGGTTTTGGTGTCTGTATTGTATAAAACGGAAAGATATCATAAAACTGGTTGATTTTCAATCCATGTGATTTTTTTTTTTTTTTTTTTTTTTTTTTAGATGTAAACGATATAAAATGTACGAGTGATACTTTGTTTACTATCGTTGTTCATGTATTATTGCGATACCTGATTCAAATTACCACTTTGTATTTGTTCAAACCAGACTAATGGACAAATCTTTAGTACCATGTTATTATTATTCTTAGGGGACTTGAGTCCCAGAATAAAATAATTTTTTCATTTCATTCAAAATGGTTTCAACGTTTTAAAAACGTTGATTTTAAAAATATTGGTCGGATATGACGTCCGTCTAGGCACCCCAAAAACGCTTAAAGTTGAAGATTTGGAGGCCTTATTTCGTGATGATTCACGCCAGACGCAAGAACTTGGAGAATTCATCCTGGATTGCTCATTCCCAAGTGTTTTTAGGCCTCTTGACCTTGTTCCCTCAATTCTCGTTTCTTAGGTAGTTGTGGCAATTCTTTCTCCCTGCATTCTTTTAACGTGACTGTCCAACGTACCTGGTTCTCTTCAATTATATGTGCGACCGGTTTAATTTCCAAATTATTGCTAATTGTTGTATTTCTAATCTTATCCCTTTTTGGTTTCCTATTATACTCAGTTACCTCATCTCCATAGCTTGTATTTTGTCCCTATGATACAACGCCAGAATCCGAGACACTCTGGCTTAGGCCAGTAGAGCAATGAATGTTGTCTTATATACCACTTTTTTAAAACCTTCTTTCTTTTCCATTCAGCGAATGGATGCATTTTCAGCCAATTTTATCCTCTCTCTGATTTCTCTATCTATCCAGCCACATTGAGGTGAGTCCCCAAATACCTGAAGTCTCTGACTTGTTCCTACTCTTCTCCCTTTATCGAAATATTTGGTCTTCGTGTTCTTCCTGCCTTCCAATCCTCATTACTTTTATTTTACTGGTGTTAATCTCAAAGTTTAACAATTGCAATTCTTCATATAGGATTCTAAGGTTCAAATGTAGATTTCTTCCGTTATTTCCAAATATGACAATGTCATCCAAATACAAGCAAGAAGTATTGTTGAAAGTAGACTAACGTAAGTCATAACTTCATAGTCCGTAATACAGACCCCTCATCGTAACCTAAACCTATTTTATTCATAAAAATTCATGGAATTGGGACGTTTTCAATCTGGAGATAGTGAGCTTTGTCTACCTAATTAGATACACGTCCATTATGGCATATATAACCTCGTTATTTTGACATTTTGACGCCAAAGGGCTCAATATTCTTGAAGGCCACGTTTTCTCTAGATTTAGTGCTTAAATTATCGACAAAGTTTGACAATCTCCAGATTGAAAACGCCCTAATTCCGAAACTTTTCAGAAATAGAATAGTTATAGGTTACGATAAGATGAATCTATTTACGAAGTTTCAGGCGGATGTTAATAATATAACCACGGGCTATCAATATGAAATGTCAAATTATTGAGGGTTTTTTACGGTTATTACTTGACCTTATTAAATATTAATTAACATAAATAAATCTTCAATAACTTGCTACAATTTCAGAAATATTAAAGTAGCAGAAATGGGCGTTAGTGGAGGAACTTCAAACAATAATTGTATATTGCACAATGTTGCCTACGAGTTAGTGGCGAATCCCATTCTACTTGTCGAGTTCAAATATTTTAAACAGGTATTGTTACATTGTATTTATATTTTCCTATATTATTATTATTTTAAATAATTGATGTATTTTATATTTATTAATTTTTACAAAACAAAGTTCAAAAAATAATTTCTTTGAACAAAAAATATCTATTTAAGAACATTGGTAAATTGGTAATAAAATTAACGTTTATTATTATTTATTTTATTTAAATAGAATTCTATCAATCTGCTCCATATTGCTTTGCACATGTTTGAACATTAATTTTAATCAATTTAGGTTTTTTTTTTTTTAAATATATCTTATATTTAAACGAAATTATTTTATACATTAAGTTTCTTTGTCATTGACAACGATTCCTCAGTTCGGAAGAACTGATCTACCACAAGCCAGTTTACATTGCTTTAGTTTATCAAAGAAATCGTACTCAAATCTTTTCTACTTCACTTGGACAAACGTCTAACTTGGAATCCTCATACCAGACTGAAACGACAAGAAACCGTTCGACGTTTCCGACTACTCCAACACTTACTAGACAAACGCTCTAAACTTCCCCTTAATTACAAAAGACTCATATACTTGACTATAATAAGACCTATTTGGACTTACGGAGTTGAGCTATGGGGCTCCACTAAACCATCGAATTCCTCTCGCATCCAATCCTTACAATCCGAAATCCTTCGTAAAATCCTCAATGCTCCTTACTTTGTCACTAATAAAATAATCCATAAAGACCTCAATGTTCCATATGTTTCCGATTTGACCAAATCCAGATACCTATCCTTCCATAATAAACTTCATAACCATCCGAATCCTCTTGTTTCTAACCTTGCTTCCTCTTCGATTCCTGATAACCCTCCGAGGCGTCTGAAAAGAAGATGGCCTCGTGATCTTCTCATGTAGAGAAATTATTAGAGTGCTACCAGTGAGTAGTTTCTCAACAAGCGTGTTTCATGTAATAATATTTCCCTGTACAAATTTACTTGATGTATTTATACTAATACAGTTGTAAATATCATAATAAAAGTTTTAAAAAAAAAAATCTTTTCTTTGATCAATTTTTAGGAAAATAAATCTAACTTCTTTTTGTTTCTTAATGAACATATATAAAAATATAAAAACTTTTCTGAATTAGGTAGGAAAGTCGTGTGGTTGGACACACCAGATTTTTTATTTTATTTTTATATTTATTTATTGAGTAAAATAATATTTTGTCACTTGGATAACAATTAGAGGGAGGTAAGACCACTTGCAAACTATATATACAAAAAAGATAAAATAAACAGAAGAAAAATAATAATAAAAAATATTTATAATAGTTTTTTTTTTTATTTGTTTATTTAGACATACAATATTCTGTCACAGGGACAATAATTATATTGATAAATGAACACATTCACACCGTATATACAAAAAAAAAAAATTAACAAAGTAAAACAATAACTAAATAATAATAAATAAAAACTATATACAATAAAAAAACAGAAATATAAGTAAATTAAAAATATAATCATACCTATATACAATATATACAATCAGGCTGGGAACCCAAATCCCTGCGCTAGTCTCTCAACCTCCTCACCGGTGCTAAAGCCGGTGGAGTTTGAGCGAGAGCGCTTAGCCACATACACTCATGTCTTGAGTGGAGAATCTGGCCATTGCCAGAACTCCAAAATAAATACTATAAAAGATTTCTGGGCCACTGCCGCTTCAATCTTCGAGGAGGATTGTAGGGATGAGTGGAACTAGATAGGGATTGTGCTAGGAGATTTGGATGATTGATAAGGTTCTGATGGAATTTGGAAAAATTTTCAGGGATAAGGTCAAGGACAAATGGGATGATGTAGGGTTTTGTTGGTTACATAGAACGGAGCATCGACTATTGTTCGGAGGACTTTTTATAATAGTAAAAAATAAAATGGGAGCGAGGTAGTTCAATGGGTGAGCACTGACTTCCAGAGCTCAAGGTCCTGAGTTCGAATCCGGCTAATGACTAGTAATTTTTCATTAGCCGTGGATCGACCCTGGGATCGGGAGACCCTCCTGGGGCACACCCAGCCTCTATAACCAGCCCCATCACCTCCCTGCACAACCGTTGGCCTTGAAACAGTACCTCCTCACATAGTACTGCACTTCATGGGTTGTAGTGGTAAAGGTTTTTTTTTTTTTTTTTTTTTTTTTTAAATAAAATAATTCTCAAAATCTAAGCTGATAAAGTTGGTTCACACTGGTTTTCAATGGCTCATATTTTCTATAACTCCCTGACTAAAGTGAAGAACTGAAAATACCGATAATAAAAAGGAAAGCTTTAATTTTCCAAATTAAATTAATATTTCTAGCTGTTTTTACTTAAATGAAAATATAAATATGCTGTTTAAAAATAACATTGTTGTTTCTGTTTTTCATAGTTTTCTTTAAAAATCGGTACGTACCACTACAGAACATTTTATACGACTTAAGATAGTCTGGCCTGATGGTTCTTAACATGACTATAATTATAAGTGTTCGTGTTATATGGACCATGGATTTCTCAAAAGTCTATATGTAAATTTGGCTTTATTGTTAGATAATTACAAATTTTATTTATTTTTTTTTTAAATGAAATCTGCCAACACTGTCATCACCACCTATGCCGATGACACGTGTATCCTATCAGTTAATAACGATCCTTATTAAACTCTTCAATCACATATCACAAGCCTTGAAGAATGGTGTAAAAATTGGAGAATAAAAATAAAATCCAACAAATCACCTTTACCCTCCGTCGTAAACCTATGACCTCTTGTCCTACAGTATCCTTCAATAATACTCCACTTATTCCTGTTGAGCAAATCCGCTACTTAGGACTCCACCTTGACAAACGACTCACTTGGAACCCCCATACCAGCCTGAAACGACTAGAAACCGCCCAACGTTTTCGACTACTGCAGCACTTACTAGACAAACGATCTAAACTTTCAATCAATTATATACGACTCGTATATATGACAATAATAAGACCTATTTGGACTTACGGAATTGAGCTTTGGAGCTCCACTAAACCATCGAATTCCTCTCGTATCCAATCCTTACAATCCAAAATCCTTCGTAAAATCCTCAACGCTCCTTACTTTGTCACAAATAAAATCATCCATAAAGACCTTAATGTTCCATATGTTTCCGATTTGGCCCAATCCAGATACCTATCCTTCCATAACAAACTGCAGAACCATCCGAATCCTCTCGTTTCAAACCTTGCTTCCTCCTCGATCCCTGATAATCCTCCGAGGCGTCTGAAAAGAAGATGGCCTCGGGACTTTCTAATATAGAACTTTAACAAGTATATATATATTATAATAATATTAACTAGCATATGATCCTTTAGATGAACTTATAGGAAACAAAACAACAAAAAAAAAAGGATTTTTTTTTATATCACTTTTCTTGATTACAGTTAATTTAAATCTCAATAATGTTTATGTAAAATCCAAAACCATAAAACAAAGAGGTTAACAGTTAACTCGGATCAGTCAGTTAACAGGCCCAATCAGGCTAGAAAAAACAAGATCACATAATTAAATGATAACGTACCATCAAACTGAAATAATAATAATTGTTTAGGCAAATTTTCAAGTTAAGGCAAAGCAAATAACTCTCATGAGTTCTTGATAGGCAACATTCTGCTTTTATGCAACGGACTGTATTTTAATGGATTAATAGGTTATACTGATTGTGCAAAAATAGCTTACCATAGTTATGTCGGCTGAAAACATCTCTTTTTTACCTTGAGGGCGCCCTCAGAGCAGCTTTTAGATCTTCTGGTCTGCCCCCACCACTTCACCGATCACTCGCCGTAACGAGAGAAATTTGAACCATTTTCACACAAACAATAGTAATAATAAAGGCTTAGCGAACCCGAAAGGTTCGATGCCGACACCACCAATACCATAAAACAGTACTTAGATAATTTAGTATAAATAACTAATTTTATTTTATTTTTTAAATATCCATCAAAACCAACATGAAATGAATGCAAGCAGTTAATTAAGGATTTGAATTTTGAGTTAAGGACGAAGAAAACTACAAGAGCTTCACAAGAGATGAATCATTTCTTCTGGAAAGAGAACCATACTTACCTTCACACTCTGCTTCAGAGAGTTTGTTTTGCAATTCCAAATCCTGGGGAAGCCTATCGAAAATTGTTGTCAGAAAGTTGAATTTGAGGGCATTTGGTGACATGATTTTTTTTTTTTTTTTTTTTTACAATAATTGAAATAGATTTTTTTATTAATAATTTGTTTTCGTTTTTTAGGATTAGTTCAAACTTTACCAAACGTAAAGGAACTAGACGCTTCTTATAATAAATTGATTTGTTTGAGAGAAATTTGCCATTTGTTTCCAAATCTTGAAGTATTAGAAGCATCTTTTAATGATTTTTCCGAAGTTCCGACTAACTATGTAAGTAGGTACTGGTTTAGAACCGACCGGCAAGATGGCGACTGGCCACAAGCTAGTTAATAATATCACATGAAGGAAATTAAATAGTTTAATTAAAGTATATTGCTTTAATTAATTAGAAATGCTTGTCATAGGCTTAGCCTTTTCAATTCTTCGAGGAATTATTTTTTAAGTCTTCTTTGCTAGAAATTTCCTGTTTTCTAATTTCTACCTCCGATTTTGTCCACAGGTGTTCTATCACATTAAGATCTAGTGACTGTGGTCTTTAGGCAGTTATAAAATAGTTATTCTAGGGATGGGCAATAGTCGATAGTTTCCACTATTGATAGTTCGATAGTATCATTCGACAGACTTAAAGAGGATTTATTTTCGCTGTATTCTTTTGTTATTTACTTTAAAATGTTGCATAAACATTATAGTAATTGACATTTATATTGGATACATCCTTCTGTTAAGATTCTAATAAAAATTAGTAAATAAATAATTCAAAATTCATACGGGAAAATAAAATTATATAGAAAAATAAATTACATTTATTTCCCTGATTTTAGATTTCAAAAAAGAAACATCGACGACATATAGGTAGTATTTTTTTTTAATTATTTAGTAAGAGAAAGGCGAGAAATGCTTTTATCTCTTAATTTCAAAGATTCTAATTTTCTAAATTTATTTTGATAATATCACTTAGTTTAAAATCTAATAAAATTTTAATGGCATCCTTGTAGATCTTATAAATATATATTTTTATGAAAAAATAAATAAAATATGTGAGGTAAATGTTACATTTTTTTTTTTTTCGATCGTCACAACTGAAGGCGTAAAAATATTTTTAAGAAAGTAATTTGAGATTAAATTTAATTAATTTTTTATGATGAAGGGTTCTTCTTGCTCAATTTTATTTCCGTTTTCTATATCAACAAGAATATCTTTAAACACGCCTTCACACCTCCATCCATTCATTTACTTAATGTGGCGTTTCCATTATACAATAACAATTTTCTACTATCAAACATTTAACTTTTACATTATTATATTATCACTATATCTCGTAAATCAATGATGGATAGAAAGATGAAGGAGTGTTATTAAAATTGTTCCTTTAAGTATATAAAATTTTAAAATAATTTGTGTCAAAGGGTTTTATACTATCGATATATTGATAGTAATGTCGGCTATCGCCCATCTCTAAGTTGTTCTTTAACTAACATGACAGAGACAGTGTTTGGGAGACAATGTTCTGATAAAAATAAACTTAGTTTTTTAGCCCAAATTTTGCATTATTCCATTCAAGTTCCTTCACAAAATACCTATGTAAACATGTTTATTCACTATTATCATGTGAATATTTCCACAATAAATTGAAAATTTCCTATACCAGAAACCCGCATACATCCCCACACCAAGAAAAATATAATAAGTTATATAAAATACACATTCGGCTATTTTCGGAAATCTTCGGTACTTTATTTAGTGTGATCATGTGAACTTGTTGCCAGCCCCCATCTTGCCGACTGAGTCAATGCAAGTTCCATTATTTAATTTTATTATTAATAAATGCTGGCAAGTCATTAATTCAAACCTGACATGGTACCTCTACGTACGTACCTAAAAGTAAACAGTTTGTACTTTAATGGTATGTGTATGTGTACTTTGTGGTACATGTCACAAAGCATTCGCTTTTTGAATTAAAAGAAAAAGAAAATGAACTTATAATATTGTTGCTATTCTAACCACCCATTTATAAAACAAAGTGTTTGTAAAATTTTAATATTGAAAGAACGACAAGAAAAGTCAAGTTGTCGTTAAACGACTTCTATCTAACTTCGTTACGATCATCACTTTTCATCGTCATCAAAAAAGTACTTTGATTAAGTTCTTTTTTTTCATAATTTCACTATATTAAGTTTCAATAAATAGTATTTTTTGATGGATTAAATGAGAGTTGTTCATTCTAGCTCATTTTAATTTCACAATCCGTACATATATTATTACAGTAAGGCTTGAAATCGGTTTTGTACCAAATATAAGCTCCTGTCATGCTCAAATACCACGAATGGGGTACCGTTGGATTCAGAATTTCACGGGGGGTTAGCGAATCGTATTCTCCGCTTTTGTTTTGCTTTCTAAAATAAATAAAGTCGATACAAACATTTTGCTAGGCTTCAATACTGGAACGGTGGTAGGTCTGTAGATCGATGCGGGACAAATTGGACCTTGAAGATTTTGATGCTTACAGCAAAACCCGGATAGTTCCTCCGGAACTATCGGATCCTGCGTTTTTAAGCCCAAAAACGTACTATTTTCGAGATAAAGCAAGGCATGGGGTTCGCATCCACACAACCTGACGTTAATTGTAGTACTGTCATTGGATACATGTCTCATTTCGTCGACTTGAGGTCTCTATGATCGAGACAGGAGGAGTTTATATTATTTATCGATGGTGTTTTTGATCGGCAAGCCATATCATCGTTAATTCTTCACCAAATCTCAAGATTGAGCCACCAATTTCGAAGGCTTCCTTCTCCTTCAGGCGGGCAAAATAGTCCAATCACCCCGAAAATTCAAGCAACAAGTTATGAAAGAAAAGAAACTTTCATTAGTTATTTGCGAATAACTAAAAAATTACACACGTTTCCTTTGGTTATCCCCATAATTATAAAAAACATTACTAAATTGTCCACAAAAGGAAAAAAAATCATTGAAATCGGACAATTTTTCGCAAAGATACAGCTTATTGGAATTTGTATATATGTTGGTTCCAAACAAAAATGAAATGAATTTGGCATTTGATAAGAATATGCTGTGCGAATTTTTCGCACGGACCTACTAGTTCTAATATATATCCTTGATTCTATTATCTGTACTTTGTTTATTGTAAAATTATCGTTTGCCAAATTTTCATCAAGCATTTTTTCTTTACAGAGTATGCCCTATTTGTGTAACATCGATCTGTCCTGGAATTTGTTCTCAAGCCTCTACGATATCTTGAAATGGATAAGGCGCTCAGCTTCAAGTACGACAACGCTCATCTTAAAATTCAACTGCTTCATGGATATAAACGATAACAGTCACGAAGAATGTCTCGTCTTCAGAGCACTCACTAACTTGACGATCTACAACGGCGCGCATCAACAAAAAGAACCGAAAACCTTCTTCAAACTCGCCGATATTTCTACACTTCCAATAAAACCAGTGCCATCAGATTTAATGATACCGAAACATTTGGAAGTTCTGAAGTTGAACAATCAAATCGCTTTTACCGACTTGGACGGAGCCCAGATAAGATTGGAATGTGAAGAGAATTCGATTTTCTTGTACTTGCTAAAAGATGATTCTTTCATCGAACCGGACGCGCCGTTCACTTTTAAAGAAATCATTTCATGTTCAGTAATGAGAAGTCAATTGGAAACAACACATTTTTTGAAAAATATGAAAAACCTAAGAGAACTAAATTTATCATTTAACCTGCTGGTATCTATGGAAAGAAATTTGCCCTGGCATGCTAACATTGTTAAGCTTAACCTCAGTTGCAATTATATCAAATCTCTTGCGGATTTCAAAGATTTTGAGTTTCCGAATTTAAAGGTATAATTATTTCATTAATAATATATTATTACACTATTGCTGTGCTGTATATGGGGGCGTCTCTGGGGATCTCGAAGGGAAACTAAAAAGCTTGATTTGATAAATTGATTTGTACGATTCATCTTCGGGATCCCAAGGGACGCCTTTACAAAGGGTTGAAGTGGCTTCATTCTTCCTTTCGTCTTGTTTCCTGGCATCCATCCTCTTCCAAGTCATCCAATCCCACTGTCCTTCATACATCTCCGAATTCCTTCAATTAAAATCCTATATTCATTCCCATAGTACCCACTCTAGTACTTCGGATCTATATACTACGGCCCACAGAATCACTGCTTTCGAAAGATCTTTCATTAACCTATCCTCATCTCTGTAGAATTCCATTCCTTCCTTCATCCGTCGCTCCAATCCCTCCCTTCCTCAAAGTCCCGCCTATATATACGCTTTTCAGTGGCTCTCTTACTGTACGTCGAATGTATTAGGGACAAAGATAGCTATCTAAAGATAGTTTTAACTGCGGTATACTAATATATATATATATATATATATATATATATATATATATATATATATATATATATATATATATATATATATATATATATATATATATATATATATTTCCTACAATGTATATATATATATATATATATCTTTTCTCTATATGGTCTCCTCGACCACATCCCGATTTAAGTACATGGGGGTAGGAGTAGCTACTGAGAGTAGCTTAATATATGTGCTAGTGGACGGTGCTGAGATTGTCGGTGTGTCCCTGGCCTGATCGAAGTTCTATTTTTTAAAATTCTAGCTTTGAAGAGGATCCCATCGTTATAAACTTATAAAAAGAAAAATACCGGAATCGAAACATAGAGGAGATGAACATTCAGTAGTTTATTAAATAATTAATATGAGACCTTATTCCCAATTAAATGGTTATGTTTGAATTATGTTAAAGTTGTAAATATATATATATATATATATATATATATATATATATATATATATATATATATATATATATATATATATATATATATATCATGGGTGATAAATATTCAGGAAGCACTCATTATAAGGTTTTTATTAGTGCCAAAGGAGATGGTATTGAATATGGGTGCTGGAGATGGTGATAAAATTGCATGTTTGGTTTCGAGAAATAGTCCGTTCGTCATCGTTAACAATCAGGTTGGAGTTTATATATATCAGGTATAGTGACGACCATCAATTCTACAGTGAAAGTAGCCTTTAAAGTTAATTTATTTTTCTTACAATAATCAACTACATAAAAAAAAAATGAAATGAATCTAATACTTGAAATTTGTTTGCAGTTCCTTGATGTGTCTAAAAACCGAATAGAGGATTGCTTTGGAATTAAAAATGCGACGAATATCGAAGAATTCAATGTCTCATTCAATTACATATCAGAACTTGACAGATTTTTGTTTCTGAAGTGTTTTAGAAAATTACGCTCCATAGACATTAGAAGAAACGGTATAGAACAAATGGACACTCTCAAGAGATATTTAATTTATCACGTCAGAACACTGGAGGTAATATTTTATAGAGGTAATACAGTTTCTTCCCACGGAATCACAGGCTGCTTTGGAATCGACATATAAGGCTTTCACATTCGGCGTCCTCCTTTCTTTGATATTTCCCTGTAAGGGATATGTTCCCGTTTGATAGGATGTTGCTCCTTATTTTGCAGGCAACAGGGAGTAGTTGTATGCCTCTGTAATATATATATATATATATATATCTTGACAATCATACTTGGGAATATCCTTTCCTCCTCTTAAATTCTCTGGATTAGTCCTGGTAGCTTAGGTCTTACTATTCTATTCTCTCCTATCATAAACAACTTTGAGGGTATTATATATTGTAGGTTCTAGAGGCCTTTCTTGTTTTAATAGCTTTTTCCACATTTATATACATTATAGATAAAAACACATGATATATCTTTTTTTTTTAACCTCTTGTGTGCACACTCACCTCCTCAGTGTGGACCATGTCTTCTTTGCCTTGTTCTTAGAGATTCGTTTTAATTTAACCTTTAATGGTTTTAAAAACAAACGAAGTATTATTATTTACCTGACCTAGTGAATAAAATACTTAAATGAGTAGAAATTGGATGCTTTAATTACGAAAACAACACTGACAGGCAAAAAATTCCACCCACTTGATTTTTTCATGTTTTCATCTAAAAATATTTCTGCTTTGGATTGGTCTATTGTTTTTAATGAATAAATAGGTAATCTTTTTGTTTGTTTTTAATAAGGAATGTTATCATAGAGGACAATAATCCTTAATTCAATGAAATGATTCTAGATTCCAATGTTTACTTTCTATTGAATCAAAATGTTTGTTCAGTATCATTAGTTCAGTGCCGTTTCTTGCAGCACATTTCTTAGTCTCCGGTTTTTAATTTTTTCAATATTATGTTTATAAAAGCCTCTTAGTGCTGAGGATGTTGCGCGTGGTGTGGCACTTATTGATGATGGACGTTCCATTAGATATGCAGCTAATGCCATCGGAGTTCCATATGAAACTTTACGAGACGCCGTCAGGCGTTTTCGGGATACTGGTTCTTACAATAGAAGGCTCGGTTCTGGACTGCCTAGGGTAACAGAACCACGGGATGACCGGTTTTTGACTTTGAGAATTTTACGAAACCGGCACCTTACCGTTCTTCAAGCGATTCATCAGCTCGAAGAAGTTCGAGGTGTGCAAATTTCTGAACGTACCGCTCGGAGAAGATTAAATGATTATGGATTAATGGCTTTTCGTCCAGTAAGAGGAACAGAGTTGACCAGAACTCACAGAGTAACATGGCTGGCTTTTGCTCGAGAACACAGCCATTGGACTATGGACGAATGGAGTACTGTACTTTGTACAGATGAGTCAAGATTCGCTCTTCGATCTCCAGACGAGCGTGAAAGGGTGTGGAGAAGAAGAAACGAAAGATATGCAGCCTGTAATTTTTCCCAGAGCCAACCTTTCCAACGTGGTTCCTTAATGGTGTGGGCTGGGATTTTAATTAATTTTTTTTTAGAATAATAATGGTTCGTTTTTCAATTTTTTTTCTCTAATCTTTCTTACCCAATCACATTTTGGTTATTAAAGGTAAAAAAGATTATAAAATTCCATAAATACTAAGTATTATCTACAATACTATGTATTATATACAAATACAACTATACGGAAATATTTTTAGATGAAAACATGGAAAAATCAAGTAGGTGGAATTTTTTGCCTGTCACCAGAACCTTACTAATCACCCTGAATCACCATCTCTATCAAGCATCATGCATCCCTACAATCTCCTTCGTAGATTAAAGCGGCAGTGGCCCCGAGACCTTTTGTAAATATGGAAATATTGGAGTTCTGGCAATGGCCAAATCCTCCACTAAAGCTATGAGTGTCTGTGGCTGTAGCGCTCTTACTCAATCTCCACTGGTTTTAAATTCCAGTGAAGTGGTTGAGGGAGAAGCGCAGAGATCTCCTAAGTGGAGGGACAAGATTGGTTTGGAGTTTCCCTGGCTGATTGTAAATAGTGTATAAAAGTAATAAGTATGAATACACTTGGGTCTAAGATGATTATTTCACTTTAAATACATTTTATTTTACTTACTTATTTACATATATATATATTTTTTTCACTCTCCTAATATTTTATTTTATTCTTATATCTATGTATTCTTATTTCTATGTAATGTTGTTATTACTTTATTTATTTATCATGGGTGATCAATATCCAAGACACAGTCATTATAAGGTTTTTATTAGTGCCGACTTTTCAATCTTTAAGTATTTTACTTTAAGAACATTTTATTTTACTTTTATTTTTACTTACTTATGTATATATATATTTTTTTTTTTCACTCACTTATTTTATTTTATTCTTATTTCTATGTATTCTTTTGTTGTTTCTTTATTATTTATTAACAGTCGACTAACTTTCTTCAATAATTTAGTTATTTATATTTATGTATATACGGTGTGAATGTGCTCTCTGAACTTTATTATAAGTGTCCTTACCTGAGACAGAGTTTAACATTTCTTAATAAAAAGTTTTAAAAAGAATATGGAAAAACATCTTAATATGCAAATTGTTTTGTCTTACAAATGTATGCAATTTTTATATATTTAGATTGATATAAATGCGCTTTTAGCTATTAATAATAGGTTGCACGATTTATTACACAAATACTGAGGTTAAAAACCCTACACAAGAAAAAAGAACAAAATCTGTCTACTCTTTCAAAAAGCAATAGTGGAATAACAACAAATATTGCTGTACAAAAAAAAGCGCACACTGATTTAGGCAATTTTATTACTGAGTATTTTCCTCTTTATGGTACGGGTTGAAACTTCAACTCCCAAACCTCTCTATATATCTGTTGAAGTAGTTAACTCTCCTAGTGCACTCCGTCTTCGAAATTTCCGGTTTATTCTCATCTCCACATGTTTAATTATAAGATTCTTCCTACCTCCCTTATTTTTTACTCGTCCGTAAAAAAAAAAACTATAACACTGCAACTCATAAAGAGTCTTGGATTCAGTACTACTGAGGGAAAGCACTGTTTCTTAGTTCAACGGTTGGGCAAGGAGGTGATTTGACCGAGATCACGCTCAACTGCCAGGTTTTCCCCCTTAATTAATTATTCAATTAAGGGTACCCACTTTATAGAGCCTGAGTATGCCCCAGGAGGGTCTCCTGACCCAGTATCGCCTCACGGCTAATGAAACAGAATAAATAATTTTTTTGCCATGAGCCTCGATTCGAACCTGGGACCTCTACCATTGATTGAGCTACCCCCACTCCCCTTTGCTCGCCCATAATCCGTTTAAAATATTTTTCGTAATGTCGGAAAGGTTATTCCATATTTTCTCCCACCTTTATGGTAGTTCATTCCCTCACCGACATCACGTTTGTAATAATGTCTTCCGAGTTTTCAACACAAAGTTAACAACACACAATAATCACTGATTCATTTAAGAATTATATATGTGTGTACTTTTATTTGTCCGTAAATATTATTCAAAGATTAGTGGTTAATCCTCTACAGAATTTCAAAACAAACACAGTATAATCAATTTTCAATAAACAGTCATGTTCCTACTCTTTAACATTATTGTGGATTTCGACTAAAAAAGAAAGCGGTATGCACTTTTTTTTGTCCAATAGTGTAGGATCAATGGCCAAAATTATTCTTTTTTTTAACTCAAAGGTTCTGAAACACTGACATCTATTAAAACTATACACCAAGAATCCAATACTATCCTTATCTAGTAGAGGTATGAAAATAAAAAAATGTAATCAATATTTGTTCAATCGTTCTATAAGGAATATAGGATATTTTAATAATAAACAATGTTGAAAAATTAAATAAGACTCCTAAATAACGAGATATTATCATATGTTACAGTACATAAACGGTTTTTCCATCAGTGAGAGCGAAGTTGCTGATGCACATACTGCCGTTGGTGGAGTTTTAGATAACGACTACTTAGAGTCAGTAAACAAGAATAAAGATTTGAAAAAAATGAAGCATCTTAACCTTGTTAATGCATCCATTAGACTGGTATCTTGGCCATATTTGCATAGTAATAATAATAATAATTAAATAGTAAAATGAGAATTTAGTTTAAGCAGCAGCAGAAAAAAAGAGGCTTAAGAAATTATTTTTCATTCAATATATTCATGGTATAGGGGGCTGGGGTAGCAGTATGGGCTAAGGCGCTTGCAATAGGTAATCAAAGTTAAGCAACATCGAGCGTGGTTAGTACTTGGATGGGTGACCGTCCAATTTGGGAGACTGTCCACCAGGGAAAGCCATCCTGCCCGAGTCACTCCCCTCCCTGGGTAAACTGCTACTGGTGGGAGGACTTTTTGCCGCCCCTCCCCCTGGGTATGTAAGCCCCATCAGTCTACTGGAGGCAACTCACACCAACTGGACGTAGGACTCATAACCCTACCGGTGTACTTAAATCGGTAATCGGGATGTGGTTAACCAGGATGTTAGTAGCCCCCCTGAGGTTTGGTCCATGGACGGTCTGTTTCGGGGAAAGAAATATAGGTCCTCGTGCGCCTGCTGACTCCGAGCAGCTATAATCAATGGGTCTAGACCGATTTGTTCGCTCCAAAGGGATCGGCTATGGAGCTATGGGTGGCCTGCCGCTGCACTATGGAGACCATGGTTTGTAGCAACGTGAGGTTGGGTGACCCCCTCCAGGCTATCTTACCTTCCGCAAGCAAGATACATCTGTAAGGAGACCACATCTTACCGCCAAAGATCTTCATGGTCTGTAGTGCCAGCCAAAAAAAAAAATATTCATGGATTATCAACTTTTTTTTTAACTGAAACAAAACATTTTTCCAATATGTTTTGATAATTGAGTTGCTTATTTGTTAAATGAATCATCAATTTTTTTTTAAATTGAGATAAATAATGATTGTTATATGTGCAATTATTGTTTTAAAAACTAAAAACTAAATATTTAAAAAAGAGGTGTAAAAATATTCTATTTTTTCCAAAAGGAAAGCCAGCCTCCTCTTCAACAAGAAATACAACGGCATTTAACCATTTTATTCAAATAAAAATTAATATACTTATTGTACCAATATAAATATACTTCATTGTACCAATTATTGTAAACAATAAGATAAATGTTTATAGTACAATTTTATTAACTTTTCCTCCTAAACCGTAGATTATTTTTTCAATCCAACCCTCAAACAACCTATTTTTTTATCTTGAATTTTGATTTGTTCCATAAGCGGTCATATTGAAGTTTCAATGTCATTTAATCACTATTAAAATAATCAGTAATCAATGTTTTTCAAAAATGTGTGATACAAATAAAGAGCCCTTAATATTTTTTTTTAAATATTAGTTATGATGTTTTATTAATTAGAATATAAAATATAGTTTTTCACGTTTCCTGAAAATTTGTCAATGATGACTAGGGTTCACTTTGGAAATGAATACTCAATTAGTCTAATAACGAATAATATATTTTCAAAATTCCAAGAGTTTTAACAGTTACAATATTTTAACTTTTTGAACCCCATTTTCTTTCTGAGTTCCATGTCTTCATGTTCTCAGAGAGAGTTGAATTATCTTAATAAATTCTAGACTAAGAAGATAATATTTAGGTTGGTGGTCAGAATTTAAAAAATAGTAAAATCTATTTCATGAATGCCAGTATTGTAGGCCACCTTCAAGGTTATATGTTATTTTTATCCCTGGAGAAGGCCTACAATGTGGGCTAAACATTCCTATTTATTCAATTCTTGTTTGCTACTTTATATTGACAACCAACTTGAACATCTTTTAGATTAAATATGATTGATTATGTTATCTCCCTTTCAGATTTCTCTAACATCGATAAATCTAGATAACTTAGTAAGCGTGAACCTTGATAACAACACGATAGAATCGATAGCAGAGCTACTTGTCCTCGAAAACCTCAAGTATTTGAGCCTAGCCGGGAACCAAATATCGAAATTCGGTGAAGCACCAAGCAGTGCGATATTCTACAAGCTGGAAGAGCTGCATTTGAACAAGAACAGTATTTCGAACCTGGAACCTCTGAAACTGCACAGAATGCCTAAGTTGAAGACTCTATTCCTCCAAGATAACTGTATCACTTCGCTCAGAGGTAGGTTCTTTCGCATTCCTAAGGTTAAAAAAAATTTATATTTAAAAAAGATTAGTTAAAATAAACCATATTAAAGGTACTTTAGAGGAAGACGTATATGAACATTGGGCATTTAAGCCCTGTAAAGTGACATCAATGGGGATAAGACCTAATTGATATTAAAGACCACTTAATTATACAATGATACACTTCGTAAGGACCAGCAACAAAGCCAATATACCTTTTTAATAAATTACTTTTTAAAGATCAAAGGTTACAAGATGATGTAGTCACCCTTAGGTTCATTCCCCAAACTAATTATGAACGGCCTAGTACCCAATTTATATAGCCTGAGTGACCATAGTGATCTATGGCTGATCTAACACAATAAATAAATAATCTTCCATAAATAGCATAAAAATAAATAGAAAGCCGGAAGAAGATCCTCCGTGGAAATATAGTAGAGACTTGGGTCCTACCGGACTACTGGATCTCACAAGGTATAAGAGTTTCCGAGCAAAGCTCGTTGAGTATTTTGTGAACATTGATCCACCAGAGACCGCTGTCATATTTTACTGACCTGTACCGCTTACGAGTCACTGAGGGTGAAGCTGTTGAGGGAGACGACAGGTCTCTATGTACTGAGAGAGGTCTTCCTGGACTAATGGGCAGAGACAAATATGCCTACTTCAAAAATTTCATATATGGATGGGAAGAAGTCCTATTATCAACCCACTTCACTCTGCAAAGAAGAAGAAATGCTGCAGCAGGAAAACAGCCAGGATGAAGTAAGAGAGAAACGGACAAGGAAGAACCGGAAGGAAGAGCAAGCTGTGTTCAGAGCTGAGGAAGAGAAATGTTATTGTTTAAAAAATGTAACAGTGGGTAACTATGTAACAGTAACATCCCACCGCTGCAAATGTTTGTATTGACTAAAAAGCAGAGGAGGGTTGAAAATAAATAAATAGAGTAAAAAATAATTATCTCCAGATTCTCCTATCATACTTTATCAAACTATCAACAACCATCTCGGCTATCTCTTTCAATTCAAATATTCAGTTCGTAAACTTAGAAACAGCAGATCATCATTGAGCTCTGTCACCTTAAAACAATTAAGAATCAGCCAATTATGAATGTTGTACGATTATGAATTACAGTGAAATATCAATAATCCAAACTTCGATAGAAACAAAAGTTCGAACGGAATTTTCTCCAAAATTGGGTCGAATCGAATGAGTCGTTTCGGAAATATAAATCAAGAACAACACATTTGCATAGGCAAAATTGAAAAGAATTTGGTAAAATTGACACCAACGTCATTATTCGTAGATCCGTCCCTCCCTTTCTTACTTCCAAATTTGGCTCAAATCAAACGTGCGTGAGTGTATCAAGGAAAATGCATTTGCCATTTTTTTTTTAACTCTCATACGACTACCAAGCTTTTTTCTACTTTCGCTAATGAGGAAGAAAAAGTTATAAAAGTTCAACAAAATATAATTTTCAGGTCTTTCTAGGATTTTACTGGTTTTCTCCGCAACCTGATCAAGTAATCTAGAAATAGAGAGGAGAGTGTAATCGAAAGTTCACACTATTCGGCGTTATGTAGCCATCTAAATTCTTCCATTGACCGTCATGCAATTCAGCATTGTGTAACCGTCTAAATTCTCCTGTTGACTCGCCACGCAATTTGGCTTTGTGTAGTACATCAATTAACCTGTGGTAGCGACTTTGCCAATAAATTTTCAGATTTATTGACGTTTATGGTTAAGTACTCCTTAGTTCCTAGGGATCAAGCAGAGACAATATTTGTTCAATAATAAATCTATTAATTTCAGGCATAGAATACCTTGGTTCATTACGTCACCTTATTTTGGACAGAAATAAAATAAGTTCAATAAATTCCAATGATGTGAAGAGATTTATAAATTTGAAAGATTTATATCTGGAGTGCAATCATATTAATAAGCTTGATTTTTTGCCTTCACTCAAGAAGATAACAAGGTTATTCATCAAGAACAATCGAATAGAGGTAGTTTGTTATCAATTTTTATCCAACAATTAAATAAAATAGCTTTTCCTCAACATCCTGTATCAGCTAAATTATCAATTAGGTCATTTGTGATTTTAAAATAGTCGTAAAAATTAAATTTTATAAGTACAGCAATTCAAAATCTGTGAAATAATAATTAATGAATGAACGATAGAATATTTACAGTGCCTAAATGGAAGGAATCCATCAGACCATTGAATTGAACAGGACTCCATCGGAAGGTTATAAAACCCAAAAAAAAGAAATATTTAACTACTGAACTGTTGAATTTCAAAACGAAAATAAATAGAAATAGAAAGTAAACATAATCTAAATATATAAAGGAAGGAGATGGTCCCGGGTGGGGTTCATAAATAGGCTGAATGGTGGCAAAACTATTTTATTGAAAGCCAACATTTCGACCCGTTGACCGTTGCATTATAAAGGAAATCTCTTTATAATCTCTCAACGGTCAACTATTAAATATTCAATCTAAATATATATAAAGTTAATTGTGAAAATAACAATACTGAGATTATAATTTGGTTACATCCAATGATCCCGAAAGCTGGTGGAACCAATAAATGACTTTTTTCTGATTTATTCTCCCACCAACTATAACCATTTTTTTTTTTTTTAATCTCTTTATTCTTTTTAAAAAAATATTCCAAAATTAAAATTAAGTAAAACTTATTTCTCAAGACTTAATTCCAAACAAAAAGTTTCTTCAAAAAAAGATATTCAAGACTTTTTGGAGGGATTGAGAGAAATGTACTAAAACTAAAAAAAGTTTTAAATAAAATAAATACTGTTATTTGATCTGCCTGCATTCAAACGTTCCAAGAGCTTCAAATATCTAGGATCTCTAGCACGGAAGAAAATTATATAAGTGCAATGATCAAAGCCAGAATAGCAGGTGGTAACACATGCCTTTTTGAGCTTAATAAGATGCTTAAATACCAAGCATCGTCTCAATCGGCAAAAATCACCATATACAAGACTATAAGACTGTTAGTGACATATGGAAGCGAGTGCTGGATGATTACTAAAAAGGGTGAGACGATCCTGAGGGTTTGTGAATGAAAGATGCTCTGATAGATATTGCTCCCAACAACCAAGGATGGACATTAGAAAATAAGAAAGAATAGAGAGCTCCAACAGCTCTTTGGTAAGCCTAATATTGTGGCAACAAAAAAAAAAAAAAAGAAGGTTGCGATGGCCAGGCTATATTCAAAGGATGGCAGATAAGATGCCACCAAAAAAATTATGAATGGCAAGCCAGGTGGAACGAGACTGACGGAAAGACCAAGGCTGAGGAGGATGGATGACGTAGAGGACGATCTGAGAGGGATGGGAGTAAGAGGATAGCGAAGGAAGGCGGAAGATAGGCAAAAATGGCTATCAATTCTAAGTGATGCCAAAGTCCAACTAGGGCTGTATTAAGTTAGTTATTCATTCAGCCTCATAATCAAACAGCTGAAATTTCATATCTTCCAATCCAAATAGTTTAAAGTCCATTTTTTTAATGTTAAAATAAAATGATACTAATATTTTCTCAATCTGTTTTCAATTTCTAATAAAGTACGTGTGATAGGCTCCAATTATGACTATGCCAGTTTTGTAATTTACTGTTTTTCAAGTTCTTGGAGATCAATATGTATTTATTTAAATTATCTTCCAATTTTGTTTCTAATCCGTATAAATAATATTTTTTGATATATTAAAGTTGAATGAATGTAAATTTGTCCACTTATGAACTGTGATGTGAAAATTAAAATTACATTTAAAATATGGGAGAATAATGTTATACTTTTATTAGAACATAAATTATAATAAAAATGCAATTTCTTTTTATTGTAAAGTCATCAGATAATTAAATATTTTTTTCTGTTCACAGAACATGGATACTTTAAGATTTCTGAAACACTTGACAAAAATTCAAGAATTTACATTTTCTGGAAATCCAGTTTGCAGAAAATTCGAATCCTACGTGAAAGTGCTCACATACTTGCCGAACATAAATTATGTAGATGGCTTCTTGATCGAATCATTTACTCCGATAGAATCACAATCCTTAAACTCGCAATAAAGATTTGTCATTCTTTTTTTATTTTGAATATTTTTTATTAAGAACGTGGTGGTTGAGATAACTGAATAAAATCAGTATAAAAACCGACAAAATAAAAAATATCACACAACACGCAAAGAAAAGTAAGTGCCATGAATGAAAGAGAAAAAAGAGGATTAAATGAATAAGTCGTTAAGCTTTTAGCAACAATGAGTGGGAAGGGCAGAGTGGTCTTCAGAACGGCTTTAGCTAACAGTTCTTCGTGCCCTTGTGACGGAATACTTTTAATTACATTTTCTCACAACTTTAGCTCTTTTATTTAGTATATCATTCTAAACTTTTTTATTTTATTTTTTTAAATCTAATTTTAATACAATTGATAAAAATACGACAAGATTGTTTGAAAAATTTAAAGAAAAAGAACCTGGCTGGCTCTTAACTCACATATATGTCCATCATCGCCTGAACCAGATTCTATCTTGACTCACATATGAATCCACCATTGTTAAAGAGTTAATCATTGACTTTGTTTAAAAATATTACCAAGTCTTTAGTATTTGAGATTGATAATAACGCATGCTTAGTTTTCTAAAACAATTTTCTACGCACTGGTGTAAAAAGAATGTATCATTTCTGCACCCAGCAGGTAAAGGACACCATGTCACGTTTTTGCATTTGTTCAGGAGAGCCTATTTTTTAAAACTTTGAGCAATTAAAATTTGTTTCTTAGTTATGAACAGATGATGATACGTTCTTTATTACACCAATACATAGAAAATTGTTTCAGAAAACTAAGCATGAGTTTAAAATCTTTTTTTTTTTTTTATTAATGAAATTTACAACTGTAATTAATAATAAATATAACAAGTAAATATGAACAAGTAATATGACATGTACAACATGAAGAGAAACTACCCATTGGTAGCACTCCAATTATATTTCTATATTAGAAGGTCCCGAGGTCATCTTCTTTTCAGACGCCTCGGAGGGTTATCAGGAATTGAAGAGGAAGCAAGATTGGAAACGAGAGGGTTGGGATGATTCTGAAGTTTATTGTGGAAGAATAGGTATTTGGATTGGGCCAGATCAGAAACATAAGAAACATTAAGGATTTTACGAAGGATTTTGGATTGTAAGGATTGGATACGAGAGTAATTCGATGGTTTAGTGGAGCCCCATAGCTCAACTCCGTAAGTCCAAATAGGCCTTATTATAGTCAAGTATATGAGTCTTTTGTAATTAATTGGAAGTTTAGAGCGTTTGTCTAGTAAGTGCTGAAGTAATCGGAAACGTTGAGCGGTTTCTTGACTTTCAGTCTAGTATGAGGATTCCAAGTTAGTCGTTTGTCCAGGTGGAGTTCTAGGTATCAGATTTGCTCAACAGGGATAAGAGGAGTATTCTTAAAGGAAACTGTAGAACAGGAAGTCGTTGGTTTACGACGAAGTGTAAAGGTAATTTGGTGGATCATAAAATTAAAACCTACATTTGTCCGAAAAAAAATCTTTCAACCAAGAGCTTTACCCAATCTCCTGCTTCTTATGGGCTTTATCAATGTAGTGTAAGACCATTCATTATCTAAACTGCTTTCTTTAATACAGGAAGCCGACGTTCTAACCTAATAGTTTAACTCTCTCATGCTCATTAGAGCAAGGAAAAAAAGGCCAAATTCTCAATAGCTATATTAAAAAAAAGAAAAATTTATTAGTGATATATATACATTACATAACCATAAAAATATATACACTGTACATAGTATTTTTAATTTTTAAAGCTAACACTTTACAATAACTAAGTTAAGTCAAAGATGCATTGCTTATTTGAAGACAAAAAGACATTTGACTAAAAAACAATAACAAAAAAACTTATAAAGCAAATAACTGCAAAATCTTATTGAATCAATAACAATGGTTTGTAGGATTAGCGGCCCTGGTAATATTACTAAGGTATAAGTTTATATTACTCTTTCAAAAAAACAAAACAATTATATAGTATTCAATTCAATAAAAAGAAAATATACATCAGAGAAACACAGTACAAATCATAGCAAAACTATCTTAACTAGTGGAAATATGATAATTACTATTAAATACTACGTAACCGAAAAATAGTCTAAAAACAGTTTATTACCGTGACTAACACAATCGATGAATCAAATATAAATATATATATTAGGGTATAAAAACTAATTCTAAAATTACTAGTTTGTTGCCTTCTTTATATTTCTTTCACCGTCACTATCGCTGTCTGACGATGATGAAGAGCCCCTGACAGGTGAATATTTCTAAAATACAAAAAAATAATATATATATCCACTTATAAATAACAGAATAGAACTAAATAAATTATAGATATGAATTGGTGTGAATGAGTTAAACATTAACTCGCTAAGATTAATGATGGTATTTCACTAAAACCATATGTAGTCTTGCTGAATTAAATATATGAGCGAAATTCCTAACTCAGGAGAGACATTGGAAATTATTTCAAAGGGTAGAGTAAAAAAAAACTAGATCACACAATAGAAGTGAAAACATCAACAAGGCGAAATTAATAATTTAAAATCTAAATTATAAATAATAGCTCATTATAAAGAGGATGAAATACTGAACATTTCCCTTGCTTACAGTATGCAGGTTCGATTTTTAGTTAGTAAGATTTTTGAGGAGTTCTCTGTGGTTTCGGGAATAATGCAAGGAGACACCAAGGCTACTCCCCTTTTTAATATGACTTTGGAGAAGGTCGCAAGGGCCATAAGAACCAACCCGGGAGATACCATCTTTGACCACTTCACACAACACATGTTGTACGCAGATGTCGTACGCCTATCAAGGAATGCCAGATTGACAATCTATAAAACAATGAATCGTTTGGTAGTCACATACGGAAGCGAGACGTGGGTTATATCAGCAAAACATGAGAGAGCTCTTGGAGTGTAAGATTCTTAGGAGGATTTACGGGCGTGTATGCGAAGGCGTTTGGAGATCCTGATACAATCAGGAGTTGCGACAACTCTACAGGGAAGCAGATCTCGTTAGTGTCATTAAGGCAGAACGAATAAGATGGTTAGGGCATGTGGAAAGGATGACAGCGCACCGAGTACTGAGGAAAATATTATATGGACGACCTGGAGGAGCATGAAGGAAAGGAAGGCCACAACTCCGTAGGCAGGAGGATGTTGAGGCGGATTTGAGACAGCTTGGTGTCAGGCGTTGGAAGGCTGTCGCATTGGACCGAGACGAGTGGCGACGTATTGTTGAGAAGGCCAAGGTCCCACGCGGACTTTAGCGCCGAGGAGTAAAATAAAGTATGTATTAAAATAACTCAGGAACTAAAAATCGGACCTGCATACTTTAAGCAAGGGGATTGTTGAGCATTTCATCCTCACTGCAATGGGCTATTATTCAAAATTGTATCTTAGAGAGGGGAAAAAGGGAAAAAAAATAGTGTCGAAAACCAAATCATAATAAGTTTCATTGAAGATATGGATTAATAATATGTGTTTAGATATTATTCATTATTTAAATATTCTGACATTTTATACTGTCAGATTCGTCTTTCCTTTGTTACAAAAAACACAGAGCTTATTTTAAAGAAGAAATTAATGTATTTTTATTTTCTCAAAAATGTATAATTATAATTTTTCCTACTGTACATATAGTTGGTTAGTAGTTTTATCAAATTATTAACATCCGCCTGAAACTTCATAAATAGTTTCATCTCATCTTAACCCACAACTATTTTATTTACGAAAACTCTTGGAATTGGGGCATTTTCAATCTGGAGAGGGTCAAACTTTGTCTATTTAATTAGATACTAAAAACTCGTAAAATACTTTCTACTTCGATTGTATAATTTGATCACAAAATCGAGAAAAAAGGTGGCCTTCAAAAATATTGAGTCGTTTGGGGTAACCTACACCCCAAATTTTCAAAATAACGAGGTTATATAGGACAAATGGCAAAATATTTTTGTAGGCCACTCTTTTTCTCCATTTTGTGATCATATTATCTTACGATCCAAGTAGAAAGCAAATGAGTATTTATTTTACGAGTTTTTAGTATCTAATTAAACAGAACAAGTTTGACCCCCTCCAGATTGAAAACGCCCCAATTCCAAGTTCTCGTAAATAAAATAGTTGTAGGTTACGATGAGATGAAACTATTCACGAAGTTTTAGGTGGATGTCAATAATTTGATAAAAAGGAGTCCGTAATGGACAAATAGTTTTAAGTGTCTTGTCATAGTTTTATGTATTTTGTATATAGATTTATTTATTTTTTGTATACAGCTTGTTTAACTAATATTTTCTTTAATTTTTCTTTTTTTGTTATTGTTTTAATTTGGCCAGATTTAGTCTTTTAATTTTATACTATTTTGTTATTCTGAAGGGACTTTGTCCCAGAATAAAGTTATTTTCTATTTCTAAAATATCTCAGAAAATAAAAATAGGACTTGCATACTGTAAGCAAGGGAAATGTTCAGCATTTCATCCTCTTCAAAATGAGCTATTATTTATAACTTATATTTCATATTATTAATCTCCCCTTGTTGATGTTTTCCCTTCTATTGTGTGGTCTAAAGCGCACACCTTAATTTTTTTTTTTTTATTGATAAATAACATTGAGATTCACAAAAACCTTAAACGTTCAGCTTCACCAATGATAGAAAGTAAATATACTTAGAGACTTTGCAAAAAACTGACACGTTCAAACTCGGATTAACAATCACCTTTGTGCAGGTTATGTCACCGTGAGGATGAACACGAATATCAAATCACCTGTTGGTGTGAAAGGTTCTAAGGACTGATTAAAAATATAAGGAATATATAATTTACAATATAACAGATAGCTACTTAGTGAAACATCAGTACTCTAATGTTATAAAATGACTAGCCAAATATTTGCAACAGAGAAGACTTAGATTACACCACCGAGTTAAAATAACAAAATTTAAATATTTATTGAATAAATTACCAAAGGAATCTTGTGTTTGAATTCCTTTTCTTTGATTTCGTATAACTTCTTGGCTCTCAATAGTGTTGTTCTGGAAATGTGATCAATGGTACAATCCTCGATTCCTCGCTCCAGAAGCTTTTCACACTCTTCGAAATTTCCTGAGAGGACTAAAAATGAAAAAAATAAATTATTATTTTCTAGAAATAAAAATTCCATTTTTTTTTTTTTCTCAAATGAATCAAATGGCATCCCTTTGAGCTTTATTACATCCAGACATATTTATCATAGTCACTTTTGAAGCTTTAGTATTATAAATTTTCGAGTTGTGCAAAAATGTAATATATGATATGCTTATTATACAGGGTGTTTCGTAATTACACGGCACTATTTTAGGTATATGTTCACTAACACAAAATAAACAAAAAAGTTCATATTAACATATATCTCAAACTCATTTATTAAACAGATATCAAAGTTTAAAGAGTTATAATTTATTTACTACATTAAGACTGATAGTACAAAGTTTAACGTGTTTAATACTAAATAATAGGTTTTAACCACCTGATAAACAAATGAACGATAAGCAATGACAGTAGTTGCTCATCTTTTTGTCTAGTTCTGTGTATTTTAGTGTGAGTCATTACAGTGACACAGTTCAATTTATGATTATCATGGAAGACACCATAAATGTGGTCACCATACTTATGGCGAGGTACATAATAATGGTGTTCCTTCTGTTCGAAGATATTGTGAAAAATTTCCTAACCGAAGAATACCAAATCGGATCGTGGAAGCCACAGTAACTATCAAGCACCATCCTGATGCTATATGAAGAGCCAAGTAGCATGGATTCGTCGTGCTGAATGTTGCATTCAAGATAACGGACGCCTCTTTGAACAGTTACTCTAAATAAATATTGTAATAATAATACATAAATAGTAATAATAAATAATAAATCTTTAACATTTGATATCTGTTTAACAAATGAGTTTGAGATATATGTTAAAATGAACTTTTTTGTTTATTTTGTGTTAGTGAACACGTACCTAAAATAGTGCCGTGCAATTATGAAACATCCTGTATAATAGAAAACAAATCACACCCTACTGGGGATAATAGACAGATAGGAAACTGTGCAACTTAAAGCTATATATTGATATAAAAAAATGGATATGTTGCCTTTGATGTAAGATCGTAACGCAAAAGATACCTGTAAATATTATACATATATTCAATTATTATACTCACTAGCAACGTCAATTCCAGTACTGTAAAGAACTCCCAAACCTTGCAAAGGAAAATTCCCAGTTTTATATGTCTCTATGACTTCTTTGACCATAGGAAGATCTCCAGCTTTACGAATGTATTTCAAAATTGGTTGAAAAAGAAGTTTATCTAGAGGTTTAAGATGAGACCAAGCCTCGGCTGCTTTCTCAGTATTTCTCGTAATAACGTAATGGGCCCAGAGAACATTTGTTGGCTCCAGGATTCCTTTCTCTCTGTACAAGAGAGCGATTTCTTCAACTAAAGCAAAAAATTAAAATAAAAAAAATTTAATCCAATACCAAAAACAAAATAATAATTAACTAATTAATACAAAATTAATTTGGATTAAACTGTAACTATAGAAACAACAGAATTTTAAAAGAATTTTTAAAAAAATAAATAAAATTTTTATTTTATTTAAATTTATTGTCTTTATTTATTTATTTATTTTATTTTATTTAAGTGCTATTGTCAACTCTCAAATAGAAAAGTACTTCAAACTTCCGCAGATCTGCTCTGTGTTTAGTTGAGAGATGATCGCTATTAGAGAAACTTTGACTTACATTGATTCAACGGAGAGTAACAAATGGGTCGTGGTAACGGACTCAAAGAGTGCAATTCTGACCATCGAAAAGAGAACACCGACAACCACATTGACGAGATCTATTAAAAATATCTGGCAGAAACTGACTGAAAAGGGAAAGGAAATAATATTCATGTGGGTTCCTTCACAATGCGGAATTGTCGGAAATGAACAGGCAGACAAAGCAGCAAATATGGCAAGAAGGCTAGATAGAAATCCAACAGCTATAATTAAAGAAATCCCAATAGAAGATTTTATACATCATATAAAAAAAAAAATTGTGAGTAATGTGGCAGAACGTATGGCAACAAAAAGAAACCAAATCAAGAGGAATAAAAAGCCACTGTTCCAAATGGAAAACTAGCAACCGACTCTACAGAAAAGAAGAGACAGTCCTCTGCCGCTTAAGAATTGGACATTGTGAATTTTCACATGCCTACTTACTAAGAGGACTAGACCCACCGACTAGAGCTGGTCTAGGTGGAAAGAACTGTCCAACACATCATCCAAGACTGCCCAGTATTTAAGAATGTAAGGAAAAATCTCGATATGGCTCAGAGCCTAAAAGAAAACCTCAGTGACAACGAAAACACTGTGGAAAAAATCTTACAATTTTTAAAAATAATAAAGTTCTACAATAGAATATAAATAAGAAGTGTTGCCAATGACCCTGCAGGGTAGAGGCAACAATAAAAACAAATAAATAAATTTATTATTTATTTGTTTTTAAGTATTTTTATAATTTATATGTAAATTAAATAAAAATTGTCTTTTATTTTATTTTTTAATTTTAAATTTATTTTAAATTTTTTATTTTATTTTTACCAACGCTTCAGCTTAAGTTTCAGGACTTCAGTTTTATCTCCTCTTGAAAAGAAACAAAATTTCTTTGTTTTTTAAAAAGTTTGTCAGAAACTCCTAAAGCACAGAAACTTAGGCCGAAGCATTGGTAAAAATATGGAAATTGAAATATCAATACTATCAAGAGTCTTTATTTTGATCATTATATTTTTAAAAACCATTAATTTTGAAATATGAATATAAATATAAACATTGATTATTTAGCACATAGGCGCATCAAAAAAATGTTCTTTTCCTTTTTAAATTAATTAATGGAAATATCAATTCTTCTGCACTCCTTAGTAAAATTAATTTCCTGGTTTCTGTCCATACTTTTCATTCTCAGCATTCTTACGTAAATTTCCATTCATCCACTTATGCCTTCCATTCACCCATAGATGGGATTCAGCAAAATGCTAATTTATTTGCGTCCCAGATACATTTCTTTGACAATTTGTGGCCTTGGTTGAAAAGTTTCTAACTAATAAATTTGAACGAATTGAGTTTATGCTCAGAAATCACTCACAACAAAGTAACCTATGTTCCAAACAAATGAATTTTAGTGCAGGTCCTACGGTTATACATTTATAAACTATGAGGGTTATTCAACTCTAATATGTACTACACTCAACGTAACATGAGAACAGGCAATACGAGTATAATTTTTTTTTTTTAACGATCAGATTCATATTCAATCCCAAGAGTTTTCCGAAACAACCGAATTTTAATTTTTACATTAAAATATCATAGAGATAACATCGATAGTCGATAATATCGAAGTAGATGCTATCGATGGTAAAATATCGAATTTCGCCTATAAAATATCGATGTCCTTCCCTACTACAGGACGCAAGCATAATTAACAACATTCAACTATTTGACCACCAAATTAGAAATACTTCATTCTTTGTTACAACCATAAACTGAATTTTTATAACGCATATTCAGCTCACTTTTTTTTCTTATTTATTTTTAAACATTTGAAGGGTAAAGGAATAGGACATGTAAGTCACTTTTATTTTGGATTCAGAATAAAAAACTGTATTCTTTCACTGAGTTAGAATATGAAAAAATTAATTCAAAAACATTACCTATTTTTTTTAAACTGAAACCACTGATGGCAATAATTCAATTTACAATAAATCAATTTAGAGAAAATAAATATTTAAAAAATTAGTACAGAAGCTCCACATGTAGATAAGCCACATTTGTATTGAAAATGTTGATTTGTGGCATGTCTTTGATAAGAAATTTTTTTTAAATGTAGACTTTTAATTCGTCAAAAAAATCTTTATTTATAAGAAGTGGATATTTTGATCCGATGGTTCGAACTTTTGAAACAACAATGCTTCTCGATTGCCTAAACATCTTTCCGAGTTGGCGGAATTAATTTAATCTCAATAAAATCTATTTTCATTTGACATACTTGTGATTATTTAAATCAAAGAGAATATTTTTTTGAGCAAAAAATAATTCATATTGCAATTAAAAGAGTTAATCCATTGATAACTTATCAAAATCATTTTTTTCCTTTTTTCATGTATCGAGTTTTAGTTTAACTGGTTAAAAATTAAAATCTCTTTAATAGTTTACATATTAAATTAAAAGAAACAAAAAAAAATTAAATAGTTACATTTAGAGAGGAGATTAGGTGTGTCTAAGATAGAGAATATGCCTCCCCTAGGAAACTCTTTTTGTAACGTTTTTAATTCATCCTCAGAGGTAGCAGCTTTTAGTTTCGATTCCAAATCAGCCAGGAGTTCCTCGGCCCTCCCAGCTTCGGTCATGCAGTGAGCGATTCGATTGCTGAATGAGGTCATCTTTTTAACTTCCTAAAACATTTGATTTTATCAATAAATACCAGGTCATCACATAAGTAATGTCGCTTTTAAAAATCTGTCAGTTATTAGTTAATTCTAGACTGTTTTTATGTTCTTATGAGTTCAGGATTTTTTTACCATTTTAAAAAGTCTCTTTTTTGATTTAAAATTTTATTTGTAGAGAAGATTGTGTTCGACAAAGAGGAGTCCTATTCTCGGAGAAAGCTGACATGAGACAAAGAACAAGAACACTGTCCTTATCATTTATGTTTTTAAATAGACAAAACTAATAAAAGGCATCGCATGATCGGATGATAATTGCATGACATTTCAAATAATTATGTAATACATATATTGTTAATGTTATTAATTAACTGTTAATTTATACTAATTGGAGTATTATAATTATAGAATATGGTGCATGGACACTGAAAGCTTCTCTACAAATAAAGTTTTAAATAAAAAAAGAGAGTGCCAATGGTAAAAAAATCCTGAACTCAATCTGTCAGTTTATATTGACTATTGTTCGCCCAGTGGTCGAAATTCGACAATAGCCATTAAAAATTTGAGGAAAACAAATAGTTAAATAAATAAAGAGTAAATCACGATTCAAAAATCCTCATTTATTAATATAAATAAAATTTCAATTTCGATTAAAGATCGAGCTTAAACTACTTAAAATTATTTATAAGTGTGTTGTTATCACAATGAATTAATGTCATGATTAAGCAAGTAACAAATAAATTTAAATTAGCAATTTCAATTAACTTAAATCCATTTTTATTCAGAACTTCTCTGTAAACAATGTTTTCTTGATGTTTGAATGTTCTTTTATTGTTTAGTTCACAGCCTTGCAGATAGCCATTGAAAATATAAATTTCAATATTTTAAATGAAAGCATGTTCATTTAAAATATTGAAATATATATTTTCAATGGCTATCTGCAAGGCTGTGAACTAAACAATAAAAGAACATTCAAACATCAAGAACACATTGTTTACAGAGAAGTTCTGAATAAAAATGGATTTAAAGTTAATTGAAATTGCTAATTTAAATTTATTTGTTACTTGCTTAATCATAACATTCGGAATTTAATTTTAACATCCCTCATAACTTTTTTTCCAGCTTCTTTTCATTGAAGTATGTTATATAGACAAATTTAAAGGGTATCGAGAAAATGACTTTAGCGAATTTTCATTGAAATCGGTACATTCGTTTAGGCGCTACAGTCTGTAGGAACGCAGGTTTTTCTGCATTTTTATTTTTTCTCTCCTTTATTAATTTATTATTTCAATTATTTCGAATTCTTTCAGAAGTTATAGGTAGCATTTTTTCGTAACTCTGAATAATCTGAAATGGTTAACTTTTTAAAATAAACCATATTGAAGGTACTTTAGAGGAAGATATACATGAACATTGGGCATTTAGGCATTTAAGCCCTGTAAAGTGACATCAACGGGGATAAGACCTAAATGATATTAAAGACCACTTAATTATACAATGATACACCGAGTTTGATCAAAATCATTAAAGTCGTTTTTGAGAAAATTGTAAAAATGTGTTGCAGATAGCCATTGAAAATATAAATTTCAAGATTTTAAATGAACATGCTTTACTTGCTGCCACATATTGTCCATGCGAAATTACTGGACGTCGCAATAATACACACATTTTTCCAATACTTTGACCCTGCGATTTGATTATGGTCATAGCAAATGCAGCTATTAATAAGAACGTTGTTCTTTGATCCTCGAATGTAAGTATTGTGTCAGAAAATGTTAAATTAATTCTTGGAATTAAAATTCTTTAATTTAAAGTAGCCCCAGTTAATACTTCCCTCTCATTCATGTTTTATTAACTAATGCTTGTGCAGTATTCAAGTTAAGAATGAGCACAACTATAGAATTTACTTAGAACATTCCAATAACATTCAACGATATCATATCTTCAAATAATAGTCCAGATCACTTCAATAAATGTAAAATTCTCGATTTGACAAAAAACAAAATAATGGAAATCGACTTTAAAAAATAAAACATACTAAATGTTTAAAATGATATATCTCTGCAACAAATAATCCGATTTCGATGATTTTTTTTTTTATTTTATAGGGAATTCAAAAAGCTTTCAAATAAATATTAGTTGATTTCGGGAAAATATGTTATATACATAAATTATAAAGGTTTCAAGGGGAAGACTTTAGCCAATTTTCATTGAAATCGTTGAAGTCGTATTGGCACTACAGTCTAAAGCAAATCACGTTTTTCGGCCGCCATTTCGAAAGGAAAGGCCTGATGGTAATTAAACGTATGTAAAAAAAACTTTAAATATTATTGCGATGTTGTGTCAGAAATCGGTGAAGAACTTTCGGAGGTTAGTCGTTTTGAACAAACTACCATTTATATATTTATTTACATACTATTTCATATTTGTATTTATTGATAATACTAAAGTTCGTCAATAGCTATTAAACAAAATAAGAAGGAAGAAAATCGGTAGCATAAATTGCCTATTTATATAATGATATTACTAATCCCCTTCCTTTACAAGTGAATTTTGTTTATATTTTTTATTATAGCATTACACACTCTTCTATTTAACATGTTTTTATTGGAGAAAGGTTAATTATTCTGTGCTGAAATTTCATTTAAAATGGTTCTCCACCAAAAACCACTTACACCATGTTATGCTTTAGGAATTCGATAAAGGAGAAAAAGGCATTTTATTCCACCAAAATTTTTTAGTTTGTATAACTTGTTACATATTTCATTTGTCTATTGTATATTGATTCATTCATTATTAATCATTATCTGTCTTACAATAATTATATATCTGTTTGTACTAAACGATTTTCAGCTGTGGTGATTGCCCACAAACTGGGGTTGAAATGTCGGCACCAAAAAAAAACTTAAAAATGACTGTGTCCTGAATATTTATCACCCACTAAACGTGTTAAGAGGCTTTCAATAACAATTATTGTTTATCTCAAACACAGTACATTTATTTTCATGTCAAAATGTTCAGAACATTTATCCATTCTCGTTAAAACGCAGGGCCTGATAGTTCCTGATAGATATAGAGGGTCTTGATGACCATGCTGAAATCTTCAACACACAATTTATCACATCTCGATTCATTGTCTTTAAAACCTATCAAACTTTCATTGACTTTAAAGTTGTAGAAGGAATTTAAGGATCGAAATTGGGATTCATCAATCCATGAAATTTCCTTTTGTTTGATACTTCATTCAACATAATCCATCACTTTTGAGAGTTGGAAAAATGATCTGTATTACAATATTATATTTAAGTAGTATATTGTAAGTTTCAGTCTTGAAGGAGGATTCCATGTTAGTCATTAGTCAAGATAAAGTGCTGCCACCTAGATAGCAGATCTGTGGAAATTTATTATTGATTCCATTAAAAAGATACAAAAATATAACAAAAAATGATAAATATAAATTTTATTATATACCTCATCAAGTTTATTTCCTAGATTGTTTAAAGAATCAATGTCTCCAACTAACGCAAGCTGGTTTATCAGGTAGCTCAAAGGTCTGATATTGACTCTTATATCCTTCTCTAACCAGTCCAATATCAACTTAGTGGCTTCCCCGAGACGCCCGTTGGTGCACAATAAAAGAATCAATTTCGATCGGTCTCCTTTTGTTAGATCATCATCTTTTACCCTAGAGCAAAACAAGAACGGAATGTTTATTACAAATTATTAATAATATAGACATGGAAAATAAGTTTACAGGCATAACATTTTAGAAATTGGTTTGATACACTGTTACTTCATCAGTCAATAGATAGTATACAAGGAATTTCAAGATTAAGGTGGCCAAACTGAAAATATGAACTAAGTACCTCAAAACTAGAAAAAAAAATCCTATGAAGATATGTCCGCAAAAGCTTTGTTTAGGAGATATTCACACCTAAAGATTTTAGTTGTTATGAATTATTTACGTTATATGAAATAAATAAAACCTATTTATTTGTTCTAAACACTTCATTAATTAAATGTAAACATTAACATTCATATTAAATGTTGTTCAAAGTGAAGGTATGTCCGCAAAGGCTTTGTTTAGGAGATGGATTAGATCGAATACTAATATGGACTTTTATCCCTAACTGTATAAAAACTATTGGCAACATAAGGATTAATACTGTTTACAATTAGCATTGGGAACTCTCATTAACACTTTTCAGTTATTAAGAGGCTTTCGTAGAGTATTCATCATTATGCCTTCCATTTATACTAATGGTGAATATGCCGATACGGTGTTTGTATACTGTTTTGCAATGGTAATGGTAATGCTACCCGTCGTGAATATGCCAGGCAATTTCCGAAAAGAAGATTACCAAACAAGTCTATCTTTAGCTCCACGTTTCAACGTCAATGAATTGGCATTGCATGACCAGTGGCTTGGCCTGCACGCTCTCCAAACCTGACTGAAGCATCATTGAAATTCATGTCAATAAATAAATAAAAAGATTTCATATAACGTAAATAATTCATAACGAAAATCTTTAGGTATGAATATCTCCTAAGCAAAGCATTTGTGGACATACCTTCACAGGAAATTTTTTTCTTCTTTTGATGTCCTTAATTCATATTTTCAGTTTGGGCACTTAACCCTGAAACACCCTGCTTAATGAATAGATAACTCTTATTATACGATCAGAGTGTTGAACAATAGCTAAGATTAATGACTTTTGGATGAAAAATTCTTTACTAAATTTTTGAAAGTTTAAAATTTGGATAAGAGTGGGATGCACTTAAAAGGTGCTATAAATGAGGAATAAGTCTGGAGGACTATATCAAAAATAATAGAGTTGGGGTATTTATAAGAGAGGCATATCGACAGTAATCCGCGTTGCCGACCCATTTTTATCAAATTATTAACATCCATTTAAAACTTTGTGAATGGCTTTATTTTATTGTAACCTACAAATATTTTTATTTACGAAAATTCTCTGGAATTGGGCATTTTTAATATGGAGATTGGTGATTTTTTTTAATTGAATGAGGTACTAGAAACTCATCAACACTTGCTTTACACTAAAATTGTAAGTGGCCGACAAAAATATTGAATTGTTTGGCATAACCTCCCTAATATGTCAAAATAACAAGGTAATGCAGCTTAAACAACCCAATATTATTATAGGCATTGACCTACAATAGTAAATGTTTTTATTTTTTCTGAGAATTCTTTTAGATAAGAATTTTCGAAGATAAAAACATTGTAGATTACAATGAGATGAAGCCATTTGGAGAGATGTTAATAATTTGATAAAAAGCGGTCTGTACTGTCTACCTGTTTGTAATGAATATAAACATCACAAAGTTGCCAAACTTATATTATAAACCTGTACTAAATGAAGCCATTATTCACTTATATAAATAATTAATATAGAAAAAAATGACAATTTAACAATAACTAAAGCGACACAAATACATTAATAAATTCTTGAAATAAAAAAAGATGTATCCTGAGAAATATTTGAAATAAAAGAATAAGTAATTTCACACGAAATAATATTAATTAAAGTAGGCGAGGAAAAAGTTGTTGAAAAGGAGGGATCCATATGTCGAGACTGCTGAAGCCTTGCCTGACAAATGATAGGTGCGATAGAGTTCCAGAGGAGGGTGCTCAGGTTAGGAAGGAGTTGACCAAACGAAGCAGTTCGGGATTGAATGGAAGATTTAAATTGCAGGCTTCAGAGTATGTAGAAGTGACCCTGAATTCTGATAAATTGTTATAGGAAATATTGACACCTGTAAGATCCGTAGAACCACTTTAGCTCGACATAATACTGCGATATAAGTGCATCCCTGGAGACACCAAAAAACAAATCTAGCTAAGTTTTTCATAAGCAGTTTTGAGTCTTACTTCAAGTTCGCTAGACACTGGATGTACACTAAGAATAAACTGGTTTAAAGTAGGACGATGCACTGACTTCAAATGATGCACTGTCTTTAAAACTTTAAAACTGTTTCGAAACAATCAATCAACCAATTATACATCCTCAGAAACTAAAGTAGATGAACAACCTTCCTCTAATCAAACCGAAAATCATTCTGAATCCACTAATGCCAATTCATCACATCGCAAAATGAATGATGAAATTAATCCATTAGAACAAGAAATGATGAGGGATATTCCTCCATCGGAGCCAATTCGTGAACCAGCCACCAAAGTAACAGGGAGTTATTCTTCCGTATTATCTTCTCATCCTCCTTCCTTGTCACTTGATATTTCATCGGCTATAGAATCTTCAATTGAACCTTTTTTATCTGACCTAAAATCTCTTCTTCCACCAATTCTGGTGTCAATTAACTAAATTAGTCTGCTCTCATCTCAAACCACACAATCCAAAATACTTCGTAAAATCGTCAATGCTCCTTGGTTTATTTAAAACCACACCATACACACAGACATGAACATACCAAAAGTAAAATCCTACATACACAACAAGTACACAACATTTCATTCTTCTACACTCAATCATCCAAATCCACTCGTTCTATCTCTATCTTCCTCCCTGTTACCTGGTGAGCCTCAACGACGACTAAAAAGAAAGTGGGCTAGAGATCTTCTGCTGGCAAGTTAAGAATATTTCAAGAATACAAGAAGATACAACAAACTCCAACACATTTGCTTGATGCGTTACAACGCATTACAGCAGTGGCAAATTTAATGAAAAAAAATAAAATAAAATAAATAAGTAGGAGGAGATGTTTGCAATTGAATTACTTTAGGGTTGATATGTTGCAATTCATTTATATGTACGTTCGGCTGCTAAAATATTTCTTCAAAAGTAAATAAAATCTTGTATACCAAGATTCTATTATTCATAGATTTAAGTAGAATAATTTGAAAATATATTTATATAATCGGTTGAATAATGCTTGCACATTATCTTGTATAACACTAAGTAGAGTTCAGTTACCTTTTTATACAGTTAAGAGCCTCGTCAGCATCCTTTGAATTAACAGCAGCACGATAATTTTTTAAATTAAAATTTTTACTAGTTGGCCCTGATTTTCTATCCTCTGGAACAACTGAAATAAGAATTTTAAAATTATAATCAAAAACATTTCTAGCGATTTACAACATACCAGTTTCTAGGATACGAGACAAATGAGAGAAAAACAAACATTAAATAATTGTTACACAATAGAGGGAAGAGGTAGTACCGAGTTTTCGGGAATGAAAAGCATTTTTTATTTATTTATTAATACATATTGCGATCTGCAAATTTCTTTGCAATGAGCAAATTTTTTGGCAGCTTCAGAGCGTTCCATAACAATCCAGGAAATAGTTCAGTTCAACAAGTCTCTTGGCCACCGCCTACTTAATCGTCGAGGTGGGCTGTACGAGTTTCTAGTGCTTTTAAAGTTTTTTGTCAGAAGATTTGTGTTGTAACTTAGTCTTTGGTTAAAGTTATTGTAGTTTTCTTTAGTTTCTTTCTAAAATTGTTGGGATGTTCAAGTCTTTATGTAATCTATCGTTTGTGGCATAAAATGCTGCATCAACTATCCTTCGTAAAATTTTGGATTGGAAAGACTGGATTTTTTTAATATTGGAAGTTTTAGCATAACCCCACAGTTCTATAAGTCCAAATTGGTTTAAGTAAAACTTTATAGAGAGTTAGTTTGTTATTCAAAGATAATTCTGAACGTCTGTTAAGTAACCTAGAAAAAAGACCGTATCGTCTTTTTAATCCCATACGTTTTTGTCTAATGTGTGTTCTCCAAGTTAGTCTTTTGTTTAGGTAAAAACCCAAATATTTAATTACATCGGATGCAGGAATTTCAATGTTATTAAAATATATTTCGGGGGAAGGAGTATGATTAAGAGTGAATACTATGCACACACTTTTTTTTTCATTCATTTTAATTTTCCACTTTGTGGCCCAATCAGTAATATCGTTCAAGTGGTTTTAAAGAGTGGTGGAAGCTCGAATAGGATTTTTATCTGAGCTGAGGATAGCGGTATCGTCAGCAAAAGTAGCCAGTAGGGTGTCACTGTGTTGCGGTAGGTCAGACATATATATATTAAACAATATTGGTCCCAGAACACCATTAAATGCGCAAAAGATGAGATGAGGAGTAGTTTGTTTTTTGTATTTAATGTACCAAAAATGAATGTCTAATGAAATTATAATATAGAAATATATTTTCGTAGATAAAAAATTATTGATGACTTGAAAATGTGCAAATCAGCTCGAAACGTCGTTTGAAGTGGAATAAATCTTTAAAGTATAAGGACTTATATTCCTTGAAGACACTTTTTTTATCCCACACAATCACACAATTTTTTATCCCTTATTTGAAGAAGATTTTTGACATTTAACTGATAAACTAGAGGATTAAAAATTTTAACTCATTTTATCATTCATGATAGTATAGTGACATACATTTGTTTAAAATTATTTAATACATGCTGACGCAGCTGTTTTTATAGTGAATGCCCTGCATTGTACAATATTTTAATGTAACAACATTAATATTCTTTTTTTATGCATCTTGGATTTCAATATCTACGATTTAGTGTTAATATGGCGAAGGTAGCCAAACAGAATTGAAACCTAAGTTTGGATTTAAATACTCGTGTATCAAAATTGTGGTATTAACTATCAAATAAAGAAATATGCGATGCTATATTGAATATTGAACGCTATACGAAATATGGCTGCCTAACCCAATACAGTCAAAATATCTCTCGGCTTCAATTTATAAACAGATACTTATAAAAGCTAATATATTTTTTTAACGGATTAGATAAAGGATTAGTTTATTTTTATTTTTTGTGATAGTTTGGAATTGAAGTATGGAGTTATTAGGCTGATGTTTGCGCATTATATTTTTTTTAGTGAAGTGCTCTCGTTTGACTTATATCCTGTCTGGCAGCTGAAATTTTCATGTTCTAACCAACTAATATAAACAGAAATGAACAATTCATCACATATACCTGTCATGGATGGAACAGCAAACGGCACAGGTTTATTATGTTTTTTTAGAAGGATTCCAAGTTTATATAAGAATGCTTCGCTGGGTTGAACATCTTCGTCTTGCATTTGTGTCCATAATCCCATTGCCTTATCTACCTGATCGTTCTTACCTGAAACCATAATTTATGATAGAATGTTTTAAATAGTTGCTATATAATTAAAAATAATAGGTTTGACGAGAAAATAACAAATAAAACATTTATTTAACATTATTAAAAGTGGAAACCTTATCAACTTCAAAAAGTTATAATTTATAAATTGTGTCTGTTATTAGAGTTGAGTAAAAAAGAAGACAAGAGATGCCACAAATAAGGAAATAGAGAAAACAAGAGCAATTATTTTACAAAAAACTTAACAGTGTCAGAAAATTTAATACGAGTCAGGAGAGTATGATAATGAATAAGGAATGAAGAATTCTAAATTATTCTAAAGAATAATGCTCAAGGAAGGAGGATGCGCAAGCTATGTGGAAACAACATTTCTAAACTAAGTTGAATGCAGGTGACGATGAAGCGACCACAATAAAATTCCCATAATTCCCATACTTATCTGACCATGAAACAGAAGTAGAAAAGATTTTACCAGAAATGAGGTCAAAATTATCTAGGAAAAGTAGTATACTAAAAATAGTATATCACCTGGTCTGGATGGAATACCATCACAACTCTTAAAAGTACTTGCACACTGATTTGGCCGAGGAGGATCATGAACTGCTGATGCAAAGCTCGGAAGAGGAGGGGATCACTAAGGATTGGAACGAGACCCTTATCTTACCAATATTCAAAGGAAAAGGAGACTAATACGATTACAGCAACTACCGTGGTATATCCTGCTTAGCACCACCTATAAGATATCCTCAATCTCGCCCTATAATAAAGTACTACCATGCAGGGAAAAAGGAATCAGTGAATATCAGGAATATCTGGAAGGTTTCCGATGCAAGAGATCTAAAATAAATCTGAAGTTTCTGATTGAGATTAACATGCAAGAAAACTAAAGCATTCAGTCAGACAATTCGGGTTAAATTCATCAATTTTAAGATCTCTTATGAAACTATCGGAATGAACTATACAAAGGTATGGATGAGATAAGAATTCTTTCCAAATTAGGCTGACCGGTAACCGAAAGCGCAGCTGAGCTGATCGTAGCAAGAGGAGCGTGTAACGGAGCTCAGCTCAGTCAGCAACTTGCCTTGCATCGGTATCCTTCTCATATTCCGTATAACATTTTTAAAAAAGTATATAAAGCGTATATAACATTTTTAAAAAATAAGGAAAGTTGATCACGTCGGAGTTGAAAAGAAAAATTTAATATTTGTGTATAAAATCAAATATTTTTCCTTACACATTCAATTAAGAATTCTTCCACACTCATTGCATATTTTACACTGAACCAAAATAAAATAATTTGAGAGGTTGTGCAGTGAAAACAAATAGAAAAAAAGGATGACACTGAGGAACAAAGCCCCAAGGTTGTGTTACAGTGGTGAGCAGGTATGGCGGGGGAAGCTGAGCGTAGCGGAATCAGCTTCCAAAACCGAACCTCGGTCGAGCCAAAACTGAGCTCAGCTGAACCTTGCTGCGGTGCTCAACTGGGCTCAGCTCAGCTCTGCTTCTGGTGGGCGCCCTCTCATTGAAAACCTTTGCTTCGCTTTCGAAAGCTGGCTCAGCACAGCTCAGTGGGGCCTTAATTAGCCTGGAAAAATGCACAATTCCAAATAAGAAATGCAAAGTAAATTGTTGTGGCAATACCTCTGACCATCTTCATCTTGACATTGGGCTCAGGCAAGGAGATCAATTGGCCTCCCTCCTCTTTGACATAGCTCTCCATGTCGTCGTAGAGTTGATTGAATTTAGATAGAGGCAGGACAATATTTAATAAAACCACATAGCTTCATGCTTATGTGGATGATGTGGCTATTGTTGTGAGATCGCCAAACTTAATAATAGCTTGAAAGTGAAGTAAACAGAGTAAGACTGAAAATCAATTAAACTAAGATAATGGTTCTCAGAAGAAAATTCGTCTGCCATTGGTAATGATATGTATATAAATACATTTCTTAATTCTATTGTACCGCTGTAACGCAATTTCAAAGCAATCAGTGAAAAACCTTTGGAAATTATTTATATACACTGGTTCAAAAAAATTGTCTAATCGATTGAAAAACCATAATCATTTAATAGAAGTTGAATATTAGATAAGAGTGATTTTTAGCTTATTGGTAATTTAGTAACACCCTTGCTCTATCAGCAGGGAAACTACATAATCATAAGGAGAAAGGAATATTCTATATTGAACAAAAAAAAAAAAGTAAAATTAGTCAATAAATAACTGAAATTACAAAAAAAAAAACTTACAATACAAAGACAAAAGATGGTAATAAATGTCTGCCCTGTCAATATGGTGCAGATCTTTTGTCACCTCGACCAAATTTTCAAGATGGGTGACGTGGCCTTCGCTGTCGTACCTCTCACAAGCTGAGTTGAGGCGCAGTGTCCTGCTCCTTAACCCAGGCGTCTAAAACAGAATAGCCTTCTTATAAAAATCACAAGAAGAATTTTGAATTCATAACAAGAAAAATTAAAAAATAGCCATTTAGGATGTAGCGATGCTCATAAAATGGATAGCTAACATAATAGCAATTGATGGCAAGATGTTTTTGATTGGTAACATTATTTAATTCTTTGTTTACACAAATAAAACCAGTACTTTAATATTTTTCTATTTTGGAGCGGCGGTGATCAAGCGAGTTAAGGCACCTGCAAAAATACATTCAACATGTAGAGACATGAAAATTCATGTCATCAGTTCAAATCCAATTCACGGGATTTAATAACAAAAAGAATAAAAAATAAAAATAAGTAATAATAAATTTATTTTAAAAATAAATAAGTGCAGGCGCTACTCAATTGCTTGGACCACTTCGGCGCCCTGCAGGTTCGATTCCCGCATGGGAATTATTATTTCGTAATTTTTATTCAACATTATAAATTTGATTTGATACCTCAAGGATTTTTCTAGCTTGTCTTATTCTTCCACATTCAACAAAAGACAGAACAAGATCGTAAAGGCTGTTGATTTCACCATGAATCTGCGTTGAGAGATCCGTTAACTTTTGCAAAGCGACTGGATCCTCTTTTTGTATGAGCTTGCAAGCGATTTCGTTCTTCCAGGGAGTAGCTCTATACTTATGGCAACACTCTTCGAAAAATTTCAGAGCAGAGTCCAGATCATCCCTTTAAGACAAAATATAAAAACTACTTCAAATTTAATTAATAATAATAAAAGGCATAGCGAACCTGAAGGTTCGATCCTACACCACCAATTACTACTTATAATTACTTTAAATAAATAAAATAAAGAGCCAGAGTGAGGAAGGGGGGGGGAGGAAGAAACAGTAGCCGTCCACTTTTATTGATTTTAAACAGGTGCTGCCATCTAATACCATAGGAAAGGTACTTTCTTCTATACATTACAATCGAGGGTAGAAAAAAACCATAGTCTATATAAAATGAACAATTTAAAATTTGTTAAAAAACAGCCGTAACCCAAGAAGTTGGGAAATTATTGATTGTTGATTGATCTTTACACATTTTGTTCATGCTGAATTGAATGGTACTTGAAATGTGTATGCGAGACGAATGTTTAATGATAATTTGAGGGATTGATTAAAATAAAATAATAATTAATAATTTTCATTCAAGTTCAAACAATTATTGTTGGACATAATTATTTTTTTGTTGAATACTCAATGGTTGACTGTAGTATAATTTTGAGGAAAGAGATGGTCAGGAGTAGCAGTCATAAAAAAAAAAATAAATAAAAAAAAACTTAAATTAGTAAAAACTATTTTATTTTAAGCAAATGTTTTGATCCAACTATGCAGGTCTTCATCAGGGCTAGAACGAACAAGATACAAAAGAGTATAGAAAATTTTGGGAGTTACATGATATTTTGATAGAAATGATAAACAGTGAAGATAGAAAGTATATAAACATATTAAGAACATTAAAACATATAAACAGAGTAAATGAAGTAGGTGGGCGGGGTAGCCGAATGGGCTAACGCGTGTGCACTACACCGCCGGTGCCCGGAGGAGTTTTTAAATCCCCGCTCACACTCCCTGGCACAGGAAAACCCCCGTATAGCCTTAAAGGCGAGGAAGGGGAGGACGAAAAAAAAAAAACAAGAGTAAATGAAGTTTAACTAAGAAACCAGAGTCTAAGTAAATAAAGTTGGTGACAATTATTGCAAATAAAAAAAAATAAACGAAATAAAGAAGATGGATGATATAAATAATTATAAACATAATCTGACAAATCTTAAGGAAAGATTAAAAGGAAAAATAATGAATTAAAAAGTATGGAGGGATGAATTAACAAGTGGATGCCATCCACCACCTTATTAATTCATCCTTCCATATTTTTTAATCAATTCATTCCTTTTCCTTTTAATCTCTCATTAAGATTTGTCATTTACTATGTTTATGTATTTTAATATTCCAAATATTTTTATATACTTTCTATTAACAATGTTTATAATTTTTATCTTAATATCATGTAACTCCCACAATTTTCTATATCCATTTGTATCTTATTTGTTCTAGCCCTGATGATAACTTGAATAGTTGAGTCGAAATATTAGCTTAAAATAAAATAAGTTTTATTATACATATTTATATATATATATATACATATTTTTTTTTTTGCTAAAGTTCAACGTAAATACTACAAAACTATTAATAATCTTCAATAAAAAGTTTAAATAAATTATTAAATATATAACTAATTAATTTCTTTTAAATAATTGTAAAGCTTTGATGAAACACAAATATATTTTCTTTGAAGGTGTTTACCCCACAAAAAAAATGATAATTTATTGGCCACAAATAAATAAACAATGGACAACAATGTTTTTTTCAGCCAACAATGAGCGGTTTAAGGACGATATGTTACTTCTAGGATTTAAAGAATTACTTTTTGGTTTTGAATCTTTAGATAGTGGTAAACAATTATCAGTTAGAGTTACTATAAACTTTAAATTTCACTTTTCTCAAAATGGACCATGGTTTTCCCATGATACTTTATATAAAAGTTACAAAATGTTTTTTTTAATACCTTAGGAGATGTACTTTTAACAAAGGTCCAAGCAACATATTGTTGGGTAAAACATAATTTTTTTCCATGAGGACGTTGAACATTTTCCGTTGGTTTTCGACATCCTTGTTTTCGGCCAAGATATTTAGAATTCTCCAACCAAGTGAGTTGAAATGAGTCATTCTATCTGACGTAGAATCGACTTCGTGTGGCTTCCTCTTGGATATCAGATCAATGGCTTCTAAAAAGTAAAAAAAATATATATATATATATATATATATATATATATATATATATATATATATATAAATAATAAAACAAAATAATTTTTAAAAAATAATGAAAATAAAACAAGCTAAAGTCAAAATGTCGATATACTTGATAAACATTATAATTTACTGCACATTCTGATTATTTTTCATTCTAGATTTAGTTCTTCACTATTTTTAACAACATTCATAACAAAAATCATCAGTTCTATAAATTACCCTGAGTCATGTTATTCTTCACCATGAGCGCTGCCATTTTGATCACTTTACCAGGATCAATTTCGACATCTTCATTTTCAAATATTTTGTTCAAATATTCCAGAGCTTCAGGAAGTTTCTCGTGATACACATATAGATCCATGATCAATACATTTAAACCGACCAGAAATTCAAAGCCACTCTCCTCCATTTCCTAGTTTTATAAAAAAAAAGAAAGACATTCATGTGTTAAATAAAAAAATAAAATAAAATACATTTTTATACATTAGATCCAGAAATTTAACTAAAATTATCTAATATGGTATGAAAATAATTGACTAATCTAAATACCATATATCCAAATTTCTTCAATTCAGCCAAGAATCATTACTTTCCACCATGTAAATGCTCTCACTAAAAAAAAAAAAAAATATTACCCGAGCTTGAAATCCTAGACTGGAACGGAATACATTCCTGCTCTTCCATTGACTCCATGGTTAATGTTCTTACTTATGACCATCTTAGTATCCTTAATAACCATGTCCCATCAAAACTGCTGTCTTTCATTGCCAGTCTGCACTTCGAATATGTCAAAAGAAATTGGGGATCTGCAGAAGTATATTGTCCATAGACGCTTTAGATATACTAGTCTTGCAGATGACTTCCAAGCATTTAGGGTACTTTGCAGCTTGATACAAACGAAGATGCGACATGCGAAATCTTCCTATTTCCATGAAGCCCTCTCATCAGCTATTGATATCAAAATGGTTACTCCTTCAGAAACCTTCCAGAACCCCTCCCTCAGTAGCCTTTCAAGTGTCACCTGATGAATTAAACTCAAATTTTTTATCTGCAACTTTTACCTTTTCTTCACCTATCTCTTCCTGCTTTTCTCCCTAGACATCAATTAACGACAACTTTTCCTCCCCAAAGACCATTTATCAAATTTATTTAAATCACACACTAATTTCACAGGACGAGATGACATTCCCATAAAATTATGCCTCCCTGAAATCCTATCTGTTCTCCTTTTCATTTACGATTTCTCCCTTCTACTCAGAAATTCCGTATTTCCAATCTCTTGGGAAAAAAAAAAACTATTGTCCTTCCTTTACATAAAATAATCCCTTCCAATCTTTCAAAATTCCTGAAAAGACTAGTGCAATCCCAAGCACTTCCTTGAAGAGTCCAACTACTCTAAATGTCTATTTTACTATCGGTTACTTGAAAGGTAATAATGTTCAATTAATAAATAAACTCATTTATACCTTCTTGATCTGTTCAGCTTTTTCAAGATCCTTGTTCGTGCAATAAAGAGTTAGAAGTTGTCGTTTTAAATTCCAAGCTGGCTCACCTCTAGAAGTGGCTATCTTGATATTTCTGATAATTTCATCTTCTGTCTGAAATTTAATTTGACAGCTATTAGGTACCAAATATTTTAAAAAATAAATTGCAAATTAACATATGAAAATTAAAGAAATCTGGTGTGTCAACTCACACGACTTTCATATCTATTTCAGAAAAGCTTTTATATCTTTACACATGTCCGTCAAGAAACAAAAAACAATTGAATTAGATTTACTTTCCTGAAAATTGATCAAAGAAAAGATTTGAGTACAATTTATTTGATAAACTAAAGCAATGTAAACCAGCTTTAAGGTAGATCAGTGTAAACATTTCAATATCCTCTAATATTGCTGATCAAAAACTTTTTGACATAGCCTAATTTTGCCATTCAATAATTTCTATTGAAAGTAAAGGAAATAGTGAAGCTTGTGAGATGCGGGCAAACAGATTTTCTTACTTTCACTTAGTTATCTGTTTTCTCTCATTCACTCCTTTCTGACATCAGGATATGAACCCGTAATCTTACATTGGAAATTGAATAGCTATAACTTTGTAAATAGTTATCCAAAATGAACGATTTTCATATAGCTTTGCAGGGAATTTCATTACCTTCCAAAAGAACAGGCTAAAAATGTGTATTTCGGACTCAGAGGGCTCTGAAACATATAGATCCGTCGAAAACCGCATATCGGAAATTTGACTGAAAATTGAATCGCAATACTTTCCTTACCTAGTATAGGTAGGAAAGTAAAAAATAAATATATTTATCAGTCAAGAGAATATAGAAAACAATATGTATGCTCATTGAACTGGGATGACATCAATATTATTATTTTGTTTGCCAAACAGCTTCATTATACCATGAAGAAAAAACACGTTAGTCTTTATGGCAAATATTGCTTAACAATTTTATTTACTTATTTAATTTAGTAAATTAGTTTAGTAAATCTAATAATAATAATTAATAATTGTAAATCATAATATTAGTTTTTAATAAATTAAAGACTCGGTGTTTTAACCTTTTTTATACTTAGTTCTGGCTCGGAAAAAAGGAAACCTGCTTATTATCATGTTATACAGGATGTCTCGTAAGTAAAGGGAAATTTTTATGGGAGTGATAGCAGACCTCAACAGCTAGAAAAAAATGTATAAAAATAATGGACCGATTTCCATCAGGAAAGTAGGAAATTTCAGTTTAAGTGTTTTTTAAGTAAATCACATTTTTGCTGAATAGGAAGTGATAACTAAAAAACTATGATTTTTAAATAACTAACAATTGCTTCACTGTAAACTAGACAAAATTTACTTTAAATAAATAAAGTTTGTCATTGGTAAAACCATTTAAAGAACACTTCTGAAAAGGCTAAACTAAGCTGAATGCTGTTTTTAAAAATATCATAAATCATTCATGTATTTTTAATCATCCTTCTACTTAACTACAGACACCCCATTTTACTAAAACTTTCCTGGTTTGATAAGCTTTAAGTCCACATAGCTTAATAAGGGAAGAACTTGAGATTCACATCAAGTTGTATAAAAAAAATCATGTGACTTTATATCCTATTACTTAAAAGTACCCGTGTCTTCAGCAAAACTGACTATAATTAATTAATTGATTGTTGCAAAACTTTTTTATTTCCTGTTTTTCTATGATCAGGGACTTATAATTATAAGCTAATTAACTCCCCGGCGGTACTACAGGCCAGGATGACCCTTGGCCTCCTGAGTTATTTTTTTCCACTTCTCTCTGTCCTGTGCTACTCTTCCAATTGCGAACTCCTAGCTTCTTCGCATTTCTCTCCACTTCATCCTTCCATCTGCTTCTCAGTCTTCCTCTTTTACCTCTTCCCACTGAAGTGTGCTTCCTATATTTTTCTCTACAACCGTTCATTCTCAATTCTGACCACATGTCCTGCCCATCTAAGGCTACTTGCCTTGATATAGTTATTAATGTTTTGATTCTCTAATATAGCCTCTATGTCATTGTTACTTTTGATTTTCCACTCACCTTTAACACATGTAGCACCATAAATCCTTCTTATTATTTTCCTTTCAAATACTTTTAGTTTACGGCAACCCTCTTGCAATAAACACCAGGTTTCCGCTCCATAGGTGACTACTGGTATAATAAGCGTTTTATACAGCTTTCTTTTTGTGGCTTTTGACAACAATGGAGACTTGAGAAGTTTTAGGTTTGCATAGTAAGCTCTATTACCAGCCATTATTCTGTTGTCTATTTCTCTGCTGATTACATTTTCATTATTTAGGGCAGAACCAAGATACACGAATGTGGGTACATTTTCGAACTTAAAATTTTTTATTGTGATTTCATTGCAGGATCTTCTATTTGCTGCCGAGAACAGTTTCAGGTATTTAGTTTAGTTTTCATTGACCACAAGTCCTACTTTGTTGCCATTTTCGTATACAATCTCAAATGCCTCTTTAAGCGCCTTTTCACTTTGTGCAGCTATCACCAGGTCATTAGCGTAAGCACGAATTTGCCAGGTCTTATCAACGATGGTACCTTTTTTAGCTGCATCTTTCACAGCAGCATGCAGAGCTATGTTGAATAGTGTTGTCGATAAGGCATCTCCTGGACGCACTCCAGACTGTACCTCAAACAATCGACCAACTTTATTTCTAATAATAACTTTGGATGATGATTTTCCATGGTCATGCGTATTAAATTAATTAGTTTATGTGGCACTCCACTTTACACTAGCATTCATAACAGAGCTGATCTCTTGATGCTATCAAATGCCTGCTTGTAGTCAACGAACAACAATTACAGATCAATGTCATACTCCTAACATTTTTCTATCATTTGCCTTATAACAAAAATTTGATTCGTAGTACCGTGGCCAGCTCTAAAACCACACTGGTAATCATCTAAAATTTCCTCAGCATATTTTTGCAACCTTTTCAATATTAAACTAGAAAGGAGTTTATACAGGACTCCCAATAGGGTTATTCCTCTGTAATTTGTGCACTGATCCTTGCTACCTTTTTTTAAGAATAGGACATATTAATCCAATCCTCCAGTCATCCGGCATCTTTTTCTCTCTACATACGTCATAGATCAACTCATATATTAAGGCCTTCATTCTACCACTGCAGTATTTAATCAATTCCGCAACTATCCTGTCCTCACCGGGAGCTTTACAGTTCTTCAAGTCCATGATGGAAAACTCAATATCCTCTCTGTCAGGCTCATCAACTAGCAGTCGTGGTTGCCACACATGACATTCTTCTCCACTCTCAACATCCTCCACCTCCAGACCAGTGTTCAGCAACTCTGAGAAGTGTTCGGTCCACCTGTTCATCACCTCTCCTTCTCCACCCAAAGCCTCTCCTGTTTTACTTTTACAATTATTCAGCTTCAGCTGATACTCTTTTCTGAACCAATTAATTTCCTTATAAAACTTTTATTTCCTGTTTTTCTATGATCTGGGACTTATAATTATAATCCTAATTGCTTAAATAAACAATTTATTAATTTTTTTTTAAAATGATTTTTCTATTCGTTGTTTAAAGTGATAATGAAAAGGTTTTTTTTACTAAGATCTATATTACAGGAATTGATCCATATTCTTCTTCTTCTGCGTTCTTCCTTTTACGACTAGGTCAGGAACTAAAATGAAGAATTCGGTATTCCTCCTCAGGTCCTCCAGGCTTCAATATAGTTTCCTTTCCATTTCAGCCGGAGAGGGCCACATCACCTTCCTTTGCTGGGAGTAGGCCATGCACATTTGTAAGATATGTTCCACATTCTGTACACCCTCACCGCACTCGCAGAGGGGACTAGAGCCAATTTTGAACTTACCGAATAGGTGAGCTTTGAGCTTGTTGTGTCCAGTTCGTAAGTGAAAGATCAAGACCTGATCTCGTCGAGTTAGTCCATAGATCGTATCTCTTGAGTCATGAAGTGACCTTCGCATCTCTGAGCCAACGTTGGTTAATAATCGCTTTATTGTTTGTTTTTACCTCGTCTAGGCTGATCTTACAATCAAATTTCAAGGCCCCTCCTTTGCCAGCTGGCAAAGGAAATGCTCCTGATCCTAATATTTACTTCTTCTTGAAAATAATTTATTCAGTAAGCAGATTTCTTTATTTTAAATGTAAATTTTAGGAATGAAAGCATTTATTTCATCACTAATAAATGCCGATAAATTCCTTTCATAGAGATCTAATTAAAAAACACATTTCATTATCACTTTAATTGACGAAAAATCATTATTATTAATATTTTTGTTAAGAAATAAAAAGTGTGTTAATGCATTTATATTTATTATTCCAGGCCATAGAAAAAAAAAATTAAAAGTTTGCAATTATTTATTGTAGTAATTTTTGCTAAAAATAAACCTCAACTTAATCTTATATTGATTTGAAGCTTATTAAACCAGGAATTTTAAGTAAAAATGGGGTCTCTGCAGATAAGTTGGAGGACGATAGAAAAATATAGCAAATAATTTATGATTTTTTTTTTTAAACAAAACTTAGCGTAGTTTAGCCCATTCAAAAGTCCTATTTAAATGGTGTTCATTCATTCATGTATGGCACAACATCCCGTCACCGAGACTGGGCCTCCTCCAAGAGCCTCCGCCAGTTGGCTCTGTCTTCTGCTGCAGCTCTCCAGTTCCGCACACCAAGCAGGGTTCTCGCATCATAGGCCACGTTGTCCAACCATCTCGTCCTCGGCCTTCCTACCCGTCTTACGAGGTGCAGCTCCTCCATCATTATTTTTTTTGGTATTTCAAGGGTGCTCATTCTGGCCACATGCCCTGCCCACCTTAGTCTGGCCAGTTTAATATACGTGACTACGTCGATGTCTGCATAGAGAGAACTGAGCTCCCTATTTTTTCTTTTCCTCCAGACATCACCCTCCTTTACTGGACCATAAATCCTTCTGAGGACTCCTCGCTCAAAGACACTCAGCTTCATCTCATCCCTTTTGGTCATCGTCCAAGCCTCTGAGCCATATGTCAAAACAGGCCGAACAAGGGTCTTGTATATGATCAGCTTGGTCTTCTTTGAGAGGTACCTACTTCTTAAGTGTCGGCCAAGTCCAAAGACACATCTATTGGCAGCCGTGATCCTTCTTTGTATTTCTTGAGCCATGTCATTCTTGCTATTGATTTCAGACCCAAGGTATATAAAACTTTTCACTCTCTCAAACTTAAAAGAACCTACCTCAAATGGAGAGTTCAGATCAACCTCACCGCCAACTCTCATATACTTAGTTTTCCTCTCGTTGACTTCTAGACCAAGTGGTCTTGCAGCTGCTTCAAGGCTTATAAACGCTTCTCTGAGAGCCCGTTCAGACCTACCTACTATGTCAATATCATCAGCAAAACCAAGAAGCTGTGTCAGGCGATTGAAGATTATATCTTTGGTCTGAATACCGGAGTCTCTTACAGCTTTCTCCTCTGCCAAATTGAACAATAGACAGGCGAGGGCATCCCCTTGCCTAACCCCACTGCTCACTTTAAACTCTTCGGAGTCGTCAGAACCGACGCGTATTCTGCATCTCGAGCTGTCCATGGTCATCTTGATTAGGCGTACGAGCTTCTGAGGGATGCTTAGCTCCTCCAAGGCACAGTATAGTTGCGTTCTATCAACACTGTCGTATGCTGCTTTAAAGTCCAGGAATAAATGGTGGGTGACTACCTTACGCTCCATAGTCTTTTCTAGGATCATCCTCAGAGAGAACAGTTGATCAGTCGTTGAGCGTCCTCTTCGAAATCCAGCCTGATATTTCCCCAGTTCCTTTTCAGAATACGGGAGGATCCTCTCAAAAAGAATGTTAGAGAGCAGCTTATAAGCACACGAAAGGAGTGAGATTCCTCGATAGTTAGCGCATTCTGTTTGATCTCCTTTCTTATGTATTGGGCAGATAATGGCTGTTGCCCATTCCGTAGGCATAGCTTCCTTCTCCCAGATGGTCAGCATTAAATCATGCAGAGCTTTCTTGAGTTCTTCACCTCCACATTTCAACAGCTCTGACTGGATTCCGTCCCGGCCTGGCGCCTTTCCATTTTTCAATTTCCTCAGGGCGTTTTCCATTTCCTCCTCATCCGGGGGTTCAATAGAATTCACGGAGTCTTCCTTCATTACACCTACTTCTCCAGGCACCGTTCCTCTGTTTAATGCGCCTTTGAAATGTTGTACCCATCTCCTTAGTACGTCATCTTTGTGGCTTAAAAGAGTTCCATTTGTGTCTTTGCATGCCGTCACTCTGGGCCTAAAAGCTGCCCTACCCTCGTTTATTCTCTGAAAGAACAGGCGACTTTCATTTTGGCCTCGCAATGCCTCTGTGTCCTCCATGTTCTTATTTTCCCAAGCTCTTCTCTTTCCGCGGAATAATCTCTTCTCTTCGCGTCTTTTTCTTCTATATGTTTCTTGGGAGAGCCTTGTGGGACGCTGAACCTTCTTTCTGTGGGCTTCATTTTTCACTTTTACTGCTTGAAGGCACTCAGCATCAAACCATGGGGGCCTTCTAGATTTAGTCTCGTAGCCAAGAGCTTCCTCTGCTGCCTGTTTCATTGCGTTGCTGCATCTCTTCCACTGTTCATCGACCATAGAGCTGTCATTAATTACTTCTTCATTAAGTTTCGTCTCCACAGCTTGTTGATACGAATATTGGTGGTCTGAGTCCTTAAGTTTAACCACATCAATCTTCTTCTTTGGTCGTTGGTAGTGGTTTTTAATCAGCGAAATTCGTGATCTGACCTCGGCAATGCTCAAATAGTGATCCGTGTCCATATTTGCACCTCTATAAGATCTTGCATTTATCATGTTGGACTTGTGACGGGCACTAATGAGTACATGGTCTATCTGTGATGCTGTTTGCCCATTTGGAGAGATCCATGTTGCTTTGTGGATATTCTTTCGAGGAAAAAGAGTTGTTCCAACAACCAGTCCGTGCAATGTAGCAAAGTTCACCATCCGTAGCCCATTATCATTACTGGTCTCATGCAAGCTGTGGGTTCCTATGGTCGGCATGAGTGCCACCTCCTTACCAACTTGTGCGTTAAAGTCACCAAGAATGATTTTAACATCATTTTTGGGGCAGCTTTCTGTCACGCGTCCAAGTTCTTCATAAAATGCTTCCTTATCCTCCTCAGGTGACACCTCTGTTGGGGCATGGCAGTTGATTAGAGAGAAATTAAAAAATTTTCCTCTAAGCCGAATGTAGCATAACCTTTGGTTAATGGGAGTAAATCGCATCACCAACTGTCGAGCTCTGCCTCTCACAACAAATCCGGTGCCGAAGATGTGATGCTTTTCATGGCAGCTAAATGGTGTTACCAATGTAAAATTCTATTTTAATTTTAAGCAAATTTTGTCTAGTTCACAGTGAATAAATTGTTAGTTATTTAAATTAAGTAGGTTTTTTGTTATCACTTCCAATTCAACAAAAAACGTGGCACCTAAAAAACCACAAAACTCATTAATATCCTACTTTTCTGCTAATAATCAGCCCATTATTTACATAAACTTTTTTTGTAGCTCTAGAGCTCTGCTATCACTCCTATAAAAATTTCTCCCAACTTATGGGAAACCTTAAATATTTAATTTTTTTAAACTAAACAGAAATTTAGAACCTATAAAAAAATAATGCATAAATTAGATATTTTTATAACCACATAACATACTATGGGGTTGGAATGATACTTACCGTCATAATTTTCTGTCGATTTGGTCTTTCCAGTTCCAATGGAGTCAATTCCGAAGAGACAAGTTTTGAAAGAAGCTCTTCAATCTCAGAAGTGAGTTCCGTACCATTGAGCATATTTTGTAACTCTTCAGACACTTGATTGCTGATGGCCAAACCAGAATCAAGATAAGCCTAAATACAATAAATAAAAAATATAATAATGATGTAGCGATGGTTGACCGTTGATATAATACGAGAAGGAGTTAGTCGGGGGTGTGGACCTCCGCACCCCCGACTAACTCCTTCTCATAAAAAATATAATAGTAATAATTCTGTACATAGATAAGTTCACTTGAATATTTAAATTCAATCTTAAAAATTGACCATTACCTTTAATACTGTTGATAGGGTTTGGGATCTATTGTTCCTCAACAACTGAACAAGATCGAGTAACATTTTACCGGCTAAATCGTTATCTTCTTTGGAACTGTCGACAATGACCCTCACCAGAGTAATGAAAGATTCAAGGTCCTTAGTATTGATGAAAGAGAGTACGACGTTCCTGCACAGCTGTGGATTTGTATAATTGGCCTTGAATTGCAAACCTTAAAAGTAAACATGGGTCTTTAGAAGAAAAATTAAATTAATTTGGAAGAAAATTAAATCTAATACAAATATAATTCAATAGTATAGATTTCTTATCTGGTTTTCATGGAAAATGGATTTAGACTAAGAAGAGTACTAGACTGAAACGACAAGAAACCATTCGACGTTTCCGATTACTTCAGCACTTACTATACAAACGCTCTAAACTTCCAATTAATTACAAAAGACTCATATACTTGACTATAATAAGGCCTATTTGGACATACGGAGTTGAGCTATGGGGCTCCACTAAACCATCGAATTCCCCTTGTATCCAATCCTTAGAATCCAAAATACTTCGTAAAATCCTAAACGCTCCTTACTTTGTCACAAATAAAATCATCCATAATCATCCATATGTTTCCGATTTGGCCCAATCCAGATACCTATCCTTCCATAACAAACTGCAAAACCATCCGAACCCTCTCTTTTCTAACCTTGCTTCTTCTTCAATTCCTGATAATCCTCCGAGGCGTCTGAAAAGAAGATGGCCCCGTGATCTCCTAATGTAGTCATATCATTAGAGTGCTACCATTGGGTAGTTACTCAGCAAGTGTTTGCATGTCATTATATCCATTATTTTCAAATTTACTAGAGGTATTTATTTAATACAGTTGTAAATTTCATTAAGAAATAAAAAAAAAAAAAAAAAAGACTAAGAAGGTGTAAAAAGAAAGGAAATTTCATGAATGTGACAAATCCCAATTTAGATTCATGAATTCTTATAACAACAAAGTGTAGTAGATGGCCTCTATTTACTTCTTTAAGTGACACTGAGTAAGAGAATGAGAAGGAATGTACGGTTCCATTATGAATTGGACTCAATTTTGCAGTGGACAAGTTGCTGAAATAAATTATTTGTACAACTTAATGTTATACTTCATTTACAATCAGATAATAAATTTTGGCAAATGGCCATCTGACTCTGATAAAAAAGGCTAACCACTCCAGCAAATCTTTCATAAAAAATTGAACAAGAAGACTAACTACGATAAAAAAACTAAATATAAATATAAAAGTAATCTATAATCAAAGTTTAGCTATTACAGTATCATATTTATTGTTAAACTTGTTTTATAAAAGATCTTTGTCAAAAAAGGGTAATAGTGTAATGCTGGTGAAAGAAATTGATACAAAAGATAGTTCAAGGCAATTAGAGCGCACATACCAGTTAAGAGAATAGATTTATTCATATTTCAAGGAATATCTGTCTGGAGGTGTAGGTTATATTATAGTAGAAAACCCTCCCCATAACAACTGGTAAGAAGTTCCAAAGAATCCTGTCGGGTTTTGAAGGGGGGAGGGGGAAAAAGAACAGAAAACTGATATATTTTTATATCATAAAGTACCATATTAAGGTATTTTAAAATCTCTATAAAAATAATAACCTATACATTTTTTTTTAAATCTATGGTTACGGAGATATTTATGAGATTATATTTATTGCTTTTCCACTTAAAGCAAAAATTACTCTAACCACGAAATTCTTGTTGTTCATAATAGACTATACTTTTTTAAGTTTAATTAGTCTTTGACATTTTCATTCGTTCAAATTATTATTAAAAGTTTCTTTTAATGAATCTTAAAAGTCGTTCACTCACAGAATTATATTCGATATCAATTGATGGGGAATTTCGTGATAATGATTTGAGTTTAGATTGAAATTAATTTCATATAATTGATAATATGTGATAGATTAAAACTTACAAAAAGTTACCATAAACCATGGTTTGATTACGTACAGAGAACCAGAAAACTTAAGTTTTATAATTTTTAAGCCAAGCCCGTTATATGTTGAATAAAAAGTAATAACTAAAAAAATGTTAACTGCTTAAAAGTCTCCTTTAAAAAAAGATAAGATTTACTTCATTTAATGTAAATTTAGCCTAGTTAACTGTGAAGTAATTGGTTATAACCTAAATTAAACATTTTTTTAGTTACTACATTTTATTCAAAATTAAATGCGGTTGGCTTAATAATTACAAAATTGAAGTTTCCTGGTTGTCAATAACTTTTAAGAATCATTAAAATAAAAAAACTTTGAATAATAAATTTGAACAAAATATTAAAAAACTAATTAAACTTTACAAAGGTATCGTACTATGAACATCAATTTTGTGGTTTGGAACAATTTTTGCTTAAAGTGGAAACGCAGTCAATATAATATCATAAATTTCTTCGTAACCATTGATTTCAGCAAGAAAATGTACAGGGTAATTTTTAGAGAGATTTTAAAGTACTTCAGTATTGTACTCAACAATCTTTGTGAAAAACCTCATAGTTTTTGAGATATTCTCAAAAAACTAAAAATATATCAGTTTTATATGTACTAAATATATCTGTTCCTCTGTAGACCCCCACCGTCAAAACATGAAGCGGGATTCTTTGCGACTTTTTACCAGTTATTATAGGGAAGGTAATGAACAGTTTCTGATAAGATTCATATTTCTTTTTCAATGTTATGGTCAATCCCTTAATTTACTGGACTAATACAGTTCATGCAATTCTCCGAGGTGGTGATGGCTGAGTGTGTTAAAACATAAACTTTAATATTCTTGATACTAACAGAATCGGGTTTCTTCGAATTCGAATTGGGTTTTAGAAACCGTCTAAAGGGGACCCTACACGGTCAATCGGAATTGCACTAATGACGTTCCGAATTGTCGTGTAAGGTAGTGAATGAAGTACTGATGGTGGTGCGCTGCGGATTTCCGAACATCTGGAAATCAAAGGTTCATTCACGAGAAGTGGAGAGGGGACTGAGGTAAAAGTAGTGGGGAGACTAACCATACTAGAGGATAGGTTAAGTTACCTAGGCCTCACGACCATTATAAATTTCTGATTTTCATTATATGTAAATAGTTAAATAATTTTTCATATCCCTTGTTTTTAATTTTAAACCATCTTCAACTATTTCTTTTAAATAGTCAAGTAGACAACAAATTAAAAAAAAAATGAGGAAACTTCACAATTTACTTTAGGAAAAAAAAAAACTTTAACGTTGTGTATATTTATCAGTTCTTTTCCCATTTTCCTCAACAAATTTATAATCTTCGCAATACCTTTCCTTAATTTTTGTAAGTAGTAGACTTATATTTTACTAACTTTTGTCAAAACGATTTTCTATGAGACTAACCTTCTATGAGACTACTACTAGATAGGTTAGTTTACCTAGGTCTCGTTATTAAGTAAATAGTTGTGTTTATATCCCTAGTCTATATTATTATTAACCATTTTCAACTATTTTTTCTTTAAATAGTCAAGTAGGCAATAAATTGAAGAGAAAAAAAGTGGAAACTTCACAATTTACTTATAGAAAAAAAATCTTTAACTGTTGTGTTTATTTGCCATTAATTTTTCCATTTTTCTTAACAAATTGATTATTTTCGCAATACTTTTCCTAGATTTTTGTATGTACTTGACTTATATTTTTCTAAATTTGGTCTAAACGATTTTGAGGCCCTAGGAAGTAATTATTATATCTCCGTTTTTCTCTTGATGCCCAATATTATAAATGACAATGTCCAAATAAGCATATCTATGCTGTTTCTTTGTTTACAACTGAGCTAAATTGGTATCAGCAACGATAAGTAATGATCAGTAATGATTGAACGTTTAAGGGTCTTCATGATCAAAGCGATCACGGGCAATCTTGGCACTTCTTGTGACGTTCATTCATGAATTACCGTGTAGGGTCTGCTTAATAAATTTTCTGGTTGACTCATTCTTTTTCGGTTCGAATATTCTACGAAATACTTCAATTTCAAAAACCTTCAGACGTTGTTCATCTCCTGATTTTATTTTATATAAATAAGAATCTTAAATCTTTATATTCTCAGATTAAATTAGATAATTAGTAAATATGACAAATAAAACTCCATCACATACAAGTAGACTTTTCTTATTCCATCGTGCAACCATGAATGAAAATTAGTATAAACATGTTAATTAACCAATAATAAGGTAAAACAATTACCAATTTTAGCAGCAGTTTTAATATCGTTTTTTGCCAGGAGATTGCCAATCATAGCAGCAGCACTCGTAGCCACAGGTACTCCGGCTCTAGATAAAAGAAGAACACCTTGCTCGTCTTGAGGGATGTAAGGGGCGGCGTAGTCCCTCAAGGTTTCACCAGTAGCAGGCTGGCCTATTTCTTCAATCATTTGTGTTAAAGTATCAATCATCCCTAAAGAGAAAAGAAAGACAAAATAATTAAATCAATAATTTTATATATTAGAGTTTAATGTAACAAGTGTACATTCACTTTAACTGTTCACACATTAACGTATCACTTTTTATCAAAAAGAATATATTTTTAGAATTTAAATTGGAATGCAAGACATTATCAATTGTTTCTAGATTACCTATCATTAAAAAAAAAAAAATTGAAAATTTTTACTCATATAATAAATAATGAATAATATAATAATGTCTTCATCTTTTAGGATAGGTACCGGTTTTAACAAGTACTCAAAAAAATGATGTACACGCTACACCTGGACAGTATTTCAAATGAAATATAAAATAGAATTCACTTTTCTTATTTTGTATTTTAAGTAGGTAAATATAAAATACATAGTTTGAAACTATATTTTCTTTTTTGAAAATCAAAATATAAAAAACTAAGGTGTATGATTTAGATCACACGATAGAGGTGAAAAGACCAACAAGGTGAGATTAATAATATGAAATCTAAATTATAAATAATAGCTCATTATAAAGAGAATGAAATGCTGAATATTTCCATCGCTTAAAGTATGCAGGTCCGCAGGTCTGATTTCCCTTGCTTACAGTACAGGTCCGATTTTAGTATCCGAAATACTTTAATACAAATGTTCAACTAAACTCATTATCATTTGGTTTCCGACACTATTTTTCTTTTATAACCCCCCAACACGCCATCACGTTAAGATACAATTTTGAATTATAGATTAATACAGAGAGGATGAAATGCTGAATAATTTCCTCGCTTACAGTATCCAGGCCCGATTTTTAGCTTCTGAGGTATTTTAATCAATATATATAAAAACATTTCAATTAGTCGACTCTAGCCAACTTCACCTAAGCGTTAACACTTCGAAAATCTGACAGATCAATTTAATTCACTTTCCACAAAAAATTGCAAAACGAGCCTTATGAAGTTTTCACTTAAAAATATTCATATTTTCTTTCTAAGATGTTGTAATACAACAAATATATTTTATTTTGTATTTTAAATATATAAAATAAATTACCTAATTTAATAGGTTACTTTAAGTATTGTAGCAAGACTGAATATTTGCATATGAGTTCTATCCCATGAAAATCAAGCATACGAATCGTTCAAGTTCGATTGTGTTAAATCTATAATAGAATTATCTAAACCCATAAAATATATCAATCTTAAAAAAATTACTTGGGACTTCGGGTTTTATCATAGAAAAGCATATTTTGTTAAATAAACAAGAAAAAGTGGACCATATGTCACTTTTATTATAGATATGTTCTAAAAGCATAAAATAGATAGTTCTATTTTTATAAAATAAAATAAAAACTATTTAATGGGTGAAGTGATCGCGTCCGGACAGTTAGTCCACGTGCCCCCTGGATAACCCGTAAACACGGTAAGTAAACGATCACATTTATCGCAAACTCAGTCCAATATACAAAGCAAAACATGCCCAGGCCCTATCAAAAACGGCCAAATGCTCGCAAGCTTTCTAAAGACTTAGGTAAGGCTCAACTCAAAGCTATCTTTTGGAACGCAGGCGGTTTAACCAAAGATAAATTCACCGAATTGAAACGTATAGTGACAGAAAGTGATGTAGACTTATGTGCCATCGTCGAAGCAGGAGCGGCAACTGAAAAACCTGAGATGCACCGAATTCACGGATACCAAACATATTTCCTCCCAAGAGCAAGACAAGTTGCATCTGGTATTATGCTAGCTGTTAAGGCATCCATCGTTACGGATATGAAAATTAGGAAACGGCAAGATGCAAGTGATAAATCCGAGGCTCTGGAAGCAAATTTGTGGTATGGCAAACGGCACTTCCGAATATTCGTAATGTATAACCCTCCTCAAAACAGACCGGACCTCACATGGTTGGAAAGGAACTGGAATGGAGAGAGTATACTATATGGAGACCTGAATGCCCCTTCCACTATATGGGGATATAATAACACTGATACTGTAGGCAGAATATTTGAAGATTTCCTTAACTCAAACCCTGCACAATATATTCGAAATGAGACAAAACGTCCAACCTTTCTTTCTTTCACTGGCAGTACTTCCTGCCCTGATGTTGTATTGGCGCACACCTCAATCTCTGATAACATAAAGCATACCCTACTACCAGCTATAGCAGGTTTCGGACACAATATCCTTGTGGTTAACTTTAACCTGAATCAAAATAATAATAGCAAGACCAAAGAACCGCAACTGCCACGATGGAATTTAAAGAAAGGAGACTGGAAGCTTTTCAGAAAATTGACAGATGAACTCATCACTGATAAATTAATCATAAACGGCAACGTAGATAAAACATATACTAATATAAAAGGAAATTTATATAGGTGTGCCCTGAAGACTATTCCCCGAGGAACGGTACGAAAATATCGTCCTTTCTGGAATGAAGAACTGCAAAAGCTAAAAGAAGAAAGAGATGATTTTAGAAAAAAAGCTGAGAGCTCCAAAAATCATGCAATTATAAGTTTACTTAAAAGGAAAACAGCTATATTTAAAAGAAAAGTTATTTCAGCTAAGCAAAACTCATTTAGAACGTTCCTACAGAAAATGGACTTTAGAAAAGATGGAGTTAAGGCACATGAATTTCTTTCAAAAATAAATAATAAATCAAACTTAGCAAACCATCCAATAACTTTCGATGGGAAAACAATAAGCAAGCTAAAAGAAATAGCTAACTCCTTCTGCAAACACTATTCAAAAGTAAGCAATTACAAGCCAAAAAAGGAAAATGGAAATCCAGTCACAAACTCCACACATTGTTGTGTAATGAGTGAAGAAGATTATACACTATTCTGGGGAGATATCCAAACGCAAGAACTAAATGATGCTCTTACTAAATCTAAGAAAGGTAAAACCGCAGGCCCAGATGACATACTGTCGGAATTTCTTATACACCTGGGGGATATGGCCAAAGAAACAGTACTAAAATTTTTAAATGATGTCTGGAAAACACATATTCCGTGTGAATGGAGGAAAGCAGAAGTGGTACCAATCTTGAAGAGAGGAAAAAAAGGAGACATGCCGGAAAATTTCAGACCCATTGCATTAACAAGTACTTTCTCCAAGCTCTACGAGAGAATCGTTGCAGAAAGACTTGAAAAATGCATAGAGAAATATGATCTAATATCTTCTAAACAAGCTGGCTTCAAGAAAAATCGAAACACAATTGAACAAGTAGCTCGTCTAACACAAGAAATAAAAAACGGCTTCCAAAGAAAACAGAGTACCCTAGCAATATTCGTAGATTTTATGACGGCATATGATAGAGTTTGGAGAAAGAAGCTAGTGAGTAAGCTTGTTGACAAGGGAATCACAGGATATCTGCTCAAGACTATATCTTCTTTCTTACACCAAAGGTTTATAAGGGTGCGATATAAAAACGTTGTCTTGACATATCGCCAAAAAAAACAAGGCCTCCCACAAGGCTCGGTGCTGAGTCCCTTCCTGTTTAACATCATGATTGATGATATCACGGAACTCACTGAAACTATTCCGGGTACAAATGCCCTGCTGTACGCAGATGACCTCGTCATTTGGGCAACAAGTAGTGACTTTAAAGGGCTAGAAAATCACATGCAACATGTACTTAAATTAGTAGAGAAGTGGGCCAATGAAAACGAGATAATCGTTAATTCCGAAAAGACGGAATTCCAACTTTTTACCCTCTCTACCAAATCACACGAGATCAATTTGAACCATAATAACGAAGAGCTCAAACGCACAGAAGAAGCTACATATCTTGGAGTGAAATTGGATAAAAGACTCTCTTGGAATAAACACATGGAAAAACAAATAGAACAGGCTTCAAAACGACTTTCGTTAATACAGAGGTTAGGTGGCTCAAAATGGGGAGCAACGGGGGATGTTATGGCTCTTACCTACAAAACATATGTCCGCCCTGTTATTGAATATGGAGCACAACTTGTTATCACTGCTTCGGACGCGATATTACACAAGCTCGACATAATCCAGAATCAAGCCCTTAGACTCGTGACAGGAGGGAGCAGATCAACCCCAATATCTGCGCTAGAATTACAAACAGGCATAGTACCTCTTGAGACACACCGGGAGCAACTGGCCATTACGCTCTATGAAAGGCTAAAACGTCTTAAGATCAACTACTGGAGTACCTATGAACCCGCACCTGAACGCCTTAAAACTCAAATTACTTTTACAAAGGCAGTGGAAGATTTGATAGAAAGAAAAGGACTAGAATTAGCTGAAAGGGAGCCACTCCCGTCATTGACACAAGTTCCATTCACCAGCCAATTTGTTGTTCACTGTGATCTTCTTCAGAATGTTCTAAGGATACAACACCAATTTACGAACAAAAGGCTATAACCCTAGAAACCATCGGAAAACGATTTCCAGAGACAGAATGGCTCCATGTATATACAGATGGTTCTGCACTGGAAGCACGCAAACATGCCGGAGCTGGTGTTTATTCAAAGGAGTTTCAACTTGCCGCCCCGGTCGGAAAGGTAGCCACAAACTTTGAAGGGGAAGTGAAAGCCATTCTCTTAGGCCTTGAGATGTTAACTGAACGGAAAGACAAGAAAGTGGCTTTATTTGTTGACTCACAGGCAGCCATTTTGTCCCTAAAAAATTGATATAGTATAAATCCAAATGTTCCTAAATGCCATCAATATTTGAACCAATTAAAGGAAAATGGGACAGAAGTCGCTTTCCAGTGGATACCAGGCCATTGCGGGCTCCACGGAAATGATGAAGCTGATAAACTGGCCAGAATAGGTTCTGGAATGATCCAACCCGATATTCCTCTGACCATGGATTCAACAAAAAGAATCATAAAGCAGACCCTCCAAAGTTCACTGAAAGCGAAATATGTACAAACAATTGAAGGGAAACGATGGAGTGGATTGCTGGAAGAAAGTGGCAGGATTCCTAGAGACCTCCCTAGAGGGCAAGCCGTGGCATGCTTTAGAATGCTGACAGGCCACGATTTCCTTCAGAAGCACCTCCACCGCATCGGTGTAAAAGATAGCCCGACATGCCCTCTATGTTCCTTAGACATAATGACAGGAGAACATCTGGATACATGCCCTGCATTACAGGACATAAGATGTTGCTTGCATGGACATAAGATGTTGTCCAGTTCCGAGTATAATAGCTGTCCATACTGCGTGCCTTTATTGACTTAATAGATGGTAATGTAAACCTAACATACTTGAAAATGACCCTTAGTATGGTTGAAATGTTGAATTAAGTAGCGTATCAATAAAATGTTTGGTGATAATTGGCCTGATTTTTGAAAAAAATAAAACCTTAAGACACCAAAATTAGGATAAATGAACAGAAGAAATATAACAACTGGGAGGCCACCTCGTGACCCAGGAATATATCAGCGCAGTACGGACCAATGGAAACCTTTTAAACGTGCCTTTATTGATTTAATAGATGGTAATGTAAACCTAACGTACTTGAAAATGACCCTTAGTATGGTCGAAACGTTGAATTAATAGCGTATCAACAAAATGTTTGGTGATAATTGGCCTAATTTTTGAAAAAAAAATAAAACCTTAAGACACCAACATTAGGATAAATGAACAGAAGAAATAAATAATGTTCTTTAATAATTATTGTATCTGAACAATTTATAATAAAAGTTTTTTTTTTTTTTTTTTTTTTTTTTTTTCCTACACCTAAGTAACGCCTGCTTCGTTAGCATGAAATGAAATGAAATGGACAGCTATTATACTCGGAAAGCAAAATTGTATTGGACTGCAAGAGCACGCATGGCTAACGAAGCAGGCGTTACTTAGGTGTAGGAAAAAAAAAAAAAAAAAAAAAAAAAAAAAAAAAAAAAAAAAAAAAACTTTTATTATAAATTCTTCAGATACAATAATTATTAAAGAACATTATTTATTTCTTCTGTTCATTTATCCTAATGTTGGTGTCTTAAGGTTTTATTTTTTTTTCAAAAATTAGGCCAATTATCACCAAACATTTTGTTGATACGCTATTAATTCAACGTTTCGACCATACTAAGGGTCATTTTCAAGTACGTTAGGTTTACATTACCATCTATTAAATCAATAAAGGCACGTTTAAAAGGTTTCCATTGGTCCGTACTGCGCTGATATATTCCTGGGTCACGAGGTGGCCTCCCAGTTGTTATATTTCTTCTGTTCATTTATCCTAATTTTGGTGTCTTAAGGTTTTATTTTTTTCAAAAATCAGGCCAATCATCACCAAACATTTTATTGATACGCTATTTAATTTGACATTTCGACCATACTAAGGGTCATTTTCAAGTACGTTAGGTTTACATTACCATCTTTTAAGTCAATAAAGGCACGTTTAAAAGGTTCCCATTGGTCCATACTGCGTGCCTTTAAATTTAAATTTAAAAAATTTAAAAAAAAATAAAAAAGAAAATTATTTATTTCCAATTAATTATTTCAAAAGTAAATTTACAACTTTTTAAGCTATAACTCTTTTTCCCACAAAAATAGGTTAATTTTTTTAAGTAATTAGTTGTAATGCGCCACTTTAGGTGACTTCATTTGCATTTTATAATTAAAATACAACATACTATTGATATTAGCAACTAAAATACACACCGTTTTTAAAAAAACAAAGTACTTAGTATTTTAAATAATGTATTTTGACATAATTATTAATATACTTTTTGCCCAGGTCTGGTACAAGCCTTATTTGTCAATTTCAAACATTATTTCCCATAACCCGATATCTAGAATCGCCCATAGCTCATCGGTAGACGGTGAAGTCTATTACCCGGTCTGTCACTAATTCTGACCTCATTACTAGTTAAGAAATAGTTCTTTCTTACGAACTACTGAACCTGAAGACCCTTCATGAGTTCCGGAGACAGAGGTTGATTTCTATTTTAAAATTGAGTCACACTCAACTAATAATATTTTAATTTCCCATTACTATCCTGTTTTATTTTTTCATTAAAATATATCTTCTTTGATAAAAATTAATCAGGAAAAAACATTCTGTAAAAAAAATACTCAAAATGTCATACCATCATAATTCTTTGCTTTTCCAAACTGCACGAGAATCGGCCAATAGTAATGAGGGCATAATTCATGCTCTTTGGCCAATTCTGTTAAAAGTTTTAAGCTCGTTTGTGGTTCACCATGTGTCAAGCTTGCTTCAGTGGCGACAAAAATAGCAGAAACATTTTCTCCTGATTTTTTCAATTCATTACAGAAGTCGATGATCTTCTCAACAGGCTGAAAAAAAAAAAGGATTCAATTCTAATGGACACTACTCTCACAACTCCATAAATATACCAACATGACACAGTATATCCAATTAACTTTATAAGATTAGAAATTAATTTTAAAAAATAAATAAATAAAATTTTAAATAATGGTGACAGAAAGTGTCTTTAGTTTGATGGCTTTATACTAACAAAGTTATTTACGAACATGGTATATTTTAAACTATTTAAAGGAAACTTACAATACCTAATACTGAAGTTTGGCCTGTTCCTCCGGACCCACCTTGTATAGGTTTAACTTTGAAAACAAATATTGAAGGAAATGCAGCGGCATGGTTAATTTCAGCATGATTTAAGGTCTCAATTTTTTTAAAAAGGGAATATTTTAAAATTTAAATCAGAATACAGGACATTATCAACTGTTTCTAGATTACTTACTATAAAAAAAAATTCGAAAATGTTTTATAATATTAAAAAATAAAAATACTGTAAATAACCTACTAAAAGTTAATTTTAAATATTCCTTTTGGGCGGGAATAGGTGAATAGCCTTCCTCTTTTATATCGGTTATTTATACACATGAATAATAAAACAAAATCCCAGCAATGGATATAGACTTTTTGAGGGAGTTTAACTGTTATTGGAAATTCGGGAATCTAATAACTTTTGACACACTGAGTGAGAAGAAACAATAAGAATACATATATGAAATGTGGGACTTAGTAAATACACTTTGAATGAATTGACTCACCTTGTTTCTTATTCTTCAATTGTGAGGCCTATAAGACAACTAAATAAAAGGACTATTCACTCCTGTCTAATAAAACAATTTATTTTACAACTGTAATAACTGAAACTATATAAGTGAACTGTCGGCTTGATATTCTTGGTCTTCAATGTCCTGCTTCTCTCATCTCAGGTAGCGTCCTCACGCCTCCACGTCTCAGCCTCAAGTGCCTGGCGTCGTCTTCCAGCAGCTGCTACCTGACCGGACCTTTTTCCTTCTTTATCGATATGAGATTTTCCAATGAGCATTTGTCCACTGCACAATTGAGTACAATTCACAGTGCAACCTCACATTCCTATATATTATATATTCCTTCTCATTCCCTCACCCAATGTCAACTAAAGGAGTAAATACAGGGGGATGTCTACTACAATAAACATAATCCAAAATGATGAATGACATAACTTGGGATGTGACTATATAAATTTCACCGTAGAATGTATACTTTGTGAGGGCCCAAAAATATTTTACTTTTCTTTATAATTTTTTTTCCTGAATTTTTTCAAGAATTCACAACATTTACGAAAATTTAAAGGACTTTAATTAGAAGATTACACAAGAAAGTTTAATCAAAATCGTTAGAGCTTTTTTTGAGCAGGGACCGCCCCAATTCGGTACTATCTTATTTTATTCTTAATGGAAATTGTAAATATTTCGTTGAAACAGTGAAAGAAATATAATGAGTTCCAAGTTTGATTTTTAATTTTCTTCTTTTAATAATTTAATAATAAGGCTCGATTTATAAAAATTGTTTCTGAAATGTTTTAAACCATCGTAAAAGGTTTCAATTAGTAGACTCTAGGTGTCTTTGTCCAAGCGTTAACACGAAAATCTGACGGATCAATCAATTTCACTCTCCACAAAAAGGCATAAAACGCGCTTAAAGAGGTTTTCACTTTTAAACATATCATCGACTTTTGAAACCAAGTTTTGAAACCTCTTAACTTTTTCAATGAGTTTTAGTAAAGTTTTTGCAGGGAGTTAAAGTTCGTAGATGAGGTTCGTCGCTTCTCCATGAAATTTCCGTTCATTCATAAAAAAAAACATATTATAACTATTTCAAAAGAATTTTAAAGGTTAATTATTAAAAAAAAACTAAGTTGTGTGCTTTAGGCCAATGGTGAAAACAGCAAAAAGGCGAGATTAATAATATGAAATATAAATTATAAATAATAGCTCATTATAAAGAAAAGAAAATACTGAACATTTCTCTCGCTTACAGTATGCAGGTCCGACTTTTAGTTTCTTAGATATTTTAATCCAAATCTTCCTTTAGAGCCTTTAATTTGGTTATGCGGGTCTATTCTATCCCATTAATTTTCTATTTTGATTACATCAATACAGACCAAACAATATTCAGATATTGTCTATTTTATTTATTCATTCAAGCATTTGTTCCATTTCCATTGAGTATTTTACATCATTGTTACTATTGAGTTTTGGTTATTAAGTGCGGTATTGAGATGTTTAGCCGAATTTTTCAGTTTCCTCATTGATATTACTGATGATAAAACTAAGTGGTGCGCCACTTGTATGTAACTTTATTAATCAATGTGCTATAGGTGTATTGTAGTAAACGTTCATTAGTTTACTACCGCCCCAATTCGTTTCACAAGTATCGGTAGTCAAAACCCTCTAAAAAAAAAAAAAAAAGAATAAACAAAATAGGTCCTGAGATAATCTTAGTACTTTCGGACTTTCTAACCAATGGCTAAAAATGTATTTTTCAGGAAATGTAAAGATTCGTTGAAAACTACACATAAAAAATTTTAGCTGATAGCAAAATTTTCCTTACATAGTTGCAGTAGGAAAGTAAAAAATCTGGTGAGGTGCGCGCATCACACAACTTTCACTCACCACCCACTTTTAAGCAGAAATAAGTATTTTTAGACAAAGGGTAAGTGAAAGTAAAAATTGCAAATGCTGTATTGATTTATATTTCATTGTGGGTAATTTTGTTTTTATAAATACCCTTATATATACAAATTTTAATATTTATATTGCTGTAATCTATACAATCAAATATTAAATAATACCCACAATAGGATCTATGAAAACCGCATACATACGTTTACATAATATTGTCGGAGTCCTTATTATACAAGCCCATGTTACGTATGAAGGCATTTTCTAATTTTTCGGGCGAACTTGAATGAGGTCGTATTCCTTTGGTTCCTCAATTACAACTATTCTCCGTTACGATCTCTTATTTCTCCTTTAGTTAATTAACAAATTCTTTCATATTTTATATTTAACTATCTTTTATATAAGAGATTAATGTAAAATGGTCAATCGTTTCAAATAAAAAAAATTAAAGTTACTTTAGGGGAAGCTAATATTGAAAATTAGCCATTTAAGCCCTGTTAGAAAACATCTATCAGAATAAAAACTACATTTTATTTAAAACTGCTTAATTTTACACTGATAAGATGAATTTAATCAAAATTGTTAGAGCCACTTTTGAGAAAATGACAAAAATGTGTTTAGTCCATTATATAAATTGCCACTTTTGAATTAGCCGCTTTTGACGAAAAAGTCGCTGTAATATCCCTGGCATACAAAATCCTAATATGCAATAAATAAATATGCAATTTCACTTGTGTACGACTTTTCGTTTTTGAGCTAGGCTGTTCACACACACAAGCACGCACGCACACACACGGTGCACAGCCTTACTATATATTTCATAGGTAAGTGAAAGTAAAAATAATTTAGCAAGATGAATTATATAAAATTATATTTATTACTTACTCTATGACATTTAACCATCTGCCTAATCAAAAAATTCCCAATAGCCACGCTTTCACCTTCCGACGCATTGACAGGTAACATCATGCGAAATACTTTTATAGCAGCCTCGTCTTCACCTTTTACTAGAAGACGAAGTATGACATTCTTTGCATCTTGGTTAAATCCTGGTAATTTCTTCAGCTTATCAGCCAACTAGAACAATATGTATACAACTCAGATGATCGTGTATGTATCATTAATTTAATAATAATCTTAATACATATTAATAATTATAAACAGGATTAAAGCAGATTATTTTAAATATTAACACAATGATTCAAAGTTCAGATACACTATTTAGAATATAATATCAGTTCATCAAGGAATAAAACCTCTCTAGAGTGAATGAAATGATTTCACTTAAATGTTGCTGTTTAAAAATAATGTAAATAATGATGTAATTGGTAACTGGTTTTTTGAACCAACAAGTGATTCCAAGAAAGTATACCAAGGCTGTCCAAATAATCAATATTAATAAAACAACATTCTTATTACTAACAATATTTTACAGAATCAACTTCAAACAATTTTTTTTTTTTCTTTGAGACAAAAGAAACACTCAGCGTGTTTCAACTGCCTCCCGCAGTGCCACATCCTGCGCCCTGAAGACGACCTGCAAAGTGGGTCGAAACGTTGGCAAAAATTAAAATAATTAATATATTTTAATTTTTTATTTATTTGACCGCACCCTCGACAAACTCCTTCTCATATTATATCAACGGTCAACCATCTCTACATCAGTAGAATTATTTAATTTTTGCCCTGATGAAGACCTGCAAAGTGGGTCAAAACGTTGGCAAAAATTAAATAATTCCACTTGTTTAATTTATTATTAATTTGACCACACCCCATAATCAACTTCTCATATTATATCAACAGTCAACCATCTCTACATCATTATAATACTAATGTAGTTTCTCATTAGTAGCTTAGTTTCTTTATTATTAAAAACAGCATAATAATTATCCATATGACACCAACTGTGACATTTTTGGTTAATAAATAATCTTATAAGGAGCACCACAGGTTGAACGAATGGGTGCTTGCCAGCCAGATTTTGACTCAGATATTACAAATATCTATAAATATATTACAAATAGTAAATAATACTGGTATGTTTTTCTTTTCAAAAAGCACTGTTTTAAATCTATGTTGTTTAAATTTTATTAATTATCCTTCTTTGATTTCAATATAATGACGAGAGTCATAATTGACAATCAAATATGTAAGAATACTGCGATCGTGGTCGATTATAATGACGAAGTTTACCCCTTCATGGTCAATAAACGATATCCACTGTATATTTATTTCCAATTTGAAAACAAATATTTTCGAACAAAAACAAATCCACGACATTAAAAATTTGTCCTTGACTTTTCTCTCTTTTGAAAATTCCCTGACTTAATCCCATTTTTCCAGGTCGGTCGCCACCCTGATGATACTCGCATATGAACACATAACATATTAAAAGTAAAAGATCCAAAATAAAAGATAGATGACATACCTGTTCGATAAGATCAGTGTGTTTATTTATTGCAAGAGTGTATATAACTTCTAAAATATCTTTGTCTGATAAATCTACATCTTCTTGTTCACACTGTGACAGAATATCATTAATAGCTGGGATATCACCATTTTTGGCATAGCCGCACAACAATGTTGAATAAGTTTCCGATGAAGGTTTCACGTTAGCCTGTTTCATGACACCTAAAATACCTACTGCGCTTTTCACATCACTAAAAATAAAATAAAATCATGTTATAAAAATAAATTAATAAATTACTAGATCATTGAAATTATTTCGGCTGATTCAATTTTCATCAGAAGTTTTATTCAATATTTTCTCATTTGTAATGGCTACATTTTGGCCATCATTAGGCACTTTTAAAGGACTTCATGAAAATTAATTTTATATATATAGAAATGTTAATATAAATACATTAATATATGTTAATTTGTCATTGGAACTAAGTCAATTATCTGACAACTTGTCATTGTTATAGTCATTATTATAGTATTAGTTATAGTGTTGTACAAATATATTTTTAGTTTCACTATATTCCATAATTAGTTATGGTTTCTATATTTACAAATAGTTTAAAATAGTTATACATATTGTCCACGGTACAGACCCCTTCCCTTTTTATCAAATTATTAACACCTGGCCAAAACTTTGTGAATGGCTACATCTTATTATAACCTACAACTTTTTTATTTATGAAAATTCTCGAAAATGGGACGTTTTCAATCGGTAAATTTTGTCTATTCAATGAGGTACTAAAAACACATGAAGTTACATTTGCTTAATCCTAAGGTAATTTGATCATAAAGTTGGGAAAAAATGTGGCCTACAAAAATATTGGGCTGTATGGCATGACCTCCTCTCCCAACATTTTGAAATAATGAAATGAAATGAAAATATGTTTTTATTATCCTGGGACTGTTGTCCCTTTAGGAAAAATTATAGTTAAAAAAGAAATGCCTGCGTGGCCATACATTTAATTATATATTTACAAATCTCATTAAAGTTAAAATATTAGAAGAAGAGAAAAACAAAAACAAAAAATACTAAAAATTTACTGATATATATAAAACAAAAATGAGAAAACAAAATAACATAAGTGAACAACATCATTTCTGGGTGAACTTAAAAAGTTCTCTCATCTACATTTTGTTATAAATCGGGTTGGGGAAGGAGTAGATACTTAAAAAATGAGAGATTTAAATGAGGCAACTGATTGCGCATGTCGGATATCGGGAGGGATGGTATTCCAGGTAGAGGCGCCTTGAATTATAAAGGATTTGTCAAACACAGCAGTTCAGTGAGGAGGTGGATAGAGGTCGGAAAAATGGGATCTAGAGGGATGGGATTGAATGGAATATTTAAATTGTAGGCTGTGAAAAATATAGGAAGGTCGCTCAGTTCTAATGGCTTTGTATAGAAAGGTAGTATAGAGGGCGGTTGGATGGATAGAGCCACTTCAACTTGGTGTAATACTGGGTTATTTACGTATCTCTTGAGATTCACACAAGAGAGTAAACCAGGAGTTGACAGGATTTATATAGAAGGAGATATCGGAGACGGTTAAACTGTTTCAGGGTAGAGATAGTACGACGGGAAATTTGGGAGATGTGTGGTTTCCAGGAGAGGGTTTCATCAAAGGTAACACCAAGGTTTTTTACGGAAGTATGGAAGATAGGTGAGTTGTTCAGGAAAAGATTGGGGAGTGTCGGTAAAGATTTGAGGAGTGAAGGAGATCCAATCAGGATGGCTTTTGTCTTCTTGGTGTTTAGAGTAATCCTATTGTGGTTTGCCCAGGTACAAATTCCGGTTATATCATCCTGTCATTTTTGGACAGTGTCAGAGGGTTCAGTCAGACTGAAGGAAAGGTAAATCTGGACGTCGTCGTCATACAAATGGTATAAACAGTGTAGGATAGAGGATGGGAGGTCATTAATGTAGAGGAAAAAATGGTGGGAGATAAATAGGAGCCTTGTGGGACACCTCTGGTCAAGGGTAAAGATTTTGTTGGGGGTTATTAGGGACTACAATATACTGGGAGCGCTCGGAAAGGAAGGATTGGAACCAATTAAGGGCACTAGTAGAAAAGAAGCTATTTTTAAGCTTGGTTAGGAGAATTTTGTGCTCTACTGAGTCAAAGGCTTTGGAGAAGTCAAGGAGAATACGGATGGTGAGTTTCTGCTGGTCCATGGCTGTATGAAGGTCATGGGAAATTTTGATGAGGGCAGACTGAGTGGAGTAGCCAGGCTGAAAACCGGACTGGTTGGGATTTAGGAGGTTATTCTCTTCTAAAAAGTCGGATAACTGGGTTTGAATTAGTCGCTCTAAAGGTTTGGAAAGGTTTGAGAGGTGAAAAAATTGGAAGGAAATCGTTAAGGATTGATGGATTGGAAGTCTTCTTCATAGGGCGAACTAGTGCGGTTTTCCAGGATGCAGGGAAGGTAGCCTCTTGTAGTGAGTAATTGTAAATATGATAGAGGATTGGAAGGATGGATGGTAGCGAGGCTTTGATCAGTCGGACGGGGGATGTTATCGGGTCCATAATCATTGGTATGTGATTTCTGAATGGAGTTTAGGAGGTCATCAGGAGTAATATGGGGGAAAAAAAGTGATCAGGATTAAAATTAAAAGGATAATACATAGGAGCCGGTATGGTCGCAGGAGATAAGGATGAGAAGGGACAGGAGAAGGTCATCAGCAGAAAATGAAATGAACTGGGTTTGAGGTGTGTTACAAATGGTCCTATATAAACCTATATAATGAGGTTATATAGGTCAAATGGCCCAATATTTTTATAGAAGTTTTTTCTCCATTTTGAGATCAACATATCTTATGATTCAAGTGGAAAGAAGTAAATGAATATTCATGACTTTTGAAATTAATCAATGAGAAAACATTCCATTTATGAATATTTCTGTAGATAAAAAAATTCCAGGTTACAAGATGAATGAAAAGGGATCTGCACTACAGATTATTACAGTTTTGTTAAGTTTTGGGCTGCATTGAATAAAACATCTAGTGAAAATAGACACAGCCTAAACGAATTTCATTACTTAAAAAGAGTTGTTATCTTAAACTTAAAAATGATAAAATTAAAATCACAAAGATTGAATAATGAAAATTACAGAACAAAGCAAACTTCAATACAGTCCAGAGAGAGACGTACAATAAAACTGTACAGCTTTATTTAAATATGTTAAGTTCCTAAATGACCCAGCATACTGATCAGTCCTAATTGATATATATAAATTGGTATTTAATAAGGACGAACAAAAAGGATAAATATTTGTAGGACTATTATCCATAGTACTCAGTATTGAAGAAAGCTAGTCGACTGTTCTACATATCATGGATGATAAATATTCAGGACGCAGTCTTTTAAACAAAATTTTAATTTTTTATTTGTGCCAACGTTTCAACCCAAACATGTGGGTCGGTCATCATGGTTCGAGCACTATCAGTCCTCGAAAGCATTCAGTGCTCGAACCACGTCCTGAAGATGACCCACATGTTTGGCTTGAAACGCTGGCACAAATAAAAAATTAAAAATTTTTTTAAAATACTGCGTCCTGAATATTTACCATCCATCAAAGTACTCAATAGTTCTCATTTATTTATTCATTTTTATACATTTATACAGTTATTCATTTATTGTAACTTTTTCGTCTCCAGGAATCCAGCGATTCGATGCTTTATTTTACTGGGCCGGGAGGAGACAAGGCGCATGTTATTCGGATATTTACCCAATACATGGGCTGCAGTTTCTGACCCTCGGCCACATTTATGGCAGAGGGATCAAGATCAATCATGAGAGGGGGTGTAACATCAATGACAAAAAACATAGATTTTTTCATAACCCATGTCAAAAATCATCGATTCTATTATTATTTGTGTGTGTGATTGTTTCTTTTGTTTTTCCACATAAATTTCAGATATTATTTAGATGCTCCTGATCATGTGTTTATCATGTAAAACATTAGGAAAAAGTTAAATATTTATGATTTTTAATTAAAATATACTAAATAAGGTAATAAATGAAACTATTAAGTTTAGCTAAAATAAAAAATAATAACCAAAAATAACTCACTTTGCTTGAAAATGTCCCATTATTAAAGAATTAAAAACGGATTCGTTTACAGGCATTTGTTTTTCCTTCATGTATTCAAGTATTCTCGTCGCGCCTTCTATGTCACCTTTCTGACAATAAGATGTTATCAGTCGCTGATAAGTCACACGATTCGGTTCAATTCCTTTCGTCTGGAGATCAGCTAAAAACTCCGATGGTGAAAATTGATGTTCGTTCTCTAGATAGACTCGTAACAAGGCATTGTAGTGGCTGATATCAAATGGAACTCCTAAAAAAGATTTAGTGGTTAAGTAATGTCATAGAGAAAAAAAACAAAATAATATTTAAAATAACTTTTATACAACATAAATTACCAATTTTTTTTTTTTTACTGTCTTTCTCAGGTAATCTCAAACCTGTTTTTTTCAAACCTCGGGTAAAAGCGTCAAATCAAAAATTAATTTTTAAAAATTATTTATAATTGCATAGTTCACAACATTTTAAACAGTTCTGTACAGCTATTGCCATTTGCAGAGGACATGGATAATGTGAGAAGATCGCTGCATGCAATAAGAAAGGCATTGTATGCTCTTAAACAAAAAGCTATAAGACTTGGTCAGGAGATCAACCAAGTTCACGGTGTTCAAGTAGATCCCTCACAGAGGCGAGAAAATGTAGATTGGAAACTACTTCTTTGAACACGTCCACTGAATTCACATATCAGGATACCAAATTTCATGTGATAATGAAATGGAGGTCGAAATTAGAAGAAGAATATCCATAAACCGCAGCTACTTTGGGTTAAGACACCAATTGACGAACAGGGTTATTTGAAGCAGAACAAAGATTATTTTATAGAAAACTTTAATTCGCCCAATCCTCACATATGGTATAGAGACCTTACCTTGGACAACGACCAAGACTATGTGTCAAAATATTTTGCTGTTCGAGAAAAAGGTTCTTTTTAAATTTTAACAGAAGGTTGAGAAGAAGGAATAACGAGGAGATTTACGATTTTTATAGTGAACCAAACATAGTATACATAGTGAAGCGAGCCAGATTAAGGTGGGCAGGTCATATGGCAAGGAGCCTTGGAGTCCGCCAACGGACTAGCAGCAGTATTATACCGAGATTCATAGCAGTCGCTTATTGAAAAGGGCTACACCTGGTAACATGTTATAGGGCCATGCGAAGAAAATAAATTTACAGTTCTATATAAAACAATGAAATAAGGTAGAACTGTCATATTTTTTCTGTTGGCTTTACAGACCTAGTACATCTTTTGCTGCCTAAACCAGTCTTCTCTATCACTGCCCGTCTTAGGTTATTGCTTCCCAGTTATCTCTATGCAGGTCTATTATATCTTTGTTGATCCAATCTATCTGGTTTTTGGCCTAATACTTATGTCTCTTGCCTACTATCGAGACATTGATTGTTCTGTAGAGGCTTCCAGATGGATTGCTCCAAGCTACATGTTCTATTCATCTTAATCTCCTTGTCTTTACTAGATAAGATATTGATTAACCAGTTCTTTATTGGTCCTTTTTCTCCATGTGTTAGTGCTCTGATCCCGAATGGCTGCAATTATTTTACAGAGGATTTTCCTCTCAAATCTTTCAATACTTCTTTTTTGGGAGCTGTTTACTGCCCTGGTCTTAGAGCCATATATCACAACTGACATACCATATTTATCATAGCATTCTTATTTTGAGATTACTACTTTATTTCAATACCTTTGTAATAGAAAATAAGGCTGTTTGCCCTAGTTTGCTCCTAGGGAGGATAAGTACCAAAAAGATAAGTTCTAGCTGGGGCATACTAATATAAAATTCAATAACAAAATAAAGAAATGTTGTGATTATGGAAACATGGTTACATATATACATATTTATAAATAATATTTGTAAATAAATCCTACCATATACATAATAGTACCAATTAATCTCATGTTTAATATTGTTCATTATCTGTTAGTGCCTCACAGAGCTGACGAGGTACACCACGTCTTTCCATCTCTCTCCTGTAGCGAGGACACTCCTCAAAGATACGGCTCACTGTGAGAGCAACTTTACAGAGTTGACACTGAGGGAGATCTTCCCTTGCCATCAGGTAGCCATGGGTCAACCGGCAATGTCCAATTCTGAGGCGTGTGATGACTACTTCCTCTCTTCTACACTTTCTGGAGGACGAGGCCCAACAACTGACGGTCGGTTTGATTATTCTCAGTTTATTATTGTCCAACGTGGTCCAGGTCTGCTGCCATTTGTTTAAAATCATTATGTTTATTGGTTTGAATAAATCTGATGGTGAGATATATGAGGGCGTTATTATTTTCAGTGAATGGGCTTCTGTTGCTACTCTGTCCACTTCCTCATTTCCAGAGATACCAGAATGACTGGGAACCCAGAGGAAAGTTATTTTTTTCGAAGAATCTTCTATTTGTTGTGTTTGCTCTAGTTTGCTCCTAGGGAGAATAAGTACCAAAAAGATAAGTTCTAGCTAGGGTATACTAATATAAAATTCAACAACAAAATAAAGAAATGTTGTGATTATGGAAACATGGTTACATATATACATATTTATAAATAATATTTGTAAATAAATCCTACCATATATATAATAGTACCAATTTATCTCATGTTTAATGTAGAAAATATATTTTGAATTTACCTAATTTTTCAAATGTAGACCAAATTTCATTCACAAGCTTAGTCCTCACCTCAGGACTTTCTTCTGGTACTAAATTACCACAGCACCGAATAATCATTAACGATTGAGTACTAGTGGCATGTTCTGAAAAAATATATAGAACATATAAAAATTTATGAGAAAAAAATATCACACATAAAATGAAATATCCTACTTAAAGTACTAATCCAAACTTAAGAAACGACAACAAAATAATAAAAAATTCAATACAAACTCTTCAGAATGTTGAAAAAAATTTTAAGGTCAAGAATTTTACAAAATCACTCCATAAAAATTAATTAATTATTCTATTTTACTGCTAGTCTAGGTTATTCAATTATCTTAAGTTCTCTGTAATTTTATTTAATTGCCAAGTTTAAAATAGACTATAATCTGTTGTTCTTTTTTCATTCACTGATAGTTTAACAACTAGCTGAATTAACAATTAACTATTTTATAACTATAAATATGACAATATCCACTTATCTATTCACAGTAATTTATCCATACAATTTATTTCCATTCTGACTGATCCAAATAGTCCTTTATCAATGAACTTATACATATTCATTGAATACAAATATTTTTTACTGAATATTATCAAGGTAAAAGTTAATTGAATCTGTTATTAAAGAAAAAGCATGTATAATTTTTATCGGTTTTGAGTTGAGAATTGTTCCCCTACATAACTTCAATTTATGTATAGTACAGAGCAGCAATAGAAGTTGGTATTTTCTTTTTAATTATAATATATAAGTTAAATTTTAATCAAATTACTTGAATGCCTGATTTCATTAAATACTTCTTCCAATTCTTTCTTCGATATTCTTCCTGATCTGCGAACATCTTGATCAAGTTTTTGAATAGACTTTTCAATATTTCTATTTTGATTAAGAGGCTGAGAGGCATAACTGTAAAAAAAAAAAAAAAAACAGAATTAATTTTTAAAATGTAATAATTATATAAACAGACCAGATTTTTCCTAAAAGTAAAAATACCAGAATTAAATTGTGCAAAATCGTGCAATAAAAACAAAATAAAATTGTATAGGGCATAGGAAATTTTTATTTTGTTTAACTTACAATATTAATAAATGGGAATATTACCTAAAACATTAATTTTCTGGTGTAGTAAATACAAAAATAAAATAGATGATATGTATCAGTAAAAAAAAAAATTTTAATATTTAAGGTATATTAAGAATAAAATATTTTATAAGAATAAATCAATAAATTTTTTTTGAAAATAGTGTATACCGTTGTATATTTCAAATTTTCATTCCATAAAGTTGTGTCTTCTGTCATTAAACTTTTTTTTATTATAGTAAAGAAAAATTTTATATATGCCAAAGTTATTGAACAATATTTGATGCAGGCGGTTATAAAAGGATTCTGTTCAATGACACTGTCTATTGGTGGCGCTAATTCACAAGTGATCCAACTGGATGGCTCGAGGGCTAGGATCACTACAACCTTCAAACTTGTTCATGGAATGCTAAAAATAACCGACTTTATCTGAGAGAGCATGGAGGCGACCAAACTCCAGAAATTCTGATTAAAAGTGATTCGAATAGGCATAATTTTCTTTCATCACCACTTCTTAATAATAAAAAATATACAACATTGTGAACTGAATTATACATAAAATTAAGATTATATTTCATGTCGATGAGATGAATGACTATACATATACATATAATTTTATAATTTTGACTAAAGATAACGATTATCACTATACTATGCTTTTTTGGGGTTTTAAGCATAACTATGAACAACAATAACTATTAAGACAAGAAACCAAATGTAATAAAAATTATTAAATTTAGGAAACAAATGAAAAATTAAAAAGCAATAAAGACTAAACCATAAACGTGTAACAACAGAAATAAATAAAATGATCAAGATTTTTTAAAAAAATCAATGATTTCTGCATGTCTTTATTCATTTGTTAATACATAATAATTCAATTCTTATCAATCCTATATATAAGTAAATTTATATATTTATGAATTAAGAAGAGACTAAGACTTGCTTAATTAACTAAAGAACGAAACAATGAAAAATTAACCTAACTTGACATAATAACTTGGATACCCAAGAATAAAATGCAATCTTAGCTAACAAAAACATTGACATTATCACAAAGTTGTATTATCATTAGACTATTTCCAGAATTTTACAAACACGTGTGATCTAAGTTTTCTTAGCCCATGTGACAATTAGGCAAAGAACAGTTTTATTTTTTTATTTAGCCACTTTCGTAATGGTGTGATGAAGACAAGGATTGATAGGATTCCTAATATTTCCCATTTCTTCAAAAAGCAAAAAGGCCCCACATTCTGTTTGGGTTGTAGTAGAGTGATAGCAGTGAGCAATGCATAGATAAAATTTTTAAATTATATAAACAACGTATATCACAGAAATTTAATAAAGCTAAAATAAGCTAGTTGATGAGTTTGGAATTATAATAATTGGTTTATTTTAAAATGCTAATTACTTCGATAAAGTATTAGATTAACAACAATTTACAATTTTAGATAAAACAAAAAATTGGATGTTAATCCAAACTATCAATTCAACAATAATTCATCAGCAATCATAAGGAATCTATGACTAAAACTAAAACATGAAAAGTAGATGAACTATAATTGGCTGATGTGATGAATTGTACAAGAAAAGTTAGACATAATGAATAATTATATCCATTAAGTTATAATCAAGATACTAAGATTATCTTATCATACCTGAAGTTGGAATTAACCAAAAGTTTACTATTTCTTAACAAGGTGTTATCGTATTCGGTGGGTCTTGTAAAAACAGTGTTTCGAGCAAAAGTAACGAAATACCGCAAAAACTTAGAAGATCTTAATATCGACATTTTAAAAATATTATACGATTAGGGCCTCACGTTTGAATGATAAAAAAGGTTATTCTCTGCTATGCCGGTTCTCTGAAGAATACCATAGAGCAATTATTTCTAAAAAACAAAACAAGATTTGTTATTAAATCTTTAAAATAACAGCAAACGTTTTTTATTTTTTTTTTTAGTTTTTCAATTCGTTTTCTCTAACAATTATGAATATTTTGAAGTTTTAGCATTAATATACACAAGGTCTTCCTCCAATGGTTGGTCAACTCTAATTTTTTTTTCAGATTTTATCAACCAACTGTTGAGGTTGAATACACAGCTTCTATTCTATTTAAAAACATTTTAAAAATTAAAAAGTTTTTCTGCAAAAGTTCCTGTGATCAAGTGCTCTTACCGCCTCAATTCGGAATAGCTCTCATAATTTAAATGTTTCAATTAGATTGTTTATAATTTCATCATCAAAATGATATTTCGTCGTCAACATTCACGTTGCATCCTATTATTATTCACTAAAATTTTAAATTATCTTTCAAATTGAAATTGGTACAATTGCAATTGAATGTTTTTTAGTGATAGCCAGAGTGACTCAACCGTTCAAAAATAACAAATATATTATACAATATAATTTCGAGTTGCAATGGCTAATATTAAGAATTTTTACATGGCCTGTTATAGAGACCGTAATTTTCTAATATTCCAATACCTATTAAGCTTGATAGCACATCAGAAGTTTATTTAACCACTGATAGTTTTGTTGTTTCTTTATAATGAAGACTGTTCCTTCTTTATTCCTCTGACCAGATGTTCCAAACATTTATTGGATGATGAAGTTAGAAGGTTGAGGAATATTTCTTTTTTATTAAGGTAACTTCAATTTTTATCCTAGCTTTGATTCGGATCAAATGCATAATTGCTGTTCAAAAAAGCAACTATCTTTGCTGACTCATTTTTTAAAACTTCTACATGGCTCGATACGCATCGAGTGTCAAATTCCATCCCTCACATGCTAAGTAATGACTTACACTGCACTTTCTCATAACATTCCGTCAATGAGCATCATATTTATGAGAATAATTGAGTTTTACAGAATGGGAATCAATAAGAAATTAAACTATGACACCAATATTTTCATTAGCAGTTAAGCAACAATATTGCTGTTTAAATTTCATAACTATTGATTCTCTAATAATAGAACTTCCTTGAAGGGCATGTGTTAGAAACGTGCACCTGAAGTTTAGGTTTACAATCTATGAACAAAAATATTTGTCCATTTTTCATTTGTATACATATAATTGATAACACATAAATGTTCTAAGCAATTGTGAAATATATTTTAGTCAAAAGGATTTATAACATATTTTTTCTCCAGTTTTGAATTGGTGAAGAAAGCAATACTTAGATGTGATTTAGGCCTGTTTCATTTTGGCAAGTATGTACCTGTTGCGAAAGATTGCTTTTACGACTTTCTTTCTTTCTCAGTTGTGCAGACACGTGTTTGACTGTTCTCTAATGGTTCGATGAAGTGCCAAACGAACTCTTCATTCCAGCAAGAGTTGTGAACTTAGTTGTACTCATAGAAGCTCGCAGAACTCTATGATGCACTAAAAAAAACAACAACTGTTTTTTAAAGCAGTTGGTACGATTTTATATCAATTCCACTGCTTACTCAGATTACGGCCTTACATAGAACTATAAATACTCTATTTTTTAATTTTTCATTTATTAATACTTTTCTGACTAACCATTTTAGCTCGTCACCATATAGAAATTTCTAATAGAGTTTTAATTTCAATTTAGGAATCCATCAGTGTATTCATTTTAATAATTACTTATAAAATAATTCTAACTTTATTCCATTTACTTCTATGTGTAAACAACAGATATTTTTTTGTTTTTTGTATAATTTTATTAATAAACATTTCTTGAATGACAATTTTTCACCGATTCATTTTTGTGATGTTTTCCAATCCCTGGTGGAAATTGTTCACATACGTGGTACATTATGTTATCGCCATTTAATAAGCTCCTGTGCTTGTGTTCCTTTTTTCCCGTGATCGGATAACACTTCTAAAATATAACAAAAGATTCAGAAAAAAAATATTTTTTTTTAAACTCATAAAATTAAATGGTTGGAAAGTTGCTGTCAGAGATAAAAATAAAAAAAACTCTCTGAGACTGTAACCCAACAATGATATTAACACACACTTATTTCTCCACTGTTATATTCATTATAATTAAATACGATATTTTGTCTGAAAGTTGAAGTTTTTTAACTTCAGTAACACTATACTTTAAATAAACAACCACTCAACTATTTCCACACTGACACAATTATAAATAAAAGAAATCTCACCCCATATTAAAAAAAAATGTAATAATAAATAAATAATTTTACGTGAAACTCATTAAAGGACAGACTTTCTTGAACTGCTAACACCGATACTCATGTGGGATGATTTGACTATCAGAACTAATCATTAGATATAATCATAAAACGCCGGAATCAGTCATAAAATCCTTGAATATTCAGATAGTATAGCTGTCTTTGGAAGTAATCAAGAGGGCGTTAAGAAACTCGCCAAGACTTTGAAAACAGAAGTAGAGTGGATCGCACTACAAGTAAATTAAGACAAAACAAAATATATGACAATAAGCCGAAAATTCCATCCCAATAACAGGATTTGCTTAGAAGGAAAATCATTCCCGAAAGAAGAAAAATTCAAATACCTCGCCTCCACAATAATCTAAATGAATGACTAACGAGCAGAAATAGACCAGCATATAACTAGCGCAAACAGAGCTTTCTTCTTCTTTCAAAGGTATTAAAATTCCTGAAACTTTGAAGCAATTTCAAATTAAGGGTGTACAATACTATGATAAAGCCAGTTCTAACATAAGACTGTGAGACCTGGACACTAGTCAGTGTCATAGAAAAACCTATTGAAGTATTTAAAAGAAATATCCTCCGGAATAATATCCGGAGCTATCTGGTACCAGAGTACTAAATATGGAGAAGAAATACCAATAAAGAGCTGCTTACAGAATGTGGTCAATCAATATGTCATGATATGAAGGCAAGGAGATACAGATGAGCGAGCCATGTAGCTTGTAGCAATCCATCTAAAAGCGTCTAAACGACAATGAGTACCAAATGACAATGCAAAAGATCACGTGTAAGGCCAAAAAGCAGATGGATAGATCGAATCAACAAAGATGCAATAAAACTACAGCAGGACTGGAAAGAAATATCCCAAGATAGACAGAGATGGAGTAGGCTTGTTAAAAAGATCTATAAGATCTGTAATGCTAACAGAAAAAACGTAATTATTTTTAAAAAATGGAAATTAATTCTTACCGTCTCGATTTGCCTTTTTGGACTAAAATCACTAGGACGAATTCGCTTATGGTATTTTCTTTCAAGGCCTGAATTGGAACCCCTTCTATGCCCATCCAGTCTATGCTTTTGTCCTGAGTCTTTATGAAGCAGATTTAATTTCTGAGCAAAGGTTGAAGAAATGACACAGATTAAATATATCAGCGTCTCATCTATTGATGGCCCTAAAAGACTAGCTCTGGAAGGTCCATTCGAATTATTTTTATTATTCTTGCATGGTGCCATATCTCCACAATATACGCACTTTGACATAATTATAAACCAAAGACCAGACAAGTTCATATGTAAAAGTTCGGATTTAAAAATACTTTAGTAATTCAAACGGTAATAAATTTAAAGAATGCCTCATGAAGGAACCAGACGAATTTTGTGATTTAAACAATAAATAATCTAATAATAATCACTCTCAACTTTGACTTTATTAGGGACAAAAAAAACTTGAATAAGTTAACAGGTGTGTAATAGAAAACATATGTCATAATTAATAAGATCTATTCGCTTGATACAGAGACAAGAACAATAATATACCTAGTAGAGGAGAATAGAAACTTTAAAATTGTCAGACCAAGTTGAGTAAACAGTAAGGTGGGTGTTATGATATTTTTTCATACCTCGTTGGTTTTGGGTGTATATTGTTCTCGATTGGGTTACTACTACAATCTGGAACACTGCTAATTTAGGTGTAATATAGTCTAGTTTGAGGTTCTTCATCCTTTCATAGCCATTTATTACACTTAAATTTCTTGATGGGTAGCATTCTACGCCCAAAGAGATTCAATATAAATCCGAATAAAGCAAAAGAGCTTTCATAAATAAAAGCTTCGTACTTTTAACAACTTTATTACCACTGCTGACGTTCGTGAATGCGATGAACTTTGAAGTCTCGAATAGTGTCATTTCTCCTTACAAATATGAATATGTAAGTGAAACAGAAATGGTATACATAATTATCCCATCGTTATTTTGAAAGGTTTTCAAAACAATCTTCGACTGACAGTAACACAAGAATCAGCGCCGAGAGTCTGGGAAGACAATTGATGGAATAATAAGTTCATCGAATCCATTAAAATTTTGTCTAAGGACTGTAATTTTAAACCTGTTGGTGAGGAGATCAATTGAGACGAATCTCAAGATGCATTCACCGATGGGTTACAGCTACACCATCCGATATTGGAACACAATTCTAGAACAAGCATTTACTTAAGCAAGATCTCTGCAACTCGCGGAACATCAATGCCAACAATAGTTAATAGGTTTCTTCAAATGTCAATGTCGGCTCAAGAAACAGAGAATTGGAAGCAAACCCATACTGAAGAGGAATTTCAATCTGCAACTCAATCAGTTTCATCAATAAATTGAAAATGTTACTTCTGGGACTTGCAGAAATTCAGTAGGTCCGTCTGTTCAGTTTTATGGTATAGTGAATCCAAGTTAAGTTTGAATGTAAAGGAAGGAAGCTCGCACAGCTTTCCTCCATTCAAATTCTATCTTCCCAAGACCTCTCTCCAGCTCAATTTCCTTTTTTCACCATAGCAACCTCCTTATACCGGGAAAGCACTCCATTTTCTTATGGTAAAAGTTTCTTAAATTTATTCCAGTTTCTTCAAATTTCGCAGAAATGTTTATTAAAGGTAGGGATTTTAATTTTATTTTTTCCCATTAAATTTTCCACT